AAGACATTCTCTCGCCGCTTTTCCCTCGGACGCGTATGCGCTATACTTGGGCTGCTATTACCGTGGTTTAATCGGCGAGGCTGACGACGAATAACCCAATTACCGCGGATGCTTTTAGGTCTTCCAGATCGCACGCCTCGCTTTATCGTCAAGCACGGGGATTTGAGTTTAATGTGCCGTGTCGAATTACAGTGGCGAGAGGATGCGCCCATTTTTCGTTTCTCTTTCCGCGCAGCGTTCAGTTTGATGGCTCGTCCCTAGGCGCAGTGGAGCTCGCCAGGCCGTAGGATGCGCTCACGTCAGCAGGCCACGCGCTGCGAAGAAAGAGCTTCGGATCGACTTGCGTTGCGCAGCCTCCGAACGACGTGCTCCGCGCAAGGGGCGACTATCTAACGCGCGAAGAGCCGCGCCGCCGCGAAAAATCATCTCGGCCTTTCCAGCGGCGCCAAATTGCAGCTGTAAAACGCACGAGCGTTTTTCTCACGGGGAGCGCGTCGAGCTGCCGCCGCCTCTTAGATCGACCGCGTGGGAAAGCCGCGTCTAAGTAATTGCGACAAGCTCTTGCACTTGGCCTTGGCGCTCGACGCTCGACGCTCGAAAGAAAGAAGGAGAGGGACAAAAATTGGCCGCGCTCGCAAGATCGAGACCGGCGAAAATCGCGTGCACTCGATGCTCGGGGCGCGCCTTTCCTTGCTGGAGCCACGACCGCACGGATGCGAACGTGCAAAACAATTGCGTCGGCAACGCGTCTCTCGGTAAAGAGCAATCGAAAGATCCAATGCCTCCGCGCTCATTTCCTCTCATCGGCGAAAGCCTTCTTTCGCACTAGCGGTCGGTGCCATCTCCCGAAATCGGAGAGTCGCCCCTCTATCGACGGCAGCTCGCGGCGCGCAGATCTCTCTCGGCGTAATTCTACCGATATAGCGCGAGTGTCGCAAATGTACGGTAGGCTTCGTCGATGATCAACGCTCTCGGCGGTTAATCGACGGTTTCCCACGTTCCAGAATGCCAGTTGACGAGCTGCTGCACGTTGCATTGTGTCGGCAGGAAGATGATTAGCGAGTTTTACGGAAAACTCTATGCTCGGATGGAATCTGTTACAGTTGCATTTGAACGTACCATTAGCGCTGATTGTCTTACTCGTGTGTCTCGTCTCGCTTCGTATGCAAGTGACGCTTTCGTATTATAAATCTGATCTCGAATAATAAAACGAATCGTCGGATTTTATTTGACGTCGCGTTTGGAATGCGACGGCCAACCATTGGATTGCAGTTATCGCCTTTCAAATCTAATAAAACTCGCCACCAGAGTGCATTATTCAGTCATTGGAAATATATTGCAGCTGTAAACTGTTAACTGAATTTACCGCTAGGCAACCTCTCTCCTCGGCGAGACAATACCAATTGGTAGCCCATGCGCAACGACGGCCGTCTCGCTGTGTACTTGTCCTGACAGAAACAATTACGGAGCTGCGGGTAGGTGTCACGTTCCGGAGAGACGCGTAACAGAACGATCGCGACCGAGTCCCAAGCTTTTGTCGTTTTCCATTTTTGCGCGATGGCCGGCTGGCGCAGCGTTCGTGCACGGCGATCCCGTGGCCGGGGGGCGCGAAAACAAATGCCCCGCGCGACGCGGTGGGAAATTTTGCGGTGTGCGGCTAACCCAGTGACACGCGCGCGCCGTACACGAGCGCTGGGAACAAAAAGAAAAACACAGTCGCGGAATGCGCGCGTGACGAGTGTCGTCCGCGCGCGCGGATCTCGTAGCGCCGTCCGATTGTAGGACACTTCCGGTCGCTCGTTTCGCGCGCGGAGCACGGTGGCTCTATGCGCGACCTCGTCGGAACGAGTCGAGACGCCCCCCCCCCCCCGCTCCTCGGGCGCGGACGGCGCTGGAGGACGCGCGCGACTCGTCCGATTTTCATCGAGCTGACAAATAAATAATTGCGCCGAGAGTCGTGCTCCACTTCGGAGGCAAGTTGCGAAAGTGAGGCGGGCTTGCTGAGTCAGCGCGTCGACCGACGAGCGACTCCCGGCCGCGATCGCATATTATATATCTCGTCGTCGCGTATAAATAACCCGCGCGCGATTTATGCGACGTCTCGGGGATTTCTCGCCGTCGCGGCTGCGCGTGGGTCGTCGCGTCCCGCGAGGGGGGGGGGGGGGGGGATAATAACAATAAAACGCACCGGAGACTTCGATGCTGGTGGCGCGCGCGCGTCTGCCCAACTGCCTGTGTCTCGCGAATCCTTCGCGCTCTCCTGGCGCAGATCGCGATCGTGGCCTCGTCCAGTCGCGGAGCTGTCCCCGGTCGAAATTTCGGGCACCTCGACAACGGAGACTCGCGCGTTTCGCTCTCCTTTTGACGAGGCAGGCGCGCCCGATTTCGCCGCGAATCGTTCGCGATCGTTACGCCGACCGCGTGCGCACGGCGCAGCTTTTCAAATGCGTTTTCCTCGAATGACGCAACGTTACGTGGGCCGCGCGTGCGCGCGCGCGTTACGCCCCGCGTCTTCCGTTTTCTTTTCGCGAGCGAACTACGCGAGAACGGCCATCGATCGCGAAAATCACGCGGCTCGCTGCTCCCCGTTACGTCTGACGTTGCGCGAAGAATACGTTAAAATCGTCGACGACGACGGCGCTTCCGCTTGCTCTTCGGCGAGCGTGTCTTCCGCATCGGCGAGGTTATCAAACTCGCTGCGAATTGGTATTCTCTGTCCCCCACGAGTGGAGCGACCGCGTAATTTCGTTTAGTTTTTCTCGGAGACCTTTGCGTCACCGACCACTCGCGCCCTCGTCCGAAATTTCGGCGGCGTGTGTGAACCGTTCGACCGACTGGCTGCCGACGCGCGCTACGCCAAGTGTATATCCCATCTCCGTACGGGGGGCAGATCGATTCCGATGTGGGAACGAGCGGACGACGCGCCTCGGCGGCGCGTTCACGCGTAATTTATGCAACGGGACGGGTGCAGGCATCTTTCTTTTTGAATTGGGAGTAGCCCGAGCGGTGAACGGCCGGCTGTTCCAGCGCCTCGGGCGCGTATAGGTCGCGCAGTGTTGCCGAGCGCCGACGACCAATGGAAAATCCGCCGTCGACTTCGCGAACGCGCCGACGAGGCTCCAGGGTTTCGATACGTGGGCGCGTCGCGCTTACGTCGCGAAACGGGACCAGCGAACGGTGGGAGGCAAAGCAGACGCCCCGTAGCGAGGAACGCGGCGAGAAACGCGGCGAGGGCAGTAAGCGCGTTGTTCGTTATTTGCAAGTCGCTCGCGTCCGAAACGTCGAAAGGAAGAGCGCTTTTCGACGATCTACCACGGTGCGAGGTTCGTCGCCTTGTTTGTATTTCGATTTTGGGCACGCGTGTTTGCTCGGCAGGTTGTTTCGTATGGGTAAACACGCGCGCTTGCTTGTCCCTTTATCTACTTGCAGCTCCGTCGACCGATTACCAAGGGTAGGGGGGGGGGGGTCTTTCGGCGCATGGCTTGTTTTTTATTCGAGGGAGGCGCAATCGGTTTATTGGCAATTGGTGTTTGTGGGTTTCCGCAACGGCTATCGATCGAACGGATTAAGACCGAGATGGTATAATTACGATCGATCGAATGCGCATTGACAATCGCGGCTCTTGGTTCTCCTAGTTTCAAAGACGTAATTGCGTTCCGCGCTCGGCCGAATAACGAGGACCCGTTGTAAATTTCCAGTGCTGGCGACACTGCTGACGACGTGGACGCTCGTCATCCATGCCGCGCCGCAGGAGTCGCGCAGCCAGCAGCAGCTCGCCGACGAGGTCCTGGGTGCGGCTTCGCCACTGTCGTCGCCGCCGCCGCGCGAGGCCTACTTCGACGGCACGGCGCGCCTCCGACTCAAGTCCTTCGTCTCGGTGCACCGCCACAGCGGCCTGAGCTTTCGCGCGTGCGAGCCTGGCAAGCTGTTCGAGCAACGCTTTGACACGGGGGACCTCGTACAGCTGCGAGTCGACTACGAGGGACTGGTGTTCACGGCCAAAGTGCAGCAGAGGAAGCTCGAGGCGAGACTTAACGCCAAACTGCTGGACAACGTCTGGCACAATGTCAACCTGTTCTTCAGGCTTGGCAATCTGACGCTCAGCGCCGCTGGCCACTCGCAGGTGAGAGCAGCTGCAGCATCCGACCGTCGCGGTCGGTGCAGCGAGCAAAGCCAAGCCGGAGAGACAGAAAACAATTGACTGGCGAATCCGTTGCAGGTCGTGGCGAACGCAACGCACAACTCGGACATTCTGTCTTTACCGGACAGCATGGCCAACGGCACGTTGGTGGTCGGCGAGGCATTCCGCGGCTGCATACTGCAAGGCCCCGGAATACTCTTCAACGAAAGCTTCAACAGCAACGCTCTGCTCGGCATTTGTCCACTCGACGGCCGAGGATGTAAGCATGACCGACACCATTATCACGATCATCATCATCACGGACGAACTTTTCTGCGCTATCTCATTGTCCTCGCGGTCACTGTCAAATTCGGCTTCGTGCTAATTTTCGAAGCACTTCCCCGAACTTTTACCGCCACGTACCTACCAATCTTCGTTTCCTAGTGATAATTAATACATCCATTTATTCTCTTCGTTCTCTTTATACGTCATCTTGTTCTTTTTCTTTCGCCGTTTCTTCTCCCAGCGAAAATTGAGAGAAACAAGCGCGATCCTTTCTTGGAAACTACCTCTGCCTCTCTCCCTTTCCCTAGCTAGTTTTCATTCTTTCTCTTTCGGGTGCAACGTCGAGAGTCGTTGTTTGCTCTGCGCAAAGGAATGCACGCACTTTGTTTTTTACGCCGCAAGCGTGTATAAGTGCGAAACAGGGTAGTTTTGTTGTTTTTTTTTCCGGCAAACTTGTAGATCTTTTAGTTTTGTTTTTTTTTTTACGGTTGTAGACTCCTTCACCTTCATGTATTGTTTTTATGAGCGTCTGTTTTTTCAACATCACGTGTGTTGTGCTGCACCTATTTTGTTTATTTTGTAAATCACGCCATTACGTAGGCATTCAGATAGATTACTGTACAAAAAAGAATATTGATTATGTAGAAAGATTATATTAGCCAATTTAGATTTTGCTTGCGACAACTCAACACGACCGCTGCAGACTTTCAAAGACTGAAAGCAAAAGAATCCAAGCTTCAAGCTCAGTGACGCGCGAGCAATAGAAAGAAAAAAAAAAAAAAAGAATTGTATATGTACCAGCAAATGTGTGGAAAGTCGGATGTGAATTTGTGTATGCCATATGATCGGGAAAACGAAAACCCAAACTTGAATCCTGCAGGTGGAGCGCAGTCACAGCTGAGCGCAAGCGTCTCGGCAGCATCGGTGGACTGGTGTCAGCATTCGCCTTGTATGATGCATGGCAAGTGCGTCTCGAGAGCCGACCGCTACGAGTGCCACTGCTACGCCCGCTACACCGGCAACAACTGCCAGATCGATCATGGTAGCGCATCCTAATTTTCATAAACAAAACAACGACACGAATATCTTTCTGCCGTCGCTCTGTGTAGTTGTCGATGCTTTTTGTTTGTGTGTTTGTTTGGCAAGCTGTTGGAACAACTCTTTGCTCGTCTTTGGCGAATGGCAAATAAAGGAGTCGTTCTAATAGTACACTTTGCAGGTTGACGGAGTTTCACGGATGGGTCAAGATGTTGCTGTTGTTTCTGGAATAGCGGCGTTTTGTTGTTTCAATGTTGCATGAATGCTTATTGTGATTATTATGTTGTTTATTTTTTTGTATCAATGCGCTTCTTTTTTTTCTCACAGCACGGTACTCTGTTACTTAGGCACCAGTGCGAAAAAAAAGGCCCTGTAGTTTGTACATACCTTCAGCATTCCGTGGATTAACCCTTGCGCGCTCTGTATACGCAATCGAACTAACGTAAAAATGCGAATAATCGCATATATAAACGAAATGGAAGTCGCGCGCGTTCTCTTTCTCTGTTTGCGCGTTCCGCTGGCGGACAAGCGCGCGCACAATCGATACGCACACCTTTTACGGGATATACGGCTTTTGCATCGCAAACGTTGTTAACGCGCGAGTGAGAGCCGAGCACTCGTTAAAACTTGTGCGCTGCACGATCGAGCGATCGATCTTCGACGCGGAGGGAAGAGTTCACTGCTCTCTTGATGCTTTTAAAGTTTCGCGCTTTATTTGGATATCATTGCGTTTTACCTCAGCGAAGGTGGCTTTTTTGTCCGCTGTTGTACATACGTTATTGTTATACATAGAATAAGCGTTTTTTTATTACTTGGTTGACTAGTGTTTTCCGAGTTCTTTTTTTGTTTTGACGAGGATTTTATGAATAACGAACACGTAGAAAAGCAACATGATACTATTCATTTATCTTCCAAATTAATAGAGTTAAAGTCGTCAATGACGTATTTTTATTAATGTTGATGTGGTGTTGGAGTACTGTGAAAGTATAATTACAGAAAATAATTGGAAACAAAGCAGTAATGAGCAGACAAAAATAATCCTATACTTCGATGTAGTTTATTGTGATTAATTTATTTTTTCCGAGTCAAGTCATTGAGGTACAATTTTTATTGCGTTAAAAACACTAAAGAAGAAAAACATGCGACTTTAAATACTCTGTTGATTTGGTGACTCTTCAATCATTCCAATATCATTATTATATAGTTACCTTTTATTCGAGCAATTGTAAAATTTCTTTTTAATTAATCGTGATGCACACTTGATTTCGTACCACGATGCAGAAGAAAACCTTTCGGGAAACAAATTTTCAACGGGTTTCTATCCTGATCAACTCCACTACTAAGACAAGACAAATTTCAAACTCCATTAACACAACGCCAAATAATATAAACAAACTAACTATGTACATATAGCATCGATACTTATACTAAAAGAAAAAGAAAAAGAGATTAAAACCCATGCCGCGATAAATGGCGAAAATTTGACGAAACGTTATAAAATATGTAGGCCCGGTGTGCCAGAACAATCCATGTCGCAACGGCGGTGTCTGCACGGAGGATGCAAACGGCGACTACAGGTGCGACTGTCCACCGGGCTTCGCGGGAAAACGTTGCGAGTCAGCGGCTGGTGCGAGGCTCTGCGACATCAGTAACCCATGTCGTAACGACGCTGTCTGCGTGGAGTTGCCTGATGCCGATTACCGATGCGAGTGTCGGCCCGGCTTCACTGGCAAGAATTGTGAGATCGACATCGACGAGTGCGATTCAAACCCCTGCCGAAACGACGGCAACTGCACCAACCTGGTCAACGGCTACAGGTGTAAATGCGATCGTACCGGGTAAGTTCCTGTCCAGCCGAGGCGGTGCGATCTGCCGAAACGCACGGCTGAGGTTAACGGTGTTTTCGCTCGAGCAGGTACGAGGGTGCTAACTGCGAGATCGACATCGACGAGTGCGAGAACAATCCGTGCTTAAACGACGGCAGCTGCTACAACAACTACGGCTCGTACGTGTGCGTCTGTCCACGCGGCCTAGAGGGACAGAACTGCGAGCTGAACACCAACGAGTGTCTCTCGGCACCTTGTCGCAACGGCGGCCAATGCATCGACGAAGTCGGCACTTACCGCTGCAACTGCAGCTCCGGTTTCGCCGGCGAGCACTGCGAGCTGTCCTCGCGCAGCAACGCGTTGACCTGCGACAGCGTCGCTTGCCCGCCCAACAGCGTGTGCGTGAGAGACGCTGCCCATGGCGCGCAGTGCGTCTGTAAGCCCGGCTACGTGGGCAACCCGCCCGACTGTACGATGAACCATTGCGCCAGTCATCCGTGCGCCAACGGTGGCACCTGTACGAGCGTCAAGGATAAATACGAGTGCACCTGTCCGCCAGAGTGGAAAGGTGAGCTAGCGTATATTCGGGGCGTGTGCAGAGTTTTAGTCGTTCTTTGTGTACAGATACTCTTTTCTATTTTATTTTTTTTTTATGCATACGTCAGGGGCGACGAAGCGTGGGGTTCGACTTTGGAATCTTTTTTTTTTCGTTTTACAGACGTACGAGTTGGTCTCTTTGTAAATTTTTTTTCACAAGAGATTCTCGTTCGTACATAATTCTTGTCGATTTTGAAAATAACTTGAAAAACTTGTACGTCCTGCACGACTGAAAAATAAGACACGATTCTAGCGTTGCTTTGCACGCATTCTGCTCTGTAAATTGTGCATGCGAACTAACGGACAAAGGTCCGACGTGTCAGGCGGCATTGCCGAGCTGGTGCTCGACCTGTCATAATGGTGGTGTATGCGTCGAAACCATACGTGGACCTACCTGTCAATGTTCGAAATTCTGGACGGGACAACACTGCACCGAGCTTATCACTTGTGGTAGTCATCGCCCGTGTAAACGTGCCATCGAATGTCGGGATTACGTAAGTTTTAGTGCGCATCATTCGCGGGTTTTAATTGAATTTCAATAATGTTTCTTTCGATTGCATTTCATCAGTTTCTATCATTACAAATTTTAGAATGCCTTGATTTATTATTTTCTTTTCCATTAGCTTTGCATTTCTCTCGCACTGACAATAGTAATCTAATCTGTTTCTTTCCATCGCTTTCACGCTCGCAACAACTCGACCGATCAGAAAGAGGTAAATTGCAAATCACTTATATTTTTCATATTAAAATGAAACCTAGCCTCATTCGAAACAAAGTAACTTCCGCAAACAAAGAGCGAAAGAAGAGTTCCGCAAGTCTCTCGCCCTCGTTCGCGAATAGACGCGCAAAGCAAGGCAGCGTATATCGTGTACGGAGTATTCTATATGGGAGTCGCGATCGAGCGCGAGTGCTAATAATCCAGCGTAGCGGGCATAAAGCAGAGACAAATGTGTGTCGTTGTGAAATGCAGCCAGTGGGTTACTACTGCGTGTGCGAGCCTGGCTGGACGGGGTCTGAGTGTTCCATTGACATAGACGAGTGTACCAGCGACCCATGCCGTAACTCTGGCATCTGCATCGATCAGCTCAACGACTACTATTGCCAGTGTCTGTCCGGCTTCACTGGTAACTCTCTCCCACACGCATGCTCGCCCTCTATTTCTCTTCTCCCCCCCCCTCTCTCTGTTATTTTTCCTTGCAAGCGAGCAATCGCTTTTTTTTGTTGGTAGGCGCTTCTGACTGCGAAATCAGTCAACGTCTGTGTACGAATCTAATTTTTTTTCGTTTTTGCGTTGCGCCTATCGTTGCTCTTTTTCCTTTGGAGCTAAACAAGCTAGATTAGTCGATAGAACGTATGTATAATTGAAAAGTAAACAGGTACTATATTTAGAAGTAATCGAAGTTCGGTGAAAATCAACGTATCGTTCTTCAACTAAATGTACGTTTGCTCCTTTTTTTTTTGCAGGTAAAAATTGCCAGCAAAGCGTAGACAAGTGTATCAGTCAACCGTGCCAGAACGGTGGTACATGCATAGATCGCGCGAACGGATACACTTGTAACTGCAGCCGCGACTACATGGGCGACAACTGCGAGCACGAGTACGACGCCTGCGCCGTGAATCCCTGCCAAAACAACGGTAGCTGTATGCTCAGCTCGAAGTCACGTCGAGAATTCGTCTGCGAGTGTTTGCCCGGCTTCGAGGGTAAAGTTTGCGACACCAACGTCGACGAGTGCGTGGGCGTTGTTTGTCCCAGCGACAGGGTTTGCGTGGACGTCGTTAATGGCTACGAGTGCAAATGCAGGAACGGATACAAGGAGCCGAACTGCTCCTTGATCGTCGATCCGTGTTTCCAGAAACCGTGCAACAATGGAATTTGCTTGGAGATCGCTGACGACCGTTACAAGTGCGACTGTGGACCTGGCTATACGGGTGAGGATCGCCATTTGAATTTCAGCGTAGGAGGCATTTCCAAATTTTCATTTTGGTTTTTTTCATCGCAGGCGAGCATTGTGAAGACGACGTGAATGAGTGCGCGATGATGGGCAACTCTCTTTGCAACAATGGTATCTGTGTTAATAGCATTGGCAGTTACAATTGTTTCTGCAGACCGGGATTCTCCGGTGATCATTGCGAAATTGATATCAACGAATGCCTCTGCGGACCTTGTCAACATAACGGCACTTGCATCGACAAGATCAACACATTCGAGTGTCAGTGTACGCCCGGTTATACCGGAAAAATTTGTGACTTGGACGTCAATGAATGCGAAAGTGATCCTTGCAAGAACGGAGCTTCTTGTATAGATGAAATTGCAAGGTAGCGACACATCAGTAACAGCGATGAACTGTAATTTTTCGAATTTAGTTCACTTGATAAATCAATCGTTTTCTTACCTTCAGATACACCTGCATGTGCGCACCCGGCTTCGCCGGTATCAATTGCGAAACGAATATCGACGACTGCGAATCTCAACCATGTCAAAACAGTGGCAAATGTATAGACGGAGTGAATTCTTATTCGTGTGACTGCACCAACACCGGTTTCTCAGGCGAATATTGCGAGAACAATATCGACGAGTGTCTGCCGGATCTATGTGTAAACGGCGCCGAGTGCATTGACGAGATCAAAGACTACAAGTGCATGTGCTACGAAGGCTACTCCGGCAAGAATTGCGAGATCGATATTAACGAGTGTGAGAGCTCGCCATGTCAGTTCAATGGCACTTGCCTCGAGAGATCCAACGAGGCACTTTACAAAGATGACGTCACCAACAAACCCGCGATATTCATGCAAGAGTTTAGCTATGCCAATGCCAGCGGGTGAGTACATACTCCACCATAATTTCTTTCTCTCTCTTTTTTTTGTTGCGATAATTTTATAAATAGCTTCATTTGAATTCGAAACGATTGTATTGGCAATGAATGGCGTAGAGAGTGCTGTTACTTTGTTAATTAATTATTCATGATGCTGTATAGAACAAATGAGTGCTTTGTGTGACCTGGCAATAATTATATGGCGACGCGACGATTGCACGTTTATCAACTGAATATGAAATTGAGATTATCTTGAGAAAAGCTTAAAAGAATTTATTTTTCTTTATTTTACGATTCGACAATAAAAAGAATTCAATATTTCGTTTCAGATACGAGTGTATCTGTGTGCCAGGCGTGACAGGCAAGAACTGCGAGACCAATATCAACGAGTGCGAGAGTAATCCTTGCATCGAGGGTGTCTGTATGGATCGCATAGGCGGATATAACTGCGAGTGTGACGAAGGCTTCGAAGGCGAACATTGTCAGATTGACATTGACGAGTGCAAACGTTACAATCCTTGTGAGAACGACGCTATTTGTTACGATCGTCGCGCCGATTACTATTGCCAATGCAAATCTCTGTTCGGTGGTAAAAACTGCTCGGTACCGCTGCTTGGCTGCAATGGCACCACGTGCTTAAATAACGGTACCTGCACGCCTTATCTCATCGACGAAACTCAACACAAGTTTAACTGTACTTGTCCGAATGGTTTCCATGGGGATATTTGCGATAAAGTAAGTCACGCCGAGAGTTTTTAGGTTTTGAGTAAAAAGTATTGGTGTTTTTGGTAATATCTGCAATTAACAATGATGCTTTTCTCGTGAAAAATAAAGTAATTACAGTAGATTGCATGCGTTATCCATGAAATTTAAAAATAAAAATTTTCACGAGAAGTGGCGGATTTTCCAACACCAAATTTAACAATTATTCGCTATAGTAATTTGATCTGAAAACTTTAAATTTTTTTTTAAAGAAAATGCAGTTCAATTGTTATTTTTTGAACAATATTATTCTTACATGCTTATTATATTTAATTGAAAATTGTGCTATAATCAACAAGTTTTCAGACTCATAATTTAGTTAAATTGCATTCCATTTACGCAGTTTCATTTTACACATTTATTGAAGTAATTCATCAATTAACAACCCACAACACTGTCTGTCAAAAGCGTGATAGCACCATTAAACCATTTTAACAAATTTATTTGCATGTTATTTTTCTCACTAATTGTACGTGTTGTTGAAGACTAGAAAACAGGTGGGTAGAATACTAACTCTCGCGTAGTGGCTTGAGCAGTCAGAGCACTAATTAATTACGAAAATAACTCTTAGGTAACCACTATGTCGATCAATCACAAATCGCTCGTCGTCGTAAAATCAAGTCGTACGGAAGGCTACGACATTCAATTCCGTTTCCGCACAACCCTACCCAACCTTCTTCTGGCGATAGGAGAGGGTAGTACGTACTACTTTTTGAGACTGACAGGCGGCAGGCTTAATCTAGACTCGAGCCTCTTGAACAAACTGGATGGAGTATATTTCGGTAGTGGTCTGAACGATTCCAATTGGCAAAAGGTTTTCGTCGCGATGAACACTACGCATCTCGTGTTGTCTGCCAATGAGGAGCAAACAATCTATCCTATCTCGTGGGAAGGATTGAACACGACCGTTCAGTCTTTCACCACTACTTACTTCGGAAGTACCGTGAATTACTTCAAAAAGTTGGGCGATCCACCTTACTTGCTCGGATGCGCCGAAGACGTTATCATCAATGGAGAATGGGTGAGTCTTCTGTACAGATATATTAACTGCACGAAAGTTTATCCATTGCGTTGAGCGTTTACTCGAATACGCGGCTATGTTGTCTAGATCTACCCGGACATAGCTTCGGAAAACGTGACTATCGAGAACGTCGAATCAGGTTGCCCACGTATGGACCAGTGCTTTCCAAACCCTTGCAAGAATAACGGCCACTGTACAGACCGTTGGCGCGAGTTCTCCTGCACGTGCGATCGACCTTATCTCGGCTCCACTTGTCAGTACAACATCACTGCCGCCACATTCGGCTACGAGAACACAAGCAATGGATACGTGACGGTGAAGGTGGCTTCTACGGCGAGGCGCGCTGTACGCACTGTCGTCGACATTTCCATGTTCATTCGCACGCGAGAAGAGCGCGGAGACGTGTTCTATCTGGGTTCGGAGCCTAATGCGCCAGCCGACGGCAAAGACAAGACGTACATCGCAGCGCAATTGGAGCGCGGCGAGCTACTTGTGAGGATTCAGTTCAATGGCACGGAGGCTTACACTGTCAGCGGAGTCAAGTTGAATGACGGCAACAATCACTTGATACAAGTCATCAGGAATGTCACATTGGTGCAGGTCAAGATCAACGGCACCGAGTATTTCCGAAAGACCATTAGCGCGACCGGCCAGTTGAACGTGACGGTTCTTTACTTGGGTGGCTTACCACAGGTCTCGCGCTACATCAGGCAAGCCGGCGACACCAGAATCATGGAAGTGAATCACGATCCTCAAGTCAACTTCAAGGGCATCATTCAGGACGTTCAGGTTTCCAACGGACTCGAGACTATGGTCGTTGAGTTTTACCCCTTGAAAGCCGAAGATATACCCACTCTGGTGCAATTTGGCAATGTGACCTTCGACCCAAAGAAAGTTCTTAAAGGCATTATCTCGGACAACGTATGCGCTTCCAGTCCCTGTCATCACAATGGCACCTGCCACGTCACCTGGAATGACTTTTGGTGCCAGTGTCCACGCGGCTACACGGGTAAAACATGCCAGGAAATGGAATTCTGCCAACTGCAGGACTGTCCAAATGGCTCGAAATGTCAGAATCTCGACGATGGCTACGAGTGCATGGCCAACGCGACGTTCGATGGCGTCAGCACGGCCTTCACTTACAAATATCATCAGTCGGAATTGACGAATCTCACGTACGACGAGTCGACGATAGACAGTATCAAGATCACTTACAGATCGAACACCGGTGGAACCCTGATGCATATCGTTCCGAAATCGGGTAATCGACACTTCACCGTCTCAGTCTTCGAAGACAAAGTGACAGTAACCTGGAAGTTGGATCTTGAGAATAGTGGTATGCTGACATTCGGTAAACCCGAGCCTGACGGAAACTGGACCACGATACTTTTCAAACTGAACAACAATTCAATAGTGTGTGACTATGAAGACAAAAGCGACGACGAGATCAATTCTCAGACGAGTCAAAGCTTTAGCTTTGCTGCGTGGTATGAGTTATTGCTCACCGGTACTGTTACCCTCGGCGGCCTTGGAGCACCTTTGTCAGATCGACACAGCTACATGACTATTGGCACCGAGAGACATATCGAAACGAGAGATGGTGTCGCCGGTAATTCAGTTGAATACGTTGATAGGAAACTTACCACTGCCATGCCTCCTCACAGCATGCTATCCGGTGAGTTGGATCCTAAACCGAAAGATGTCTAAATTATTTTTCAAAGAAATAACCTATGAATCAAATAAAATTCCTTGCAGGGGAAGCATTCAAGGGTTGTTTAGGTGAAGTGCGAATTGGTAGCATGCTCCTTCACTACTTTAGCTACGAGAAAGTTTATCAGAACGCCAATTTTACGCCCTTGGAGTTTATGTCGCTGCAGCAAGATAACTCCTCGAACCATGACAACATTGGCTGTCGATTGTGTTTCGAAAGCCAGTGCAAGAATAACGCTCATTGCTTGGACCAATTTAATAGCTACATATGCAAATGTCCACCCGGTTATGCAGAAGACGATTGCTCGGTCGACATCGATGAGTGCGAGAACAACAAGTGCACGAATAATTCGACCTGCGTCGATGGTGTGGCCAATTACACATGTGCTTGCAAGAAAGAATGGCAAGGATGGCTGTAAGTGTTACTTTTGTATTATTCTAGTTTATAAATTTGGTTCGATGTTAGGAATCGGCAATGAACGCACACTTGTCAAACGGTCTTTCAAGCATAAATCTTACTGAGGCAATGGAACGGCAGCGAAATTATGAGTCAAGCAGATTGTTTGAGAACGGACGCGCCGCGAACTGGCTCGGTCAAAGTAAAATAATCGGCACACTCAAAACCGACGTATACGAGAGCTCGCGCTCGCTGGCGATCAAAACACAGGCACAATCCAGGCCACTTATCTTATCGCGTATCGTTCATTCTCGAGGCTCAATGACGATGTCACTTGTGACATTTCACTCTCTTTAATTGTGCCGCAGGTGCGACGAGGACGTGAACGAGTGCGAGAGTAAGCCTTGTCGACACGACGGAGTCTGCGTGAACCTCGTCGGTTCTTTCGTTTGCCAGTGCTCCGAGCAATATACCGGCGAGTTATGCGAGAGTGTCAGGCTCATCACGTGCGCCGATCAACCTTGCAAGAACGGCTCGACGTGCACCGATGTCGTCAACAGCGAGACAGCCGATAACTTTACGTGCACTTGCATGCCTGGCTTCGAGGGCTCGCACTGCGACAAGCCCTATTGCTTGAACAGAAAGTGCGAGAATAACGGCAATTGCCTTGATCAGCATCAGGTGAGTAGTGTTCGTCACTGTTCGTCGACGAGATAATTTATGCGGGTTACTGTTCGTTTATTCATGTGGGAGAATCAATGCCTGGCGCAAAGCGTTGGTATACGAACTGGTCTACAAATGATTTCAACACGAAAATGATTGCACGCGCGCCGTGCATCGCTTATCTTTGGCGATAGAATTCTTTTAATCTAATGAATATAGATAAGTCCAAGTAAAAATCTCCCAATTGGCTGTTGTTTGACAGATAGTACGTAAACGAACATCTTTTGAAAACCTGGAATTACATAAGCTGTACAAATTGAATAGCAGGGGAACAGGTACTGATCGTTCTTTCTATACTTTTGCAGACGCCACAGTGTTCGTGTCCACTAGGCTTCACGGGTCTCTACTGCGAGACGAACATCGACGATTGCGCACCAGATACCGACGGCAACGTGCCATGCAAGAACGAAGGCAAGTGCCACGACGGCGTGAACAGCTTCACGTGTGATTGCGCGGGTACGGGTTACACCGGTCCAGACTGCTCCTACGACATCGACGAGTGCGAAGACCCGCTGAACGACTGCGGTTTCGGCAAGTGCAAGAATCTACCCGGAAGCTTCCGTTGTGTCTGCGAGCCGGATTATTGTGGGATGAGTTGCTCGGTGGAGAACCCTTGCAAGAACGACTTCTGCCAGAACGGCGGTATCTGCGAATGTGTTGAAGATTCAGGCTACAGATGTCGATGCCCAGACGATTACACCGGTCAAAATTGTACCGAGGTCAGTTTCCCTTTTCAATTTTTCGCTTATAAAACTGTCGTCGATCGTAATGCGTGATATAAGTCAGTCGCCGCGGCGGAAATTCCAAACGACGCGTCATAGCGCGCAACTGAATCATATCTGTGCACGCAGTTTACAATCAGCTAATAAAACGCGCGTAACTTTTATGTCACTCTTGTTGTAGTCGGGCCACTTGCTGGGAAGCCAAGCCCTCGACATTGCCGTGATCGTCGGTCCGATTGTCGGCATTCTACTTCTCATTGCCGCTGGCTCGTTAATCGCCTTTTTCATGATGGCAAGGAAGAAGCGAGCTACACGCGGTACTTACAGCCCATCGGCTCAAGAGTTCAGTAACCCAAGAGTGGAGATGGATAATGTTATGAAACCACCGCCAGAAGAGAGATTGATCTAAAAAAATTTTCGTCCCCCCCCCCCTCTCTCTCTCTCACTCTCTGTCTCTGTTAGTAATTTTCGTGATCTTTTGTATTTAAAAGAAATTTAAATGGACGTTTTTCTTTTTTTTTTCGCCACGATATACGCATTTATCGAATCGAGGAAAAACATCATTTTTATTAGTAGTTTTCGAAAGTTTAATTATATAGGATTACGGTGATCAACTATTCTTGTTAAATATCATTCCATGCATTTTTGACATTCCTGAGAATACGTTCTTACGTATTACCATTTGTACTTAAAGAAGGAAAATTTCTGCGATACATTTATGGAGATAAATTGTAACGTAAGACTGAAGAATTGATCCAAGTGATTACATTCGTTTTGTTAGCATTAGAGAAATTTTTCAGTAAACTTTACATTCCATGTTGCGATTCTTTTAAAAAATAAGCCAGTTTTTGCCTGCCTAAAGAGAATCACTAAGTGTACTTACTTCTGGACAAGTGTCTTTTTATCTAAACTCACCAATCAAATAACCCGTCCATTTAGTGCCTAAAGTATCGTTAATTTTCAAAATGAAATTATACAATAACGAGAATGTGTATTGAAGTGTAATACCATGATGTGTTTCTTGGCAATTATTTTTTCGGCTTCGATGCGAGCATCTCAAACGAATCATTGAAGTCAAAATGTAACTTATTCTGGAAGAAATTGTGCATGCTATTGCATACATTTTTTCTTTATCACGGACGTAATGCACGAGTTAATAAAATGTAACTCGACATAAGAGTTCCGCGTGTTAATTTTGTAAATAGTATAATGTGTAAGTTGTATGTACTTAAGAGAAATATTAACGCTTTTATCTTTAAGATTTTTTATGAAAGTAGATAGTATTTAATTTTAAACACGTTATACGATTTATAATATTGTATGTATTGTATGTGTACCGACACGACCAAAGTATCACATTCGCCCATTGGCGAATAATTCTGTATTTCATAATCCCTACGGTCAGCAAGCTTGCAAAAATCAGCGTAATTGAGATTTTTATCTATTGTAAGATACAATATGTCGATGATAGCGAATTTTAGATGAGTTTTAGACTTTTTATTGAATATATTTTATGCGGTATTTGCATGAGCAATTGAATTGAGTCACTGTCTTAAACGATATGAGCAAGACTGACGTTTCAAGTGTATCACGTGATTTTTTCTCCCGGAAAAAATACAACACCTTTAGTTGTTTTTTGATTAAGATGCATCGATCATTTTTGACATTGTTTAAGAATAAGAAATGCAACTGTACAAGCAATAAAGACAGCTCTGAATCAACAATGATTGTGTTTTAATTGGCTAAAATAATATTTACATATAACACATGCAATTACACATTTCACTGAAATTTGTTTCACTTATCCACATAACATTGACATTATTTATAATATCACTTATTTTCAATGTAAAATTATTTTTTAAATGTAGTAATGTATTTCAATTGAAAATTGACGTTTTAAAATGTGTACTGTACATTATCTCAATTTTGTAAAATCAATTTTGATTTAGCTACACCTTTTTACCATTAATTTTATTCAGTTTATTTCTCGCTACTTTATCGAAAAATAATAATCCTGCTGCTCGTTCAACGCTTTCTGGTGGGACCTGTAAAATACATATAACGATTTTATATACTGGCCTCAATGACTAGCTTTCATTTTTAAATAAGGAAAGAACCTGGAAATTTTTGAGTGGAGTATCATTATTAATTGGTGCATTAGGCATAACAAAAGCTTCCATTTCTAATTTTGAATCTGCAGTCTCTCCTACAACTATTTTATAAAAGTGTGTAGGGACGGCAACATGATTAGCACCAATAACTTCATATCGTACATATTTTTTCCCATCAGTTTCTACCCTATGTAATTAATTAAATATTATTAATTTAAGCAACACCAATAGCTATATAATAAACAATTCATTTAACATACTTTGGTAAATATAGAGGGCCTGTGCAAACATAGACATCCTTATAAATGTTCGTTAATTTTCTGACGTATTTTTCAAGTTTATTCCATGAATCCCTATTGAAACCCAGTCCAACTTGTGGTGCCATATTTGTCAAATAGAATGTTTGTTGCACATGCTTTTGATCTAATCTATGATTACCAGCAGCAGCCAAGTGCCCCCTGTCATAACCACTACGTTTATAGTCACTATTATCTGATCTGAAAAATCAAAAAATAAAAGCTATTAGAAAATGTTGCTTTAGAATGGACAAGCAATTTCATAAACTAAATACCTGAAAAATGGATGTATGCTAGGATCAGGAGTGAACTCACATTTTGATCTGTCTATGTTATCATTGGCTTTCAATCTATCTTTTGAAAGGTGCTCAAATACCCAGTGAGCAACTCTATTTCTTCTGTCGTAAGATAAAACGTAGTCATCATATGACCTCACATGATCCAACCCAGGAAAACCATATTTCATAATCTGCAGTCATAATCATAGCAATATCTTAAACAATATGTATACAACATCAAATCTAAAAGAAAACTAAATATATTTTTAATTACTTTGAGACTTGCTTTCTAAAACTGACATCACATGATATCAGTAAAAAATAACATTTTGCATTAATATTTTGCACTTAAAATATGTTTATTATTCATTTTCGTTTAATTGAAAATATTTAAATGCTGCTCGAATCGACGAATGTAAACTTTAATCGTAATTTTTAAAGCATACACAAAATGTAATAAATAGCCTGAACCCGTCTAGGTTAGAACATTTTCTGCACAAAATTATTACAACAAAGCTCACCTGACTAATACGAGACTCGGAGACTGATAATTTCGAACCCATGTCAGAACCGACAGTATTATTGTCAACCGGGACAATAGGTGAGGCTGCCGAGACAGTGCCGAAGATCGGCAGCCCTGGCATACTCCTGACATTTGTCCCGGGTAGAAGCACCTGTCGCCCGTCATTTACCCAGTTTTGTCGTTCGTAATATTTGCCTGCAAACCAGCCGATCAAACCTGTCGCAGATAATCTTAAAAGACTCTTACACGAGTTCGACATGGTTCTGCACGTGGCGTGCAATGACTTCAAGTGTATCGTCTCAGTAGCAGACGATGTCCGAGTTTTATACGGGAGGGTGGGAGAAAAGGAAGGATTTGAAAAAGAACAAGAAATTGCTAAATGATTATCTTGATGAGAAAAAATCAAATTAGGCCCAATATAAAGTCGGAATTCCTGTATCTTACAATTTATTTACATATAAAAATAAGTTATACAACCTCATCAATTCAATAACGTTATTTAGTTACTTGAAATCTATACATATGAAATAATGCCATTACGTGCAGCTTTACATTTATTCATTTTTGCGAATTTTTTTTATCACAATCGGAACTGATTCAGTCCTCTTCTCCCGAGTCTTCAACTTCGACGTCGTTATTTCCAGAGATCGATTGCGGATCTAACGTTGTCTGGAAGCATCTCTTGAATATTAATTTGGCTTTCTTCGACGCATGGCGTGGTGGGGAATTTTGAATGAGATCATCATTATCGCAATCAACAGGATTCGTCGATTCAGATTTTCTTTTCAATAACGGTGACGATGAAATATGCTCAGTACTACTTACGATTTCTCTATTACTAATAATAGAACGTTCAGAATTTACTTTTGGCGTGCAAGTTCTAGAGGAACTACTAGATTTCCTTCCAGCATTAAAACGTGGCGTATCTGAAACATCACTTATTCTACCTGGTGACTCTGTACTCCCTGCATTTGTTTCAGTAGCATTTTTTCGCGTACCATTGAATGAATTTTTACTGAGAGATTTGACTCCTTTTTTCGCTGGAGCTCGTCTTGTTGTTGCTTTTTTTGGTAATACTGTAGGTCGACTAGAAGCAGTACTCTGTGATACTGAATCTGTTTCTGGATTAAGAGTTGCAAGAACTAAATTTGTTTCTAAAGTATCTGATTTGCAAATAAAAACAACTGGCCTGAAAACATACGATATTTCAGTCAATCAAGAAATAAATTTTACAATAATGAATATAAAATTATCATTTATAGAAAATTACTTTCCAGGACGATCAAAATATATTTCTATTGGATGCTGAAGTGCTTCTGAAAAATGCAATATTGCTCTTAATTCTTTCAGACAAAATGTGATTGTAGTCTCAAATTCAATAGCATAACTGTCAAATTCACCACCTCCAAAAACAAGCTGGGTTCGAGATTCAATTATATCTAAAAAGGATTAATATTAGTAGAAATTGAAGTCCAATGTTTTAAAATTTGATATATTAATAAAACTTTCATCAATAAACATACTTGAATTTTCATCAATATAACTTCTTATGAGAGCTTTATCTTTCTGCACTTCAAATGTGATTTCAATCAAATTTTGTTGAAAATTTTGAACAACGTCGTTCAATACTTTTGGTTGAATACAAACTTGATTAGCAGTACCATCTTTTTTATAATTTGCCTAGGTATTGAAGGAATAAGTATTTTGTAAAATAATAGAAATCATAATGTCAAATAATGAATATGAAAAGAATATTGGACAATTTTTAGATACATATACCTTTATAGTTTCACTGTCAATTATTGTAAGCAAGTGAGTCTTCATAACATTGTTTTTATACTTTAATACAATTTTTAATTTTTCAGCATTTGGCTGTAGTTCTATCTGACAGGATTCAATTTGTTTATCCAGTACACTAGCGATTTTGAATACAGCTAGAGCACTCTATAAAAATAATATTCATTTGGAAAAAAATATAAGAACAAGTAATATATAATCTTAAAAAATGTTATAACTTACTTTAATTGGTATTTTGCATTTGAGAGATTCACTATTTTCTGAGTTTTCATAAGCATAGTAGGAAAAATAATTATCATAAAATGATACATCTGAAAATGCTGAATTCGCTCCATTAACAGAGCGCAAAGATAAACAATCCTCTTGTGGTACAACAAACATTTCCTCTCCAATTTTTGCAAGCATTTGTATAGCTTTTGCAATAACTAAATGACGACAGATAATCGAAATTAAGTAGCTTGATTATAATATTAAATAATTTTTATACAATATAATAGTTTCATTGTATATTTTACATAAATAGTTAAATTTGCAAGTTTGCTGATATAAGTATGACAATAACCTAACCTAAAGAAATTTAAATAACTTACTTTTTATATTTCCACTTGGTATGATACATTTCATGGTTGTTTGATTTTGCCTTTTCGTACGCTATAATTAAAATGTATAAAAACAAATTCGAAGTTCTAATCGTGTAAAGTAATTTTCTCAATCATTTTTAACTTTCGTTGTTTCCCGCCGTGAATGCGAAATCGAAAATTTGGAAAGAAAAAGCACGCATGCGAGTGTGGGATGATATGAGCGGAGATGGCGGTCAGTTAAGATCATGTTTTTGTGTTTCCACTTTTCTACTTTTACCTAGAATAACAAGGTGATTTATTGGTAAGGAGAATGTGACGGTGCCTTGCTAACAATACATTTGTGTCTGAACTCTGAAAATCGCAAACTTAATCTGTTTTAATATACTTTACTAAAAAAACAACCGAACTCCACCTAATCTAAATTACAGTACTAATAACAGTGCGCCCTCTCGGGCTATAGCACGCTCTTTTTTCAAACTATGTACAATCCCCTATCAAATATATCTCTCGATAAAACTCATAACCATAATGACAATTCAATATCAATTACAACTATAATCAAGATATAGAGATGTTAGAGACTTATTTACTAGTTTTAACAAATCCAGATTAAAAAAAGAGACCATAAAATCATACATACTCCATACCAGCAAATATCAGTAGACACAAAGTCCTTCACATTGATATATAGGCCAATCAATAGAGACATTTTTAGAACACAAATTGATGCTGCAAACCAAATAGAAAATCGTTTTCACCGGTATAAATGTGTACAAATGTACATGTTTTCCACTTATGATTTTTATTACCTAATTTTTAAACAACGATTAAAATGTGCAAAAACGTGTATTTCGCGTATAAAACCTACATTTTTCGAGTAAAGTATATACTGCAGCGTAGAAAGTTATAGATAATTAAATTATGTTGAAAGCAAGCCATCGTTCGTGTTAATCAGACTATATAGAGCCAAAAAAAAAATTAAAAAACTGAAAAAGAGGCGAAGAAAAGGGTAGTTTTTAAAAAATCGTTATGCAGTAGGTTTTGAAGATTAAGATCTCGTATTCAGGCATTCATAATTTTGTATTGTATATTTGATTATTGCGCATACGAGTCCTATCGGATTTATAGAGCTTCTGATTTGTAGAGTTGTTAACATAGCCCCTTTTTTTCAAACCAAATTACAAAATTCACTCTTGCTTAGCCGATTTCGTTATTTGAAATTTGAAAAAACTATTCGAAAGTTCAATTCTTCTTCTGCAAATCTCGTATTGATATCTATGGTCTATTTTGAGTTGAAATAGGTGAAAAATTGAGACAAAAATTGAGTCAAAGTAAGCGAGTGCTGGGGATACTCGACAAGCTGAGAGGAGGAATAATGTAAAAAAGTAGCGCGCTCCAATTTATATTTTAGATAGATTGTTTTTGCAACTATTAAAGCAATTTTAATAATTCTTTATTGTTTTCGGAGTATTATGACATTGACTACTCGAATATGCTGGTACTTTTATGATAAATAACGTACTTTAATTGATATGACAACTTTTTTGCGCATTATTGGTATTTAATGTGCATATTATCGACTAAATATTTTTTTGAATACTTTTATATAAGTTAAATAATCCTTTGACCAACTGTCCACATGCTATCCCGTACCCTTACTCCGTACCCCGAGGTCTACCCCTTCCAAATTTTCTATGCGGACACTATGTTTGCAATTTATTTGACTCCATTAACAACGATTACTATCCCATTAAAACGCTCATTAACTTACAAATAAAAACGATTTCCTATACATTTACCCACAAATTAAATAACAAAAGCATTAATTGGCTACACTACAACGCCAAAATAAACGCTTTTATAAGTAATAACGAAGACAATATTAAAAACCTTAACTATACTGAGAAATATAATTTATTTACTAATTTCTGCCAACTTATAGTAAAATATCTAACAGATAAAAAAAAGGAAATCCACAACAAATTTCACTCATTTACCATTTCTTTACCAATCTCTAGACATTTCTCCTCTCTAAAAAAATTATGAATTCGACATAATTTGTTGTCCGTTGTTTTTTTAATTTTTTTCTTTTTCAGATGTTGAATGCTCTTTTGGCATTTTTAATAGGTATCTCACAACCTTGATTCCATCATGGGGTATTATGTTTTGTAGTGTTTTGGTTGCTGATTGGGATACTTTCATTAGCTGCATATTTAATTATCTCTTTTAATTTACTGTTTCTTTGTATTTTTCCCAGTCAGCTTTGTAGAATTTTCATATTTTCATATTAATAGGAGGGGGTGGGGGGTAGTAGAGTCTAGATTAAAAAAATTAGTTATAAAGGGAAAGTGATCACAAGGATAATGAACTACAACTTTGCTACAACTTTGCTATATATCTCTGAATGTATCTTGCATGAAAAACATGCCCATGATATTGCTATAGCGAATACCGCAGCCTCTAGTTACTTCTTTCAGGTATTGCAGTGATTCTAAGTTGGGCATGTACTGTCTGAATAAAGTAAAAATCTGTAAAAGATAAAATATATGTAATACTAGAAATTAGCGCAATCGAAGCTTAAAATTGCTAATATCACTCTACGTACATTGCTGGTTTTCTGATACTAATCGTAATAGCAATATTTGATAAGGATTCAAATTTAGAATGTTTCTGCACGCTCGCATTTGTCTAAAATGACCATTTCCTCTTGAAACTGTCGTTCATGAGTTATTCTTCCAAGTAATAAGTTTGTCATTAATTTGCCATGACCATGAACATCATGAACTTCTGAATTAACACATACAAAAAATGCCACGGCCTATCTTCTGGATTTTAAGAGTTCAAAAAACCTTTTTCTAATAATTGATGATATTTTTGTTGTTCTGCATACCACTGACAGTCTATTATTCTTCATGAGACCGTCTTTAACAATTACTCCCAATTCTTTCAAACGAAACCTACTTGACTTATTTAATAAACATTTCCTTAACGGCATAAAAAAATTAAACTGAAAAAATTAAACTTTCTCATCCAATTTAGAAACTTTATTTGTAACCTAATTACAAATAGAAATGGTTCATACAATAAAAATATTGGCGTTCCTCAATGATGTGTTCTAACAAGGTAGGTAACCCAAGTGTGCGTCGCCGATTTGGATGATATTGCAATATGTTAGATTACATTGAGAAATAAAACACATTATTTTTTCATATATTTCATATATTTTTCATACGGGCTAATACGCAATCTTAGGAAAGTGAAATCCACTCCGCAATTTCACCCCTAGAAACAGTTTTTTTCCAAATATTTCAGAAAAAAATAAAGATAGCTCGATGGAACCAACACTAAAAATTGTAGAATAAAAAAGGCTACAAAACAGCATTAATTTTAATTGTAAGGGTAGCATCCTTAAGTTTTTAAAAAGAATATTAAGTTGTTTCAATCAATTATTGGCTATAAAAATTACAATAAATTAAAATTAAGTCTACGTCAAAGAAAATAAGAAAATAAAGTTAATCTTATCTCGTGGTTTGAGCTTAAAAAATTATTTGTGATGAACTTTCGAAAGTGTCTTAAGATGTTTTATCAGCAGATAAAAGTATAAATTTTTCTACTTTTTGGTCCAGACAACATATCAAAATTAAACATTTCATATTTCTTGTTGAATTCGACTCGAAAAATATTGTTTCGAAAAAAAATACAATAATTTTGTTTAAACAATTTGTTTAAACATACGAATTTTGCAAAATTAATGATAAATTTGTATTCGACATTGCCCACAATTGCTAAAGTGATATATCATTTGTCCGTGTCACTAATCAAAACTTTACTGTAATTAGGGGTAACTACCCTCACTAAAAATAATTTAGACTAAAACCACGAAATTGATCAACTTTATTTTCTTATTTTCTTTTACGTAGACTCAGTTTTAAGGCGATATACAATTTATTTTAATTTTAATAGCCAATAATTGATGAAAAAAACTGAATTTTTTTTTTTAATTTGACGTTGCTACCCTTACAATTAAAATCGTACCTTTTTTATTCTACCATTTTTGGCATTAGTTTCATCGAGCTATCTTTATTTTTTTCTGAAATATTTGAAAAAACTGTTTCTGGGGGTGAAATTTCGGAGTGGATTTCACCCTCCTAAGATTGCGCATTAGCCCGTATGAAAAATATGTGTCTTCTTTCTCAATATACTATACATATTGTAATATCATCCAAATCGACAATACACTTGTACTTGGAGTAACCTTCTTCGTAAGTCCAACCGCCTATAATAAATACGTACCAGATCTATCGTCAATAAATCACGCATGCGTTTTGACATCTCTTTCCGAGGCCCACCGCCATCTATAGTAAAGTAAAGTAAAGTAAAGATAAAGTGAGCTCAAGTTTGGTTAGTTCTTGTTTCTTGCGAAGTATAGTGTCACTCCCACCATATACACTCCCACCAGCAACAAATCTTTGACACCTTAACAATATACCCATGGATTAAGATAAAATTTAGCATTTATCTGGTTTTTTATTGGTAAAAAACCAACATATTTTCTACACAACCTAACGCATTAAATAATTTTAATCATGGTGAGTATAGCAAGAGTGAAAATAATACAAAAACAGTTCCAGAGTCAAAGTCATAACCTTATATTTTTATTTATGTATTTTTTCATTTATTCAGTATAAATATTGGTTTTCTTTCTTGGTGATATTCTATCATTTGTTTAATCTCAGCAAATTTAATATATTATTTCCTCCAGAATCCTTAGTTCAATATACAGCAATTTTTCTAACCATACTATGGTAGATTATGAATAATTGTTGTTGAATTATTTCTCAAGTAAACATATAAGTTATTAAAGTAAATATAAGCTATTCATGTGTTGGTTTTAAGCTGGTGCTGGTTCTCGGAGATTTACACATTCCACATCGATGCAGTAGTTTGCCAAGCAAGTTTAAAAAATTACTTGTTCCTGGAAGGATACAGCATATTCTGTGTACTGGAAACCTTTGCACTAAAGAGTCTTATGATTATTTAAAAACTTTAGCTAATGATGTACATATTGTAAGAGGAGACTTTGATGAGGTATATCTCATTTGTTCATATAAATTTGTTATTTATTCATATAATTCAAATAAGTTATTGCTTTTAGAATCTCAATTATCCAGAACAGAAAGTGGTTACAGTTGGCCAATTTCGAATAGGTTTATCTCATGGTCATCAAGTTGTTCCATGGGGGGATCCAGAAGCATTAGCTTTAATTCAACGTCAATTAGATGTTGATATACTCATAACTGGCCATACTCATAAGTTTGAAGCTTATGAACATGAAAATAAATTTTATATTAACCCTGGTTCTGCTACAGGAGCTTACAATCCTCTTGACACGTAGGTGTATTAAAATTTAAAGCATTGTATATTTTTTTTATTTAGCTTACAATAATACTTTATTTTCAGGTCTGTGATTCCATCATTTGTATTAATGGACATTCAAAGTTTCATTGTTGTTACATATGTCTACCAATTAGTTGGTGATGAAGTTAAAGTTGAAAGGATTGAGTATAAAAAGAGTTAACAATTAAAATAATTTGTGAAATCTTAAATATTTACTTTCATATTATATCATGTACTCAATCAATTATGAAAAGTTTATTTGGATGAATTTTTTATAACAATAAGCAATTTAAATATTTTATTAGACACAAAAATTTATTAAAACTTGATTTATATTTACTTAAACTTGATATTTAGTGTTTAGTGCATAAATTGTAAATAAAAATATGATTGTATACAGTACTTTACAAACTTAAGAAAGTGATTAAATTTTTTAATTAGAAAATATTGTGTGTGCATTTAAAAATTGAGAAAACTTGAATAATATAATTAACCCATGAAAAATAATTTTGATAAAACCTTATATTATTAGATTATATAAGAACTTAAATTTATATTTTGTTGCTACATATGTTTGTATTAGTATTATTCGCTGTGGGTTTTCTTTAATAGTTTACTTAAATTATAAATAGTGAGTGCTGGAACTGAAAAATTGTATGAGGTGGAAAACAACGATAAATTTTTTTACCTGTGTACAATTAATCATTTTAGGAATAATCTGTATGTAACCATTTTTTAACAAAAAAATCTAACGATATTTTTCGAATGTTAATTTGATTATGCTACGTGGTAATATTTTGTTTCGTTGTAAAAATAAAAATTAATGTCGTAGAAATCATTGTCGAGTTGTTAAAATTAATAATTCGAAAACTAATTTTATTAACTAATGAATTCAAAAAATTTAAAAACTAATTTTCCGTACTCCACGTGGAATTCTTGATGTCGGTAAGTTTTTCAAGCTACCACTATTTATAATTCGACTAAGTTATTAGAGTGAATAAACAACACATTAATACGTGAGGATTGTAATAATTTAATTCTTTTAATCATTTGGAAATAAACAAGAACTTGCGATATCTTGTGATGTATGTAAGTTAAAAAATAGATAAAACAACTTGTCAGTGAACATTTAACAACGCTGAAAAAATTGCAAGAATTTTGTAAGTTACGTCTTTTTACAATCGCAATTTGCATCGAGAATAGCGTACGAATGAAAATTAATTAATAGTAATTGATGTTAATTGAAAGGGAAAATATACGATCTCGTCAATTCGCGAGCTTGAAGCCATACATCATTCTGTTATAATAAAATTCTGTGTTTATGTACTATATATACTTTTTCCTATCAAGATAAATTAAAATGTTTAAATAATTAATTATCGTGATTTGAAATAATGTCCACTTGAATGATTTAAAGTATTGTTTTCTTTAATGTTATTTAATCGATCCAAAAATATTGATTTTGTTTCGTTGACTTCACCTGAATTCATATCGCTTTATAGTCTAGAAGCCGAGAGAGATTCCGAGGCCGATGGGGGTAACTGTCTCTACCTAAGTGTATTTTATGTATTTTCAACTGACACGAGAACACGAACTTCGAGAGTGGCGCGCTAAAATATCAACAGACAACTAGTTATAAATAACTTAATTGCTTAAAAGATCGGAAAAAATATATCAATTATCTCAACGAAATTTGGAAATATGCTATGCTCTCGCTATCTGTAATAACGAATGCACTGATTACTTTAAAATTGAAAAATGTCGGATAGAACTCGAGATATTGCAATTTCAGCTCGACGGGTCTGTCTGGATCGCTTATTCATTCGCGTTCGCGCTGCCGTGTTATTGTTTAAATCGCGATATCTCAAGTTCTATTCAACATTTTTCAATTTTAAAGTAATCAGTGCATTCGTTATTATAGATAACGAGAGTATGGTATATTTTCAAATTTCGCTGAGACAATAAATTTTTTGCGACTCGTATGTCCAATTAAAATATTAATAGCTAATTGTCCGTTGATCGTTGAGCAAATTTGTTTAGTAATACATATTAATTACATAATAATACTAGATATACCTATACATTACATGCGCATGTAATCGAGCAGATAAAATAGTTTGCTGTTCGCTGATCTGGCATTTAATTTAATAAAAAGCTATAACGAAAATAAGATTTTACGTAAAACAAAATTAAGTTCTGTCCGTCCTGTGTTCTAGCAGCATGTCGCTACTTGATCGAGATCGACGTTCTAATTGCACTTTTGCCGGCCCATCTTTTTTCGTCAGTATCTCACGAGCGCATCGATCTTGCAGTTGCACACCGTTCTACATGTGCTTTTTTAACTTATTCTGGCTTATCGCGCTTGGTCTGGCCGAACGCGTGAGTCCAATCGCACGCGTAACTCTATGGCGAGGAAACGTTGTTTGACGTTGTGACGCTGAGTCGCTCTTATGCTGTGTACCATCCTCGAAATTCACGTATTCGTCAGTTCGAAATATAAAGTCGACTTGGGTGGAGCCCGTCACCCCCATCGACCACAGCGTTACCCTTGGCTCCTAGACTACTGCTCATTGTAATACAATCGTTTCTTATAGGCATCGGTTGACTTCTGCAAACGCACGAATAATTTGGGGCTCCGAGCTATTGGTCAAGCGTCTGATGCGAAAAGTTCGAGCACGAAATGTCGATGCGAGTCTTTACGGGGAAGCCTATCAACCGTATCCTGTTTCTTTAATATCACTAGACTTGACAACGATCGCGTTCGGGGCAAAGTCAATATGAAATACGAATTTGATATTTTACCGTCCGAGACGATTTTATTTGCGGCCTAAAAGTCCAATCAATTTTGCGCTAAACCTCTATATGTATCTTTGAATAATTTGCAAAGCAACGGTGACGGTTCTCTAAAGCCACAATTATTGGATTGAATATTTAGGCTCTGTCCGTCGACGTTCATTTCGGTGATTCGAAGAAAAAAAGCTTTGCCGCCGTAAGCGTCGGAGATTGCGTCGAGAGCACCGACGAGTGCCCGCCAGCGGCGAAGCCTCTGTGCAAATTGTCACAACTCGCGGCGTTGAGAGTAGTTTTGCCGCTGCCAGGCCAGCGAGTCAAGCGAGAAAGAAATCTTGGTCGATCCTTACGCGTCTACGCTTCCACGGGGAAACGACGAAGATTTAATCCGTCGCGGCGGGCAACAAGTGTTCGCGCTATCGGGCGATCGATAGCGCGCGCCGCGCAGGCGCTCGCCGAGCGTCGGGTACGGCGACGGGCGTGAACGCACCGCGGGCAATCGTCTCGTTCTTAGTTGGCCGGCCGATCGGCGCCACGCCGCGCGACTCGACCCTACGTCGCGCCCTCTTCCAGCTTTCGCCGCCGCTTGTACCTGTTGCCAGCCGCGAGTTCTGGTCGAGGGGGCGCGGAGACTTACCTCCGCCACCGAATGGATCGCTCGAGCGTTTATCAGCGGACCGAACGCGTGACCTACCTCTTTGCCGTAGCCGTGCTCGCGCGATTCGTCACTGCAAAAGGAGATCAGCGTCGGGGACTCGGGTCGTTTGGGCCTGAGACAAACCAGAGCCGTTGCAATCGACAGTGGCGACCGGTCGAAGCAACGCTGACCACCCGAAAGCTTCGATTTTGCTCGTGCGTGTTCCAATAGAACGATGGACGACGCGAAGACGCGCAGCCGCGATCAAGTAGGCACGGGTACGCGTCCGCGAGTCGCTTGTCGAGGCGTCTCTCCGTTTGCTGGCGACCGCGCTTCCGCACGCGAGCTTGCGCTGATATTCAGTTTCACGCTGACGCAGCTCATCTCGGCCTCGGCGAAAGCTGTAACTCTGTGTTACGCCGTGCGTTTCCCTTCGTGGAATTGTCGGAGATCTACGCGGTTTTCTGGGCAGAAGGGCGACAAGCGCGCTTGACAAGCATGGAAGTCGTCGAGTAATTTCGCTCGCAAATGAATATCGATTGCCGCATTGTCATTTTGCGGGACGTCGCGAAGATTTGTTGATCGACGTTACGGGAAAACTGTCGGTAGCTGTGAATCCATGTAAAATTAGTCTTCTTTTTACGGTCTGATACAACATAAAATTTATTTTACGTTGACGTTTTATCCCAAGCGGCTCGTTGTATAGTTTAAGATAGAAGGTTGTCGGGCAAGCGAAATAATCTTTCCCCGTTGGATCCTTTTGAGCCAGTATTTATAGTGCAAGTCTTGCCATCATTCCGATGACGTGGTTTATCACCACTTTCAAGACTACCGTTGAAACAAACACGTATATTAAATGACAATTTTACAAATTTCAATTAGACTTACCAGCAAAGTTGATCGAATATTACATTCTCGTCAACAATTTGATAGATACCTGGCACACTGTTGAGTTGTTGGGGTTGCGTCCTATTTCAAAAAATTTTGCGTTATTATGTACCCTCTAGCACACCGAAATTTCCGCTTTCTTTTCATTTTTTCGAAATATGTTGCGACTTAACTACCTGCATAAATTCGGATCGCATCTCATCGTCTTTGCTAGACGTGTGCAGCTTTAATCTGGTAGTTTACGTTTTCACGCTGCAATATAACTGATAAAGTACATAAAGTGCTCCAATATGCGTTTTGCCTCCCTATAACAACTTTTTAACGAGAATGTAATATTCGATTCACTTTGTTGTTGATAAGTCCACTTAAACTTTGGAAAATTGTCATTTAATATACGTGTTTGCTTGAACGGTAGCCTTGAAAAGAGTGATAAACAATGACACCGAAAGGTCGACAAGACTTGCGAAATAAATATACTCTTTTGAGGGCATCCAAAGAATAAAAATTATACCCAACAATCTCCTTCTTAAAATTTATTTATGCGAATAAATTATTCAACGTTGTGATAATATTCCTATTTCGAAATTTTAATTGATCAATCACCGAAATTATTAATCAAGTTTATAATCACTTCGTTTTTTTTTTGCGTATAAAACGTCTACAGGAAATATGCTGATTTCTTTGCTATTGCAATTGTTTTGCTAGTTATAACCATTTCTTTCATTTGAATAAAATGCATAATAATCGCATAGTCATAAATTGCACGATGTCGTAAGCCATCGCAACGAGCTCTAACCTAGCGCCTTAAGAGATAAAAAAATGAATTTTTCACAAGCGTTTTCTCGTAGATTGCATTCAAACTACTGAAATGCAGCTGCGACAAGGTAATTGTTATATAAGCGAAGCAAGCCGATCGTTAGTCAACGAGCAATCCAATCAAAAGTTGAAGATGACAGGAAGCGCAGCTCGCGTCTGCTCCGGGAATCAAGAATACCCAAATCCCCAGCTCTAAGCTCATCCCGGCTTTCTCAAGAGGGACCCCAACGAACTCGCCACCCAAGCGACACCAGCGTTCCGTCGAGGCAGCGGCTTCGCTCAAGGCGTATCGATCGCGGACAAGCCTTGGCGACGGGGGCGAGCTCGTCGAACGACGCACGGTGTCGAAAAATCGCCGGCTCTCGCGTAATATCGACGACGACGATCGACTCGCTTAATTTTTGTTTGCGTCAGCGTCGGGGCGCTCGTACGTGCGCCTCGTCCCCGCCGCGCCGTCCGAGCTTGCGACCCGGCGAGCCAGGCCCGAAAATCCAGTGTGCCGCGAGTCGAATGTCACGCGCACGCACGCGAAACGTTCGTCGAGGCGGCAATCCTCGCCGCTCGATACCAGCGAGCTGGCTCGTTGGAGTCGCAGAGCTGCGTGGAAACCTCGCCATCGTCGGGCAGTCCCTCGATTATTTTTCGACGTTTTCCAGCCACGCGACGCAGCATTTCCGAGACGAGGCGAGAGGGAAGCGCGACAGATAAGCGTCGAACGAAGCCTCGTCTTGTGCGTTAACGTACTCGCGAAACGTAGCGAAATCGTCGTCCGTTGCGCGCGAGTGGAAGAGACCGAGTTCGGCCAGGCAGAGAACGAGTCCGGGACGACGTCGACGCTGAGTCTCGTGTCCCCGACGCGTGAGAACAAGTCGTCCCCGGGCTGATCTCGCGCGCGATGTGCATCGACACTTGTGGATCCAACGACGTCGCTGACAGACGGGGAGCTGCGCGACACGCGGTTCGCGTCAGAGCGGCAGAGGGTAGATGTACGCAGTTGCGAGGCAACAGCCGGGACGACGGTGCGTCTCTCGAGCGAGCACGTAACGCAGCTGAGCCACCGACGGAGTGGCGCGGGAGACAAAGCGAGCCGAAAGAGAAGGGAAGGACGGAGACGCGCGCGCCGTCAAAATAAGCACTCGACGGGCAGAGCCGGGCCGAGAGAGAAGGCAGCGCCGCAGCAGCCTCGCGCGTCGACGCGCGCGCGCGCGCGCGCGATCGATTCCAAGATCAGCCCTCGGCGGCGCCAGCCTCGGCCGCCCACTCGCGCCCGGCGCCCGCCGCCCTCCCCCCGGTCCGCGCCGTTTGCTCGCGCGCAACTCAGTCGGCGCCAGAGCCCCGCTCCGAGTTGGCCACGCAGAGCCGCTGCAGCGTGCCGACGGCGCGTACGGAGCAGCAGCAACAGCAGCAGCAGCAGCAGCAGCAGCAGCAGCAGCAGTAGCAGCGGCGGGCCGCCCTCGCACGCTGCACGACCGCGGCTAGCTGCGTAGATGTGCACCTCGTCGACGGGGACGTCACGCGGGGCATGAGGCGCTGAGGCAGGTCGCTCAGGTGGGTCGTTCGCTCTCCGTGCCATCGGCGGCAACCTGATGCGCCCGGCCCTAGTTTCCCCTTTTTTTCGACCAAGGGGCGCGGCTTTGACCACCATGCGACGGGCGATCGGACGACACAACGAATAAGTTCACTCTCTCTCTCTCTCTCTCCCTCTCTCTGCAGGCGTGGAGGGCCGTGTGCGGCCCGAGTTCTCCCTCGGTTTTAATGGATATTGCATGTACGTCACGAGCGAGCGCCTCCGTGTTTACGTATACGTGTAGCTCTAATGATTTTTTTTCCGCTCTTCTAAATATACTCAGGGCTTTCACGGCGTTGCGCACCGTGACGCATTTCGCGTGCATACAGCTGTACGAGACGTAGGCAGCGCGAGAGTTGGAGCTTGGCCAAATTTCGTTCGCTCGTCGCGGACAGCGCGGCCAACTTGCTCTATCCGAGTGGCGATCTCGCCGCGAAGCGCCCGGGCGACTCTGTGTTTACGTACAGGATCTGGAAGCGGCGTGCGTTCGTTATCCAGCAATTTTCGCGAATGCAAACATTTGGCCAACGCCCCTTCGCGGACGATGGAGTACGTCACAGGTGCGATAAGACACAGCTGGAGCAGTGTAAGAGCAGCGCCGAGCAGCTGACGTAGGGGGAGCCGGGAGAAGTGATCTTTTGTGCACATATCAGCCGAGCGAAATCGGATATATACACGTACACGCCGGCGGTGCGCGTGTCGAAAGTCCCTTGCGCGCGGCGCTACAGGCCGTCGTTTTGGCGACCAGCTGTCCCTCGCGCGCCGCGGGGCTTTGTCAGTGATTGCGCAAAGCGCCGCGCGTCCCACGCTAATTAACGATCGCGTAATCGTCGCGAGTCAAAGGAGCGTTACGTCAGGCGCGAGACACGACTGGTCAAACGGATTACGGCGACGCGCTCGCGCGACAACGGCCCACGATGCCCGGATCGCGGACGTTACGCCGGACGTCCCGGTGCCGCGATACCGTCGCGTGGCTCGGCTCGATCGAAAGAACGCGTGCTTGCGCGCGCTCGGGTGCGCGAGTTGCGTGCTTGGGATACGACCGTGTCACCCGGGGATTGGTTCGCGCAGCTCGGAGCTTTGAGAATTGTGTACGCTTGTAGGTAGAAGAACTGCAATTTGACGGCGTGAATTTCGCGTTACTAAAAACCAGCAAGCAATAATATTATTTTCGGATACAATTGCAAAACGCAATACTATGTATTTTAAAGATATGACGTAGCGTCGGAAACTAACTTTATTGAAAGTTGATTTATCGGCTCGCTTAATATTGACTCGTACTACTTACTCCTTCAACTACCCTAAAAGAAGAGGAAGAAGAAGAAGAAAGAACAAAGCGCACTGGTGACAGTGGAATGACTAACGTGGCTATCATTCGCTAAAATCCTTGTTTCGCAAGTCTGAGAAAATTCCTTTGCTTTATAGGAAGCTGAATATCCTCGATGGGCCGTAAAAGACGGGACGGACCGGCGGCGACGGCGCTGCTCAGCTGCTGTCTCCTCCTTCTTCACGACTATGCCAACGGCTACGGGGAAGTCGGTGAGTACAGCCGAGTCCTTCCCGTCGGCATCGATCGACAATATTCAACGCTCCTCATCCGCGTGAATCGCGCACAGGGGTGCTTCCATCTCGCCTCCTGTCTTCGAGGCGACTGGCGAATAATCTACGACGTGAGTTCGCTCGGTGCGCGGCCGGTCGTACCGGCGTATCGTTCGGTGATCGCCAATATCTTAGCGATAAATCGCGGCGCTAAGTCGATAAAGCTTAACGGAGCGTGGCGGCCCCACACTAGTCGTTTCGCCAAACGAAACGCGCAGCTACAAAACGAACGATCTTCCGCCCCGTCGCGCAAGCTGGGCGTGGGCGTGTAATTTGTCGCGGCAGTTGGATCGTTCGAGCAACAAAATAAAGACCTATCCAGGCGGTGCGATTAGATAAGGTACGAAGTACGGACGACTGTTTGCCGAGCGTAGAGGCATCCTGAAAATAGCCGCGGGGTGCCCGCCCGTTATTTTTTTTACCAAGTCCTGATCATCGACTGCCACGCGAGTTTCACCAGCGCGCTCGCGTTGATAACGAGCCAGCACGCGCGAATCTCAAGATAGCCTCGGCTCGCACGGTCCGCAAGTCGCGTGTTCCGGCGAATGCGGCTACCTGCCTTCGCGAGCTCTCGAGGAGATTAATCGTCGCGCGGCCGTTCGTCCACGCCACAGCTGCCTCTTCGCCGCTGTCCCGGGCTGCGCGCGCGCGCGCGGCATTTTTTTTTTTTATACGTAAAAACACAGTAGCCGAGACGTGGCACTTGTTTCCCTCTCACGGATGGGCTTTGACGTTGGCGACGGTGCCATTCGGCCGTCGCCCGCTGTCGTTGCGCTTGGCGCTCGCGCAAATAGAAAGGAGCGAGCGCGCGTCGACGTTCCGTGCTTTCTTCATCGATTTCTTTGCGCTCGTTCGGCCTACTCAGCGCTACTCGAGGCTTCGGCTGTAATTTGAGTTGTAGCTGGTACTCGAGGGACTCGCGGACGTCACTCGCCGGCGCCCTCTCTCCCGCCTTGTGCAAGCTCGTCGCCTCGTCGCGCGACGTTCGCTTTCCGACGAGCGCGGCGCGGATCACGCGCCCGTCGGCTCAAGGAAAAGAGCGCTCGTAACAAAGTTTTCAATCGCCGGACGAAGTTGTCATATCCGGGGCGCGCGACGCTCCTCGCAGAACGTGCGCGTATCCCACCTCGGAGGCTCTCTCTCGGGCAAAACGAAAAGACAAGGACACGATACAATGGTCGTGGCGAAACGCGCTGCAGCGACGCGCGCGCGAGTACGGCATTGTGTGCGGAGTACGTCACTTCCGGCGGATCGATAAGATATAGCTCATCGCGGGAGCTTCGCCGCGACGTAGATCGGCAGCCGCCACTGCGCGCTTGCCCGCGGCGTCGTCTTCGGGAGGTCCGCTGAAATTGGGTCGTCGACGCACCGCCGCGCCGTGCATCATACGAGCGCGGAGAGCCGCGCGAGCGCAGCAGCGACGCCCACGCGCGTCCTTATCGAGCCGCCGTGGCGCGTCCCACGCGTCTCCACGTCGCCCTCCTCTCGATCTTCGCGCGCGCTCTCGCTCTCATCTATCCCCGCGGCCGCGGCCCGAAAGTCAAAGACTTTCGTTCTCATCGCCGCTCAGCCGTTGCGACCGTGCGACGCGCGCCAAGAAGACACTCTCTCTCTCTCTCTCTCTCTCTCTCTCTCTCTCTCTCTGTCTTTTCGCTGCCGTGGTGACGAAAAGTTGTTCTTTCTCTTTGTTTCCTCGTTGCTCTTCTCCCTGGGAAGTGGAGCCGATGCGAGCCTTCATTAAATTCTCCGTTTCTGCCCGACGCGTTCTAAATTCAAAATCTTCGTTCTTTCCGAACTACCATGTACCAATCGAACCGCGACGCCTTCTCGCCGGGTCACGATCGCGAGCGAGCTTCCATTCGACGCTTGGACAACCGCCCCACGGGCGTATTACGGCGTTCCCTCGATCCGAACTCACGGAAATAGCCTCATTATCCGCGCATACGCTCCCAAAGCGATTTCGTATTTTTCCTTTAGTTCGCGTGGCAGCGCTTTACGTAAAACTGTCTCGCCGAGATGAAAAGGAAAATCGAAGGCGGCGCGCGCGGGGCGAACGTTTTGTTCTCGTCTCTTTTTTTTTCTTCTCTTGCTCTTCCGCGCGCTTCGACGAAAAGCACCACGGGTGTAGGTTGCTCGCTCCATCCGGGAAAGAAAAAAAAATTAGCAATAAGTGCGTCGCGGTAAGATTTTATTCATGTCGAAAACTAATGGCGCGAACGTGAAAAACGTACCTTTTCTTTTGCGGAGTAGCATACGCGCGGGACTAAGAAAAAAATATATAACAGCAGAGAAAACAACAACACGAGTCCAGGCGATAAAAGAGAGGGGTTAAAATTGAAGGTAGCCGCGGTGCGCGAAAAACCATGGGGAAATCAAGCGGCAACGAGTCAATTGATCGTCGTAATTAAATTATCGAAGCGGTAAGAAGCTATGGCCCTTTCCAGCGGCTTCCCCTGTACAACTATCGATCGCTGGCCGTGTAACGACGAGACATTAATCAGCGAAGCCCGCAAAGCGACATTTTATTCCGAATGCGGATATGTTACCGGGAATTCCAGCGATACGGATGAAACGCCGCTCCAACACGCGAACGGGAATGCCAGGATGGAAGCGTATTCGACGGTACGATTGGACCGCGGAGGGTTTCTGCAGACTCGTATCAACTCACAGCGAACACTGGTCATCCGCCGGCAACGCGATCGAACGAACTGCCGCGGGGGAAAGGAGGACTTTTTCTGCTCGACAGGCCGCACCGATGAATCGCCATATCCGCTGCTCGCGCTCGCGGCCAACGAAGGAGCGCGCAACGGTGCGTTTACGACGAAAGCGAGCCACGCCGCAGCGCCTTCCAGCAGCCGTCGCGTCGAACGGCCACTCCGACTATGCTTCGCGGAATGACGTACCGCGACGACCTTCCAAGTACAAAGACGAACGGCGGCGGATGCAAACGGAAGCTCGATCGTACGTCCGACGAACGCTACAACTCGAACATACGCGTATGCGTCGCAGTGCTTTCCTCCGTTCGTCGCGGCGCGAAACACCGAATCCCACTCAAAAGCGCACGATGCGCGACGTGCCGACTGTACCGCTCGTTCCATCTTTCGCTCGAGCGTCTCGAGCGATCTCTTCGCCTTGCCGCTGGAGGCTGGAGACTGGAGGCTTTGCCCGACGAAAAACACAGCTGCGACCGTCCACGGCATCCGCTTACCTCCTCCGATCGATCCACCCGATGTCGAATCGGTCGTTTCACCGCACATTTGCGCTCCCCAGGCTGCCTGTTCAGCAAGAGCCTCTGCAAGCCGGACACCGAAGCCTGCTACGACGGTAATTTCAATGAAATTAAATTTACTCGTTTGGAAAAATAGCAGATAAGCGAGGCTCCATACAAGGAAATATCGATTGTCCGTAGACTTGGCGTTCGGTAGGTGTATCCAGTTGAGCGACGAGCAGCTGTCAGAGGCAGACCTCTATCGGTACGTATCGGCCGAAGCGACGCGAGCAATCTCGCCAGCCGTTAACGGGTCACCGCCTGCTCGCAGGTACAACTTGGAGCCGGACGAGTTGGAGCTGCTGCGCGTGCAGCTCGAGCGGCTCGAGTACGAGGGCTACAAGTGGCCCGACGACTACACGCAGTGCGTCATGCGGATGCTCCTCGAGGATCTGCGCTACGGGTACGAGCGCGTGCCCCTAGCGTCGACGCCCCCGGTACCGCGGTTCAACAACGGGCGTGCGTTGGTGTGTTGCAGGACGAGCGGCGACGACGAGTCTCTGTGCGGCGACGGCGCCAAGCGGACCGAGCTCGGCGGCGGGAGCGCGCGGGCGGCGAGCGGCCACGTGAGTCCGAGCGGTGGCGACGCCGCGAGCCCGTGCCCCGCTCGAGGCGCGAGGACGAGCTCGCGAATCGCGCGCCTATGCTTGCAGGAGGAGGCCGACCCGCTGGCAGTGGTGAGGTACGCGCCGAGCGGCCGGCCGAGCGCGCGCACCGACTACGCCGACGAGTTTTATTACCCGGAGAGGCGCAGGCAAGCAGCGGCTCGCTTCGACGACTACGACGGGGCTCTCTACGAGGAGTCAGCTGGCATCGGCAGTCCCGCCGAGGGTACGCAACGGGAACGCGCCGCTCGACCTCCTCGCGCTTTGCTCGCAGTCTACCGTCGGGGATCTCGCTCCTTACCCCAGCAGTCGACGAGCTCGGCCGAGGCCTACCTCGGCGCCAGCGGCCAGGTGCTGCCGCGGGAGTACGCGGAGGCGCTGCGCGGCATCCTCGGCGAGGACGAGGACGAGGACGAGGACGAGGACGAGGACGAGCTGGAGTTTCTGCCGAGCGGCGACGGCAGGAGACCGGCGATCCAGGTTGCCGGCTACGAGGGCGCTTTCTCGCGGGAGCTCGGGCAGCCGAGACGATTGGCGGCAGGCGTCGGCTTCCTCGATCGGACCGCGGCCGTGCACGAGGACGACGTCAACGACTACGGGGATGACGACGACGACGACGACGACGACGACGACGACGACGACCACGACGACGACGACGACGACGACGACGCCGCGAGGCCCATCGTCGAGTCACTGTATTCCAAGGGCGGCACCATCGTGCCTGTGAGGCGAGACGTCGCTGTGCCTGGTACGTATAAACGCACGGCCCCCGACAATTGCGAGGCCGTTCGTTATCAGCGGTTGCTTCGAGGTTTCCTCGGTCTTGAGCTTGCGCGCGCTCGGGCCGTTCGACCGTTACCGACGTCGGAACATTGCTATTCTACGTGCCTGTGGAGACTCGCACACGCTTCGCGGTAACAGTGCACTTGGGATCAAAGATCGTTAAGAAATATGGACGATTAATGGAAAGCTAGGCTAGCTGTCCCTATACGCATTGGTATTTTCGAGGAGCCTTCGCAAGGGTGTGGGGAGGAAACGTTCGCGCGCGTCGTCACGACCGGACCCAAAGTTCAAGGTGGATTCCGAGCCGCCAGAGCGACGGTACAACGTTTCTCGGACGACAATATTTTTCGCACATTCGTTCGCTTGGCCGTTGCGAATGCAGGAGATCTGTAATCGAATGACGATTTTCGTGCAGACGAGTACGACGATTTATCGCTCGACGACAACTTGAACGAGATGCTGTGGAGGCGGGAAATGGCGGGCTTCAAACGACGCGAACGCTTGGACGTGAAGAAACCGGGGCCGCTGTTTTCGACCAACAATTACGCGTTCAAAGCTCACTCGACCAAAGGTACGCTGTAAAAAGCCATTCCGCGGCTCGCAGAACGAGAACTCGACTGAAATTTTCAATGCCAATTGTAGCCCCCGAAAATCAGCTCCACGGCGCAGAGGATAATGACGTGAGTATGGCGCAGCTCTGAACGATATATCGATGTGACGTTGACTGCGAAACGACTAAAGCCCGTGCGCGCACATGCAGAACGACGTGGTGTATCTGGCGCAGGTGAAGAAAGACGCTTCCGCGTCGTCGCTCGGCGGCGCAACGAGGGCCAACGGCAACCCCGATCCCGAGCGCGTCTACATTCAGTTAGATCGAGAAATCGCCACCTGGCTCGAGGGCAAACGAATCGTCAACGCGGTAAGTAGCCCGCCCGTCGCGACCCCAACCAAGACTCGAAAGACTCGAACGAACCGACGTGTGATTTGACGCGCGCGCGCACAGGTGGAAACTCTAGTGGGACTGCAGCGGAACGAATTGAAGGACGTCGACGTTGGCGAAGCGACCATTAGCTTCAAGGTGGCCCGCAACAGCAAGAGCTACAACGCGTCCGACGTCGTTCGCAAAATCGGTAAGCCGTCCGGGCGTCGAGGGCGTCGCGGCCGCGCGCTATCACCACCCAACAAAATTCTTGCGTTCGCTCGCAGGTGACGTACGCGACGCTCTGCGAAGGCAGCTCAACGCGGAGGTGATCCACTACGGCGTCGGCAAGGTAAACTTCTACATGCGAATTTACAAGCGGGATCGCACGAAGACGAGAGAGAGAGAGAGAGAGACACTTGCGAAATTGCGCGAGCGCTTCTTTCGGCTTTTAAAATAACCGAGAGCTACCGCGGTGACTTGAAACACCAGCTCGGGAAAGTACATCTCGAGGTGACGGTATTCCTTGTATTTTTTGAATGGGCTTGGAGCACAACGAGAAAGCAGATCGACTCGAGCCTTCGTCAAGCGAGATTTGGCTATTGTTTGCGCAGGACCTGCCGACGATGCTCGACGTGTCGCACAACTCGGAGATGAGCTCGAGCTTGTTCGGTGCGCTCGTCGCCGCAGGAGTGGCCGGAGTGACGGCAGCCGCGATAGTCGTGCTGATAATAGCTCGTCGTCACGCGAAATCACGAGCGAAGCTGGCGGGTCTCCGCGCACCCGACCCCGAAGCGTCGAAGGACTATCAGGAGCTGTGTCGAGCGCGCATGGCGGCCAAGCAGTCGGACAAAGCGACGGAGTCGCCCAGGGGCTTCGACTTCGGTCGGCTGATCGAGTCCGGCAAGAGCGAATCAAACAGATCCAGTACTTCCAGCTGGGGCGAGGAGCCGCAGCTCACTCATATGGATGTGGCCACCGGCCATGTCGTTCTTGTAAGTATACCTTTGTGCCGACACTGGCACACGCAAAACTCGTTCCTTCGCACGAGCACAGCAACAATTTCAAGTCAGCCAATGATCACTGAGCGTGTGAGCGACGGCTCTAAGGGTAAACTGTGTCGTTAGAGTCGATCGATGCGTTTATCGCGATGAATTCAAACGGGAAAAGAAAATTTCATCCAGACCCCAAAGTGCATAAATCAGTACGGCCAAGGTCAGTCCCCTGTACGTATTGACGTGCGCATAAATCGTTCAGTCCTACATGGAGGAGCATCTGAAGAATCAAGAAAAGTTGGACGAGGAATGGGCAGCATTGTGCGCTTACGAGGCGGAGCCGTGTTCGACAGCCATTGGCGAAGCCGAGGGGAACGCCGAGTGCAATAGGCCTGGCGCCGCGCTTCCCTACGATCACTCGCGCGTCATTCTCAACGACTTGGCTAATCTCAACAATTCCGACTACATCAATGCTTCCACTATCGTGAGTAAACGACTTTCAATCGGCTTTTTCCTCGCGGTGGCGCTTCTTAACTTAACGACGCGAGAAAGCGGCTCGGTCCAACATCGTCAATTAACTGTTCTCTAAATTGGTTGTCTTGGATTGCCGCATTGCCAAAAATCAGAAATCGGTAAGTCGGCGAGATGCGTGGCTATGATTGTCGCTTGCAAGCAACACGAAAAATCGGACAAACTGTACGATACGAATAGCGGTGCACTCCGTCGAGTAGATAAATACATATTAAACCTTGCATTGGTCTCTACGTTTGCGAGAGCTTTGCAATTTACACGCGCAGGTTCGTACAAACACGGAAATGCTCCAGCAGAGTTTTCAGCATGCAGCTACATGGACGTACGCATTATTTGCAAAACGCTTTTAAACGCTATTCGAGTGTACAATAAAATGCGTATATACTCGTATAGCTTGTTTGCTACTACCAAATGTGTGCACCGAATTCGCGAATAAACTTTGCGATTGAAGAATCGTAGGGTCTTTTGTGGGCGCCGTTTGCGCAGATGGAGCGCGAATAATGGGAGATTTGTTTGGATAGACCGACCACGATCCGCGGAATCCGGCGTACATAGCGACCCAAGGGCCACTGCCGCAGACAACGGCGGACTTTTGGCAGTTGATATGGGAGCAAGGCAGCGTGGTGGTGGTGATGCTGACGCGGCTTAACGAGGATGGCCAGCCTATATGTCACCGCTACTGGCCGGAGGAGGGCTCGGAATTATACCACATCTACGAGGTGCATCTGGTCTCCGAGCACGTCTGGTGCAACGAGTATCTCGTGCGCTCTTTCTATCTGAAGAACTCGCGCACCGGCGAGACTCGCACCGTCACCCAGTTTCATTACCTCGACTGGCCTCACGATCAGGTGCCCAAGTCCAGCAAGACTCTCCTCGAGTTTCGTCGCAAGGTCAACAAGAGCTACCGAGGACGCTCCTGTCCGATTATCGTGCACTGCAGGTGAGAAAAAAATCGCTCGATGCGCGTCGGCGTCGCACGAACGAAGGCTCAAAGGAGAGCTGCGCAGCGTCTGCGAGAAGCTTGATAAACAGCCGTGACTGTTTAGAACCGCTCGCTCGTTGTTCGTCAAGCCAACTTTTGTTCAACAGTGACGGAGCAGGTCGCACGGGCACTTATTGCTTGATCGACATGGTGCTGAATCGCATGTCCAAGGGCGCGAAGGAGATCGATATAGCGGCCACTCTCGAGCACATCCGCGACCAGCGGCCCAACATGGTGGCGGACAAGCAGCAGTTCGAGTTCGCACTGATGGCGGTGGCCGAAGAAGTACACTCGATTCTCAAGTCGCTGCCCATTGTCGCCGAGAAGTCATCGTCTACCAAGGACGACAAGCAGCAGCAGTCTATCACCAAGTCCGATAAATAGGTTGGCATTATCACCCTTATCGTTTCTTCTTCCGCATGATCTTTCCACGCGTACACCCACGACTACATAGATATACTGAGATAGCTTTTTACTTCTATGCTTTTTCCTCTGATTATGTTTTTTTCCGCACAGGCGATGACTATTTAGTTTTGATACGAGGGCATTTATCACGCAGCTGCTTGTGTATGTATGTAGTCGACGAGGTAGAGGCTTATACATCCGTTTGCATATCTTGCTCATCAATCCAAAACTGCAGTCTTACAGAAAGTCTTTTTGTAAAACTTCGCGAAAACAAATATATAAAACACGTACAACACACATGGACTGACGACTTTTCTAACTTTCCGCTATGATTCACTGTATAACTCTTTGCACGGATGTGTACGAGGATCGATTGTAACAATGAGATTGTAACAATAGTTCAGTTTTACGCGCATATCAAAATCGATGGATTTACACTTGTACTGTACACGCAAGTGGAGTTACCTTTTTTTTTCATTTGTTTGCCGGCCTATCACTCGCGAAAAAAAAATAATGTACATTGTCCTTTCTTCTTTCATTGGTCAACAAAAAAATATGAATGCACGATGGCGATCATAGTTCGCGCAAAGAGAACAGTAGACTCGCAATACGCGACTAACGTTGCAAATAAAGATGAATTGAGAATTGACACTGATGACCTTGGAAGAAACGGTGCGTCGACTTGATTGTTACTCGTTTGGCGTAACGAGTGAGACGATCGATCTAGCTGCACAATTTTTCGGCTGAATGTTATGTACTACTCGGTGCAATTATTAAAAGTGTAAGACCTCGATTAGCACGAAAAGATATATAACAAAATATTCAATCCCTCTGGTATGTATCTTTTATCGAGGAAGGACCTATAATTATGTAATGTTTTACTGAATGTATCATGTAACTATTATATGAAAGTATACTAAACAAAAATCATTGATAAAAATATTTTACTATATGGTGTATACTAATGTAACAGATATATGGTATATGATAAAAAGAAAAGAAACATGTCCGTTACGTAAATGTATATAACTTTAAGCAAGGACATCATGACGGCAACTATCGTGCAGTATATACATTTCTTAATTTTCTATAAGGATACATAGTTTTGTTTATTTTTGTAACGGTAGATCCGACGATCCTTACTTTGAAAATGATATATTTTTTATTGAAATGTAGTTTGCGATGGAAAGAAATTTGAAATGTCTGTCGAAGAAAACATGAAAAACAAAAAAAGAATCAATGAAAGACTTTTATTTTGTCTGATAGTTTTACTCACGGTATGTACCTGATTATTACATTTTAAATTTAAAAAAGCGTTTGACTGATTCAATTCACTGTAGAATGATTGAAAAATGATTAAGACCGAAAAAGCTACAATTATAACTAATTAAAAGACTTTGTTGATTCGGGCTGATAAGCGTGTGATAATATAATTTAAAAAAACGTTAACTTTGTGGTACCAGCCTCCTACTAAGTTGACTTGCATTTTAATGTAAGGACGTTTTACGTGTTATATTATACAGAACGATTAAAAATTAAAAAATGAAATTTAAAACTTATTGATAGTACGTTGTAAAATTTTTTGTCCTATGCTGCACTACAGGTATTATGCTATATAACAGTTGAATGACTGAATTATTAAATACTTCTATTTTGCGTTCGTTCGGATTGTATTTATGGTAAAGTTACATATTCACGTATTTCCACGGCGAAAATATTATTTGAAATGATATAATTAAGCAGCAAATATAATAATGAATTAATCCATTGTAAACTAGAGATACTAACTAAAAACAATGCGTTCGCTTCTTCATTCTTTTTACATCAACTCTCCTCATAGATCCTATATTTTTGTGCGAACCAACAAATGTAACTATATAACAAGAAAAATTATATGCTATGTTACTGAAGAGTATAATATATGTTGTAAGAGAATAAATCAATCTATGTTCAAGATGACAGACTTTTAATTATTTTTAGATATGTAGTATAATTGATGATATATTTATCAGTATCAAATCAAATATATTAATGTGTACACTACTTTTTAATCACAATGGAAGTACACATTCTGCTTATTTTATAAGCTGTATTCCATGAATAATAATATCAGTACTAATATATTTACAAAAGCATCTTATCGATGCATTTATATCTGCATATAACAGTTAAATCCTATAAATTAAAGCATTTAAGCATTCTTACAAGAATATATTAATTTTTTTTCATTCACTTGTATAAAACATAACTAATCATGGAATATCGATAAATCACCTTCAGAATCACTAAAAACAGGATTCCAAAAACCTGGAAAAAGCAGAGGCATTGATAATCTTTTCAAACATATATGAAAGTTTTCTTTAATTAGAAACTTACTAGGAGGGGTTTCAGGATTTTCAGGTTTGTACTTTCCTCTATGTCTGGAACATAAATTTTGCCGTTTTTTTCTATCCTTTTCCGGTATATTTTTGTAGTACTGGAATAATTAAATAAAATAATTATTTAACCGATCTAAAGACCAGAATACTATACATGTATAATAAAATATGTCTTACTTCTTTACAGTCTCTACAATCCCATCCTTCTAATTTTTCTCTCTCGCTTTTTTTTCTCACAGGACCTTCTTTGTAAGCATAGCTTAGGCTCTCATCTGCTCTGCCAGGTATACTGCAATGTGATATTAAATAATTTATCATTAGAGTTAAATTTGTCGTATAAATATAAAATTACTTACACGTCAAAACTATTAAGTAATTTTTTTTTTGCAGGTGGTGTGTCACATTGCATATCATCTTCAAAATCTGTTAAATCAATTTCAAAATTTGTCATATCCTTCTGATTAGTCATTTCAGCTTGAGAAAAATAAGTTTCATCACAACTAATTTTTTGTGGTATATCGGTTTCTAAATTGATATTATTTTCGTTTTTTTCATCTGATGTTCCATTTTTCAAACAGCATTTCTGCTGCAATATATTATTATTCAATGTAAAAGATAATTTTTCATTTAATAATAATTGACTATTCTTTTCTTTGACGTTATTCAAATTTGATTTTTCAATAAAATTAAATTTATTTTTCAATTTTGAGGACCTTTCATTCTGTAGAGGACTAATTTCTACAGAATCATCTTTTGTAATAGTATTTTGATTATTCAATATTCTAGATTCTATCGAATCATTTCTTATACTGTCTGAATTTTCATTTGTCATATGGTTATCATAGAAAGTATCTTCTTTTGCAACAATATTTTGATCAATTGATGTTCTGAATTCTTTTGGACCATTTCTTGGAGAATTAAATTTTTTCATATTCTCTAGAATACTGTCAGAATGTTGATTTGCAATACTGTTATCGTAAAAAGTCTCACTCCAAGAATTTTTTTTCCTTGAGAGACTCACACTTTTATTTCCAAGACTTTCATTTAAATCAATTTTACTGACATCCATGATTGGAGCTACTTTCTTAAAACTTAATACAGTTTGTTTGGACTTCTTACCCTTGTCATGAAATTCAGTCTTTGTATAATTAATTTTAGAAACATTCAAGATCTTCTGTGTTACACTTACATCTTTGTTTTTTTTAATAGGAGATTGTAAAATATTCTCTATTGGTTTTAATGGTTCATTTTTATATTCCTTTGCAAACTCTTTCTTTTGATCATAATCAATGTCAATATTTTGTTCAAACGAACTTGCGTTAGCTGAACTAAGTTTACTGTCATTATTTGAATCGATTGATTGTGACGAAATATTTAAAGATGAATTGCTTTTTCTGGAATTACTTCTTTTACATTTACTAAAAATGGGGCTGCTTTGGATTTTTATAGGTGAATTTGTAACTGATACTGATGGAGATTTATGTGTTATAAAACTCCCATTTTCAATATCTTCAAAATCTTCTGAGTATATAGGTGGAAGTTCACTTATATTTTCTTTCTGTACGATACTTGAAGATTTATCATTAAAATTATTTCTTTTTTCATTTATTGTAAGTTTTGACAATTTTTGGAGTTTACAATTAGGACTGGCTCCAAGAATTTCAGATGATGGTGGTTTGATAACTGCTACACTAAAAATGTTATAAATTTAACTTAATTTATTTCTGTTGAAATAAATAACTTAGAGAGTTGACTAACAACTTTTAATCACTTACACTTGCTGATTAGATTTCTGACTATCAATAATTTCCCTTAGTTTTTCATTAGTTACAGATAGTTCTATTTTTTCATTCAACAGTTCTGTAAATAACAAAAATTTTTTTAAATGTAAAAGTTGGAGAAGTGAATTTCAAAATAATATCTAACTTATGTAGTTGAAAAATCTTATTTATTATTAATATGCATATAAATTACATATATATACAGTTAAATAACATCTTCTGGCAATAGTGACAAAAGATTGGATACTTTACTATCAACTTTGTCAAACAATACAAGTTTGATATTGTTAAAAAAAAGCAACACGATTATAAATAACAAAATTAATAGTATCTGATTAGAACTTACTTTGATGTTCAAGAAAGATGTTTTGTAAAGAGCAAGAAAAATTTTCCAACGCTTTTTTAGCTTGTTCATGTTGCTCAATATATTTTGTTTTCAAATCTCCTTTTAATTTTGATGCAAATTTGAGGTTGGGTTCAAAAGATGATGGATGCCATTCCATCTTTGTTGATTTTCTTATGGAACCGCAATTAAATAAATGGACAATTTTATTGCCTACGTTATAGTTAACAAATTGAGAACATCAACATATTAACTTCTTACAAGGTGAAAAGATAACTAAATATATTTTCTAAATGCAATGGACCAATTGTCCAACCTTCATGCCGCTCTTACGTCAGCTGTTGCTTCGAATGTGCATCATATGGTTCATTTTTGAGAACTTCATTGGTTGCAAATGAAACTGGTGCTGCCTCAAGAAGTGGATTTAAATTTGCTGTTTAGCCACTTATGGATTTCTACGATGTTTTATATGCTTTGTCCTTCTAATTCTAATCTCTGTGATGATTGTACGTGTGGGTTTTAACCTTCGTAACATGCTTATTTTTCTAATCTGAAAAATAAAGAAATAAAAAATTTACAAAGCTATAGCCAACTTGCAATTAATACAATGTTGACATAATGATAATTGTTAAAAAATGTTTGAAAATGAATAAATCAATGGAAACAAGGACAATATTCACTTTACAATTATTATAGATACAATGATATTTAATTACAAGTAAAATTTAAAAATGTTATTATTTATAAATGCTTGGACAGTTACTGCAATTCCTAAAATGTAGACTATATTTCTAAAAATAAATTTTCACAAGACTTTATATTACAATGTTTTTTGCAACATATTTTGCATTTTTATATAAAAATATGAAAGAATCTTGATCAAAAATTAAGTATAAACTGTAACTTGCAACATGTTAAGAAAAAGAAGCTTTGCAAGCAATATTTATATATTCAGTCTATTCCTTTATTAACATTGGTAATATTTGTAATATTTACATGATTATCTTATAAACAAATTTACAGCATATTAGCTACATAATCTTATAATTGATAGTTCTAATGATAAACAAATATACAAGAGATCATGAATTATCATAATCACAATCTTGTGCACACTTATAGATCTCTTAAATTATAATGTGCAGAAGTTTCTTTCATGACCCATGTGTTAGATTCAAATGTATATGAAAATGCAATAGGTAGTATTCTTACATGTATTTAACATCAAAAGTCTGTAAACTAAAATTAGAATCAACGAACAAACTTTTATAAAAATTATTAATTTGATTATAGCACAAGAGACCAAATGTGATGTTACATAATTAGTTGCCAGAGACCTTATACTTGGAAGTAACTGATAGTTACATTTATCTTACGACATTGATGCTGAATTGTGATTGTTTTTTTCTTTTTTACAGTAAATGTCGCAATGAATTGTACATTATATACAGGAATTGAAGAATTATTTAGGATTTAAACGCAGATTGAAAGGAAGTGGTGGATGGGAAAGTATTATTCGGCAGACTAGCGACCAGTTTACCTGGTGGTCGATTATACGCTTCCAAGCTGTAGCGCGACATTAACGCGGACAACGTGCTCTTTATTCCAGCTGTGGCTATTTGAGACCACCTGCCAGAGCTCACAGCGTCATCGCCTGCGTAAACCGCGTGAGCATCAAAGCTACTTTTCTGGGTGCTGTTGCCAGCTGGAAAAGGTGCATCTGCACAATCATTATACAGCACTGAGTCACAATGCACTTTCTATTATTTACCTTGTAATGGAGGATTGAGCACTGGTTGGTGAGGATCAAACATTCCACTTTGTCGAGTACTGCTGGCTAGTCGCAATTCAGTTTGCAACTCTGCTAGCAATTGCACTGCTTTTGGATCAGTCTGTCATGCAATGAAATTATTTCTCATAATAATTAATTTTTTCTGAAGGATTTTCATATTTGTCCAATGTTTAAATACCTCATTATCTGCTTTAAGAGACATGAGGTCTTCAACGCAGATTGGTTTGCCTTGATTTAGAGCCCCTGTCAGAATACCTAATTTGCGAGCAAGAGTATCTTCATTTACGTACTCTGGATAAAAGGCTCCTTCTCGTGGGTTATTTCTCGACTTTATTGAGGGAGGGCTAGCATAACTATAAGGGGATGACGCAAAAGGAACTGGTGGTTGCCCAAATAATCCTTCACCAACCATATGAGATTCTGAACTATATCGATGAGAGTAGCCTGCCTCTATTTTTAATCTCTTTGATGACCTGAAAAAATAAGATTCATTTGTGAACTTATTTCTTTCATTGCTGTTCTTTATTACATTTATATGGATATTTATATGAAAACGTTTGCACAATTAGGATAAAGATATTGATGTGTAAAAGCATAAGTATTATTTGCCTTGTTAATGATGACCAATGTTATGTATACAAGATTTAGTTTTTCATTATAATATACTCTATTAAGTTTATTATTCAGAATAATTTAGCTTTTGTTTAACACATAACTTTTTTTACTTTTTTTTCATGTTCTCACTTTATAATATCAAACCATGTAAGAATTTTTTCAACTTACTTAAAACGATAAGGTAACAACTGTAAACACACAGAAAATCCTTATGACGTGTGATGATTAATTGAGGAAAATGAGTTTAATGAATGATTTTTACACAGGAAAGTGTTATTCAGTTTTAATAAGGAAATAGTTTAAATGAGTTGTTAAATTTCCCAAGCATAAACAAATTTCAGTTGCACAAATGAACTTGATAATTGAAATCTGAAAAATATTTCATTACCTAATTATACTCTTAAAAGTTATAAAATTAGTCCCTTTATCACATTTGGCCAAAATATTTTACTTCCTGAAACACAATCGTTATTTAACTTCATTATTTACAAGTGTACTCTTGTTTTATATACTTATTTTTCTTATAAATTTGCTGTCTTATCAACGATTTCAATTCCACATGAATACTTTCCTTCAATTATATAAAATATTCACTGGTTTTTGTTTTTCATTTGAATATTAATACAACTACGAAAAGTATTGTACATAATATATTTCCATTTTAAGTCAAATGGTAAGCTCACGTGTAGTATTAATTTATGAAATGTATAAAAACATGTAATATTTTCTAATCATTTATTTGTTTTTTGGAAATCATTCATTTTCACAAGGTTGTGCAAGAAACATATAAAAACATGTTGTGCAATACTGTTCACTATATTAAATAGTTTACAAGAAAGAAAATAAACAGAACGTAAAATTGGAACAAAATAAAATATTTATTATTATAATCACATGTTTAATTTTTTACATTCATAATATATGACGTATGAAACTCTTCATAGTTTATTGACCTGAATCATTTCGCAGTATTGATGTGGAATTAATCATAAATAAGAGATAATTTGGCGTTTAAAAAAAAAATTTGAAAGTTGTTCTAAGATATGTCATCCAGTTCAAAAGAAAAAAAATTTTACTCTGTACGGTTCCTAGTTTTTGTCTCAATACTGCTACTCCATTATTGAACAACCTATCTTATGAATAATTATGACTACAGGGCTGCACAAACGCTTATGTATTTTATCTTAATAATATAATTGGGGGATATTTAAAAAAAATTGATTTATAGCAGCCACTTTTCCATTTTTAGTATCGTTATTATTATTTATGCATAATATTAGTTTGTACAATATGTATATTTCGATTTACTGCCAAATTCCATTTGATTTTTTTAATTGATTGATTCAACTTTAAAATATTTCTCTAAAATATTATGATAACTATATATGAAATTGAATCCCATGAGTTTTTATTTCATATACAAAAATAACAAGCTGGAATAGCCAGCAGATAAAAGAAAAATAATCAAGTTAAAGAAACCTATTGTATAAAAGCACAAACAGTCGAAAAGAAATTTATAAGTAATATTAACAATTAAATCATTGGCGCATTTAACAGTGCTTTTTGTAGTAAATGAATCTTCTTTATGTCCACATCTTAGACTTCTTCGTTGAGTATGGTGGTGAGGTTAATACGTGGGTACTCCGTTATACCCATTAACTTTATTTACAGATAAGGTTTTCCTTACATACTCGCAGACCTACACGTCGCATCATTATACAATTATTCATGATATTCCAAATTTCCTTTTATAAAATATTTACAAATTTTGAACGTTTATTAATCTGTCTAAATATTATGAAAGTGAACATGAACATTATTTCAAAAAATATTAATCGACTTGACGTTATTAAACTTCTGATAAAGTTTTTAGAAGGCTGGTAAGAAAAAAAATTACGAAGTTCTATTTCGCAATAATTATGGATAATTTCTCCGTAATCTTCATCATTTTCAGTATTTTTTATTTGTTACTGTAAATAATTAAATGTTGGCCATAAAATTCTTTTCAAAGATAAATAAAAATATAACAAATGCAGCATCTAACAGATAATTACGCATATGCAATCTACAAACTCCAACTTCAGGTTGATTAGCGATTGAATGCTCAATCGATCAACCGTCTACTATTACTCACCCTCCGACATCGGATAGGTCCTCAATAGTTCTTTGTATGCCGCTTCTATTTGGTACAGCCGATAAAGGCATTCGACCTTGGGAACTTGCTTGTTGCTCTCGCAACTCGCGTCTTCTCTTTTTACTCCACAATTCATGACAATCCTGCCACGTTGGCAGTGCCGGGGATTGCATTCTATAAGCAAGATAGTTAGGTAATAATTGACTTCAATACAATGTAGATGGACATCCAATCTGTAGAAAAAGAGTACATACTGGTCTGGTTGCACGTTCTTTAACCATGGACTTTTTAAAGCATCCGCAGCTGTAATACGTTTTTCGGGATCTAGCTCCAACATTTTATCAAGTAAATCTAAAGCTGTTGCTGGCATAAATATGAAATCATCGCGAAGCCGACGCCTGTACGTTTTTTTAGGTTTCAATGTGTGCCATAAGGGCAATTTTATCACAGATGGCCATACTGCTGGCGTTGGTGTTCCGCAAACTTTGGATATGCTATCTAATTGCGTCATTTCTACGTTAGCCTGAAAACAAAATTGCATTGTTAAAACACGATCGAGTTATTCAATGATTTATAACAAACAATGTGTACCTGGAATAGTGGTTTCTTCAAAAAAAGTTCACCTAAAATACAACCACAGCTCCACACATCTATAGCAGGCCCATAACGTTCTTCTCCTAGTAATAATTCGGGAGGCCTATACCATAAAGTAATTACTTTGTTGGTATAAGGTCGCTGTTTATCATCGGCGTTCCAAAGTCTCGCCAAACCGAAGTCAGCTAATTTGACTTCGCCCCTATAACGAAATAATTAGATTAGTATGTAAAAAAAAATAATAAAACAAATATATAATAGCATTGTTATTGCGTACTCAACGTACTTGTTATTCATTAATATATTGGAACATTTGATGTCACGATGCAAGAAATTTTTACTATGACAGTAATTTAAGCCATCCAGTAATTGTTTCATGATGCTTGCGTTATTCATTTCATTAAAGTCAACCATTCCAGATTCTAGAAGTCCCATTAAATCGTGATCCATATACTCGAAAACCAAGTAAAATGATCCTTTGTCCTAGAGATTGTAGCGTAAATTTAATAAATTACATGACATGCATTAGTTTATTTGATATTACGTCCAGTATGAAAGTACCTTTCGAAAATCAACGGCATCCTGCTTGTCCGTAACGATTTCCCTTAGATTAACAATATTCTTATGATTAAGCTGACGCAATATTTTGATTTCACGTACAGCGGTGATGGGAAAACCATCCTTTTCATTTTCCAGACGAACTTTCTTTAGAGCAACAATAACACCAGCAGATTTATCTTGTGCCTTGTACACTTGTCCATAAGTACCTTCGCCAATTTGGTCGATCACTTCAAAGACATCGACGCATCGCTCGCCCCAATCTTTGCCACCGGAAGCCGACATTGGCATGTGAGAATTATTTTTTGAGTTTTTTCTTTTCAGTATCTTCGGTCTCTTTAGTTTAGGTTTCGGCGGTATTTTTTCCACCTTGACACGTGGTGGAGTTGCGGTTGTGTCTTCCTCTCCGCTGAGATCTTCCGAACCTGGTACAACTGAAACATCAAAGTCAAAACAACGAATGTTATATTTCATGTGAAAACTATCGCTAATAAATAAAAACTAACCAGGTGGCAGCGGCAAATCTTTGATGCCCTTTTTCTGGTTACTTGGCTTTGTCGTGACAGACTTGGGCGCAACGCTCTTGGGTGTGGTAGGTTTGGAAGTAATGGAAACAGGAGGTTTTAGCTGTTGTTTTGGGGTATGAGTAGTGTAAGGTGGAGTTGGCGAACGGCTTGGCGGTGAGTCAATGCTTTCTAAATCGTTCTGATTGATACCCGGAGGTAATGGTAGCTTGGCCAGACTCTTACTCGTAAAAGAGACAAGAGGGGGCTTCGGTGGCTCGTTAGTCTTCAGAGTCACTAGGTTGTTAGGAGTACTAAATTTGGCGATTGCCGTGGACAATGGGAAAGCAGTAGCTGCAGATGGCGGAGCTGGCGTAGAAGCTGGAGCCGGGGTAGGGGTTGGAGTCGGAGCTGAAGCAGGAACATGATGTGGGTGAATTGGTGTGGTTACAGGGGGAACTGGAACTGGACCAGGCACTAGGACAGGCACTTGAGCGAGACTCGATTGAATTGGCTTCACATCAGGGTGGTGATGCAATTGCTGCAACTGTTGCAGTTGATGCTGTTGAAGCTGTGGAAGTTGTTGCGCGAGTTGCTGCTGTTGAAGCTGAGGAAGTTGCTGAGCGAGTTGCTGTTGTTGCAGCGAAGGAAGTTGTTGAATCGTAGGAGGCAGCGTTTGCACACCTATTATAGAACATTTATGTTTTATTATGTCCTTTTTAATATGGAACTTAGCTTACGGAAGTTGTGTAATATTTTTTTAAATAGTAGCGTAATATTGACTTTGCTGAAAAAACAAATAATTTTATTCTGTGTTATATTTTACCCGAAAGAATTTCACTTTTCATATTCATTTTTACAGTTACAAACGTCATCAAAGAAAAGTATAACCGTATGCACAAAACTTTTTTGTTCGGTTTCACTTTTCCTATGTTCAACGAACTAAATATTTTTTCCGAGTAAAAATAAAAATATCTAAGATATTAAGATAAAATGTTTTACATAAATATGTCAATGTCTACAAGTATCTAAGAAAACAAAAGAATGGAACGAAAAAGCAAAAATTGTTTCACCTGTGACCAAAATCGTGGGTGTGTTTACAGCAGTTACTGGCGCATCATTGCCCAGTGCCGGTGAATTATATACATGCACATTCTGAGCAGGTACAGCAGCACTTGCGTGCACAGCTGACGGTGGTACTTCGAGTTTCGGTTGCGGCACTACCATCGTTGTTAGTGGACCGGGCAACGGTGGAGTTGTAGGAGCTAACGGTTCTTCTTTCACCGGTTGTAGTGCCACCGGTGTTGGGGCTACCGTAGACACCAGTGGCACCATCGTTGGAGGTACTTGTAGCTGACTTTGACTTTGCAGATGCGCGTGTATCTGTAAAATGGAATAATAACAATTCATAATCGAAACGAGTGATGGCTTAACAGATGATAATCCGTAGCATTGAGGATCAAATTAGAGTAATTATGACATAACACATTAGTGCATGTTAGAGCAATTACCGGTATTACAGACGGGGCGGAAGTCATCGTTGGCACGGGGATATCCACAAGATCAACGGTGAGATCCAGACTGGCACACGGAGTAGTGGCAGCAGTGGATGACTTCTCGTTCATACGGTCAGACGACGAGCCATTACTGTTATCTTTCTCATCTGAACCCTCAATGATCTGCACTTCGTCTTGACTGGCTTTTTCCTTGGCTACCTGCAGCTTCTTCAGTGCTAATTCTTTGAGGTTCCGATCCTTGACGAGTTCGGCAAATAGACTCGTTTCGCTGATCTTTGCCTGGTACTTGAGGTTACGCTCCATTATGCTAGTTGGCGATCTGCGATTGAAGTTACGCCCCACTGGCGACGGTATGCGTGGCAGTCGCGGGCTCTTGCTGCGCCGTTTGCGAGATGATTTGTGTGATTTGGCCGGTGAGCGAGATCTCTTAGGTGAGCGGGTTCGCCGGTTTCGGGACCTCGAACGAGAACGTGACTTTCGCCAACGGCTGTGAGGACTGCGAGAGCGCGAGCGAGATAGATGGCCCATTCTGTCGGCGGAGGTAAGTTTGAATTTCAGTGTCAGTTGAATGTTTTGGTTGATATTAGCGTACCTGGCACTAGGACTCCTGGCGGACTTCCTCTTGTCCCTGCGATCCCTCTCGTGGTGCCTGTGCCTTCTGGTCGAGTCGTCCCTCTTCCTCCTGGGCGACCTCGCGACCATATCGTCCGCGCGACTCCTCCTGTGCGACGACGGGGTGGGACTGAAGTCCCTCCTGCGCGGCGGACTGGGGCTGTGTCTGCTGCTGCGGTGCATCGACGACGACGAGGACACGTGGTTGGAAGGACTGTAATCCCTCCGTCGGGGAGGACTGTGATCCCTGCGCCTGGGCGGGCTGCTCGGACTGTGAGGTCTGCGCCGGTGGTTGGGGCTGATGTGCGAGCCGGACTTGTGTCTGGAATCCGGGCTGTGGTGGCCGGACTTGGACTTGTGGTGGTTGTCCGGGGTACCGGAGCGCGGCGGCAGCTGGGGCGTGTGCGGCGAGTCGACGTGCCGACCGGAGCCCTGGTGGTGGTGCGAGGAGGTCGGCGGCGGTGACTCGAGCTCCATGTCGCTGGGCGAGCCGCGCCTGGGTGGAGTGGCCGGCGAGATGGGCGAGGTGCTGTCCTTGAGCGCCATCATGGGCGGCGAGGGCCCCGGGTGGGCCAGCCGCCAGTTGGCCAGCGCTTGCGAGTGCAGCAGCTCGTTGCCGGCGGCGATGACGTCGGGGCTGAGCGAGCGCGAGGCGCGTTTGCTCTTGCGCTTCTTCTTCTTGCTGCCGCTGAGGCTGGAGCCGGGGCTGAGGTCGCCGCCGCCGCCACCACCGCCGCCGCCGCCGCCGCCGCCGCCGCCGCCGCCGCGGTTCTTCTTTTTCTTGTCGCGCTTGTGCTTTTTCTCCTTCCGGCGGGGCGCCGAGCGACCGGCCTCCTCGTAGCCAAGCGGCATCACGATGGCCGCCTCGTCGGCGTAGATGCCGCGCAACTTGCGGTGCATGGCCGAGGGCGTGGTGGGCGAGAGGCTGATGGGCGAGGTGTCGGCCGCCGGACCACCGGCGGCATAGTAGCCGGCGCCGAGGATGCCGCGGGCCGGGCCCGGCTCGCCGTCGGTGTAGCTGTTGGCGCCGTCCTCCGACTGGATCTCACCGGCCTCGGGCTCCGACAGATCCTCGCTCGACACGTCCGAGTACTCGACCAGCGGCTTCCTGCTGCTGCTCGTCTGGCTCAGCTCGTATTTGTCGTCCTGCCGCGAGCGCTTCTTCTTCTTCTTGCCGGAGCCTTTGCCATGCCGGCGGCGCTTGCCGCTGCTGCTGCCGATGGCGAGGTTGCTCTCGCCGACGCTCGTAGCGACGGCTTCCGCGGTCGCGGCCACGGCGACCTCGAGGGCGTGCGAGGCTCGGTTGCTCGTGCCGCTGCCGGTCGTCGACGCGAGGCTGCTCAGCAGGCTGGCCGCTGCTTCTCCCGCGCCTCCGAGGCTGCTCGTGCTGCTGCTTAGGCTGTCCTTCCTGCGCAAGGCCTTGTAGCGTCCGTTGCGTTCCGCGCGCTCGATATCACGACTGCTAGGCATGTCACCTACTGAAACAACCAAGCGTCCGCACCCCTTATTTGTTTGCGCTTTTCTGCTTTCGCTGTCGCGCGACGCCTTTGGCCCTTTCCTCGTTTTGAAGCAACGCGCTCCTTATCTCAACGCTATGATGCTGGATCGGTATATACAAACGTGTGCGTGAACCGTTGCGTGCCCTCCATTATTCCGATATGTCCCGACCGATGAGTATTTTCGGATGAATATTCTCGCTTTACCGCTGTGACACGAGGTTGCTCGTGCAATGGGCAAATTCCACGAGGTTGCCAGGGTCGTGACTTTCTGATGACGGCAAACAATTTTAATACATTTGGTCAAGATTTCCGGCGAATAAATTTTAACGGTACAAGTGCATTAGGAATTACCAATGTTATTGTATGTCAACAGTTGAGTGCAAAAATAGTATGGAATTTGTTGTATAATTTTTGAACAACAGTTTTTGAACTACTGTGTAAATAGAAATGGCACTTTTCCAGTATCAGTGCTACAAACCGTTGATGGATCTATATAGTAATCTGTCGTAAAGTATGTGCAGTAAAGTAATTTGCCTTAATGCTACTGCAACTTTATGAAAGACTATTGATATCATGTTAGTCAACTATCTCATTGCTTCAGCTATTCAGCTGTATAGCTTTAAGGTCTCTTTTATATTATTCAATGCATTATACATGGAATATGTAAAGATCAGATCAGTTAAATTTGTGCAAAAAAACGATTGATAAGATTTTCGTTACTAAAACAATAATTTCTTGATTTACATCCTTATCAGTAACTGAAATTAGATTATATTAAGCAGTTATGAGAATCGCTTGCTCAAACTCAAATAAAATTATTTACCAGAGCTATACACTGGGATACAATTTAAAGTCATCTTGATTCAACATATAAGTCAGAAGATTAAATACTACAGCAGAGATAAAAATTGAAAATGGACAGTAAGTAAGTACCTTAGGAGGTATCGAACAATCTGAGCCTGATTAAAGTAATAAATTTATTTATTAAATATCAAGACTTGAGAACTCTTAACCCCATTGGTAGTTTGGCAACCAGCTTTATAAAATTAATATTGCATTACATTGACAAATCGAAAGAGTGTTCTTGTATATTGCGTGTCTCTCATATTGCAATCGTGGCAAAACAAAAGTTGGAGCGAGGAGAAACGCGTTGCTTACCTACAGCTACGGTAGACTTCGTCCAAGAGGCTTTTCGGCATAATCATTGATAATAACCAAAACACAGCGCCAACATAACAATAATAACACGAGCATCCATGATAATTTCGAGAGATGCGATTAACATCATTTTCCGCGCGCGCACAGCTACATAGTATCCAACGTTCACAGACAGAGTTGCGACGGGGCTAAGACGACTTTTGGGGCCATGTTTGCTACAAAAGACCGCGTATCCTGCTGTAGTTAGGCCGCCTATATTCTGTTGCAGGCTGCGGAGAGCAGGCATTGCAACAACTTCTCTCTGCGGCCGCCATTGCTCGTGCACATACACACACGCGGCACGCAAATTCGTCGACTTTGGGCAATATATAATGGTGCCTAACTAGGTACTTACGTGCGACTCTCGTTCGGAAACCGAGTTGCCTTCCTTCTTTGGTGGCCAGGCATCGAGATTAGCTGCTCTCTGACGACGATGTTGCTCCTTGTTGTACGAGTTGGTTGTCTCTTCTCGTAGCACAGCACGCACAACACTTGGCAACACCAGCACCTTGAGGCTCCTCTCGATGTTGATGATTTGAGGCTCGTTGTTTTACAATACGTGCCGTCAAGTAATGTCTCTAATGGCGCGACGCGAGAACGCCCATTACACGTTCAACGACGAGTTTGCCAGCCAAACGAGTTTACGACTTTTCATTCATCATTGGATTATCTGTGCTCTCTATCCCTTTTTTTAAGAATCTTTTACGTCTAGAACTATAATTTCGATCGTTCAAATCAAAGCATCAATGGATCGTTCTGATAATTGTTTCGTTAGAGAAAAAAACTCGCCAGCTCAACGGCGGCCATTAGAATTTTGTACAGAGAAAAGAGTGAGAAAGAGAGTCGTGATGTGGCCGAGTGAGAGAGAGAGAAAGAGCTCGCGCGTGCGTATATTCAATAGTCATCCGCGCGCTTGCTTCCGCTCGTTGCCGTGACGTAACGCGGAATGAGCGTTGCTGAACCACCGCCGCCACACCGCATAAGCAAGTCCCCACAAGCACTTTGAATGCTGATGCTGCTGACATCTATATGTTGCCTTATCTAGAGTCTAGAGATAATGAGAGGAGGCCAATCGGATAGCAAGAAAGCATTATAAGGTTCGTTCGGTTTCACGTTGCAAGGAATTTTGACCGTTGTTTTTAGCCGGCTCGGATCTCGCCGCTGCGCTGTTATATTGCTTCTCTTCCGTTTTGCGGCCCCTAGTGGCCAAGAGAGGAAGTTGAATAGCAGGCGGCCTTTTCAAAATTACGGTTAAGATAAGGCAAATTCATTAAAAAGAGTGGATAGAAAAACTTAGAAGAAAAATATATGCTTTATGTACAAGTTCTAATTTTCATAAAATATATACATCAAATATTAATACCTATATTTTTTTAATTTGAAATTGAGTCGTGATACATCTTTTGAATTTAGTTTAACTTCATTGTCTTTTGTTCAAATTTTAATATTACATTAAATTTATACGCATATACATGGTACAAACTTTTATTTCCGTTTTGTGTAATATTACTCTTTGTGCTCCAAAAAATAAGATTTTTTACAGCGTATGCTTAAAGGTAAAATATTAGGTACAATAAATTATAAAAATTATTATTTATATTTTAACATCACGGGGAATAACTATTTTATTTTTTATTTCTTTAACTGTTGGCTTATAACTCTATTCTGTTTTGTCTAAAACTTTAATCTACGTTGTCTTTTTTTCACTGTTGTTTCCAAAAGTAAATGCCCGTGTTGACTCTTCCTTCCAGGCCTGCTCTATATACTTCGGACAATTACAAAAAAACTACATGGCCGGCATCGCATCGTTTTCCAGTGCATTGAAGCAATCAATATAGCTGGTCTAAGTCTCAGATTTTGTGTGTGCATGCGCGCGCGCGCGTGTGTGTGGTGTGTGTGTAATGCCGTGTATAATTGTTTTTATAAAGTGTTTCAGTAGGTAGAGCGCCAATTTGAAAATATTCAATACGTTTCCAAACATATTTTTCCAGTTGTTACGCGATGCAGGGCTTTATAGTGATATTATGTATAAAAAATCACATATGCTGTCGTTTTTTTAATTTGCTGTCAGAATGTTTTTTACGCATTCTTAACAGCATTCCTTTGCTTCCTTGGAGAGAACTCTTTGTTTTTGTTTCTATTGAAAAATTTTAATTTTTAGTTATAGATTTTTGGTTTTTGTCATTTTTTGCTTCGACCTTAGCTTTTTTATCTCAATGTCAAAAAAAAAAAATTTTCTGTTTATTTTTCATTAAAAATTATGAGGAGATGACAAAGCCGCATTTTTATGTAATTTGTTCGTAGGGTGTGTGATTCTTCTATTAGATGGATTATCATGATTGTTTTTTTATGTTTGAAAATGGAAGGTGAGTGAAAAGATAATTATAAAATGGATTTATAGATAAAAGAAATTTTTATACCTGTTTTTCATTAAAATTATCATAGTACATAGTTCACAGATGGTTTACATAAAACTACTGTGCACAAATTGTTGTAATTTGTTGTAATGTTTTATCAAAAATACAGTTTTTAACGTGCAACAGCTCATTTCAAAGCTCGCGAAAGCAGCTTTGAAATGAAATGTCGCACAATGAATACGATAATACGTAGCCCAACCACGATATAACGCTTCAAATCATCAATTTTTGACGATAAAAAAACATATTTCAATTTAACATATCCTTATCCCACAGAAGTAATATTCGCCAGAGCTGTTGATATAAAGTTTTTTACATATATATCAGTTTGTCTTTCAATCACTATCGATACGATTAATAGTTTTCCTCAGTCTTTCAGGACATTTTTTGTATTGTAGAGTGCCGATAATTTTGAATTTCTTTATTATTTCGTTAACAAGCAATTTTTCTGTTGTTCAAATTTTAAGGCCAATAACTTCAAGAAAACGAAGCGAGTTATACCGTGGCGTTCATTTTCTCTCAACTTTGAATAGCTACTATAAATAATTGATATAAACAATTGCTTATTATGAAAAAATCTTTCAATGCACACGAAGCAGTTAGCTCTTTCGTCATGGTTACTGTGCAATGTTTTATGGTGGAGAAAACTTTCGGCTATCATTCGTTATATTTTTTTCATCCAAGCTTCTCTTTACTTTCGGACTTTATAGGGGACCTTACCCTCTTTCTTACAATTTTCTTTGAGGGATAAAAAAGAAAGCAAAAAATTATTACTTGATTTTTAATAGCATATTTTTAGCAGGGATACTTTGTTTAAAATTATACTACACCTTGCTAATTCTGCCATTTACATCCTCCTCAAAATTTACCCATCTAATTTTTTCACGCATATACTCATGCAATTTTTGACCTTATATAGTTCTGTGATAATATGTCGGTTCGCGCCATAGCGTGTAGAAAAAATGGAAAGGGTCATTAAGAAAGGTGCTACGCCCAAGGTTGCTGTCGTAAAAGGCGTCATGGCTGGATTTTTTTAGAATCAAGTCGTTTATGGCAGCGGTTACTATTTGGAATTGAGATTTTCTACGATTTTCATATGGATTAATTTCGTTGAATGTGACGATATGAAAAAATTATCGATTCGCGTGTTTAGCGAACGTTACTTCATTTTATTACTCTTCGCGTTTCAACGATTCTTTCGATCATGTTCGAGGTCGACACCGTGGCTATTCGCATCATGACATAAAAGGAAATTGGAAAAGTCGTTGGTAAAGTGGTAGACGTTTCACACATCCAGGTTTACCAGTTGGTCTCGTCAGCAACCCTTACGTAGTCGTTCTTCACATCATGCAAATTGATATACGTATTACAATTTTATGATAATCCGAAAACCCCAAGAAAAATAAGGAGATTAATTTTCGTTATTTAATCTGAGTCACGCTCACATATATATGTTCGAGCATTCCAGCAAAGGTGAACTAGCGCGCGCGTCAAAATTTTTGTTTCCAGCGTTGCCGCTCGGCAAATTTTTCTCATGGTCCCTAGAAATTATTATACTACGTTAAATGAGATAATTACTAGGGACTCTGAAAAAAATATTTCCAGCGGCAACACCGCGCGCTCCGAAACACGTCTGTGCGTGAACGAGGTTCGGGAGTTTGGGAAAAATCCCGAAAGAGGGCCCAGGGACTGAGAAAATGCGTCATATTTCGTCGTCCCTAATCCTAATTATACGCACAATTTTATTCACGGTTACGATACGCGGCTGTTTTCGGGACGTGCTCTTCCTTCTATTGTCTGGTGTAGGTGCGATTTAGTTATAAGTAAACGAGCGAGATAAATATTATTGCTACTTATCTCACGATTAACGCTGGGTTCCTAACTTTTCCAGAGAAAATCAACCGGAACAACTCGTTTACAGTTACATCAGAGTTGATATCAACAACCAATTACTTTTTGTTTTGTCGTTTTACTGTTTTTGTATTTTTGAACGAAATTACTACAAGCTGCGATTTATTTATTTTATGAAGATTCGCGTTCCAGACAGCTGTTGTTGCCTTCAAATCGCATCTGAATTGAACATTTTTAATTTAGACTATCTATTCTGTTATATTTTAATCGGGCTTTTGAGTACTTCACTTATCACCGTAATGAGGAAGGCGTTTCCCCTCGCCTCCTTCTTAATACCCCCTTTGGTTCCGTATACTTTCTCTTGAACCATCGAAACGTATTAGGCTACCGCATTCAAGGGTGATCATTCGTATCGTACTTAATTCCTGGCGTAAATTTTCTTACATATAACCGGAGGACGCTATTTTCTCTGTGATTGGGGCTACAGCTTAAGGTGGGTGCCGAACCACCAGTGTCGCGGCGTTAATTCTGATGATTACACCTTTTTGAACAAAGCTATTGGTATATAATTGGAAAAACTCATGTTCAACTTCATCAGAGTTAATTTTCTTCTATGAAAATGTAACTCACATACCGAATTAATACACAACTAAATACACATGTTTATGGACACTTATCTATTACACACCAATGTAAAGAAAAACAATAATTCAAACGAAATATCGTCGAGAAATCGATAATCAGTCAATAGAGCAGAGATTTGAAACCATTGATAGCGAAGAGAAGCAAAAATCCAACGATATCGGACTCAAGACTGTGTCATTTGCCGAGCTCGTAGCCTGGACCTATAGTACATTACGCAACGTATAAAACAGTGGCCTGCAACCGTAGGCACCGGTCATTGATAAGCCGAAGTTTAGAAAGCGCTCGGTCTCTCACCAGCTAACCCCGCTCTCGTAACTCAAGAAGCTGCTATCTAACATTGACAAGTGCTATTATATTATTCCTATACTTATTAAGCTGCTGCTGGGAAGTCCGTCAGTCAGATGACAGTACCGAGCAGTACATTGCAGTGGAAGCAATGAATATCTCAATGGAGGAATATAAGATAAGTGGCTTGAACTTGACTGCGGATACGTTTGTAGGTAACCCAGTATAAACAGTCATTACTTTTCTATCGAGTCTACACGGTTTCCTCGTGGTACGAGGGCAGACTGCTGCTGAAGCTTGTAGTGATAGTCGTCGAACAAAATGTTCATTTAAATACAGGAAGAACTTTAAAATATTATCTAAATTCACGTTGCATAAGCCACTTGACCGCATGTTCTCTATGTAGTTACACTGAAGTTACTAAATTCGTGCTCTGACTATAAATTGAATTATTCGTTGAAATCCTCATTCAGACTACAAATATCGTTTCCGAAAAAAATAATCTCTAGTTGTTTTTAGATGTTTTATCTTATCCATTTTTCCTCGTGCGACAGATAGAGGGAGGAAGACACGGGGGGGGGGGGGGGGTTTAAATACACTAGGATAGCCTGAAAATGGCCTGACATGTTCCTTATCGACAGTTTACGCAGTAGCTTGAATCGGCGTGGAAACAATTTGCAGGACTCAATGAATGTATTCCCAGTTTTAACCGATTTTTTAACCGCAATGAAACATCAGCTCAGTGCAATGAAAATGTAATGAACTACATGTGCGGGGCTTATCGAGACAGGCTTGTAGGATTGTCAATAAAATGAATGCACTAAATAACAAATGCAAACGTCGTTGAGGGCTCGGGCGAGAGAGGCTCTACTCTGGCGCCCCACGCTTTCCATCGATTCTGCGACATTATCGTAATAACAGTTCCGTTGCTGCGTAACAAATATATCATGTTCTATTGTTGAGCGACCGAACCTCTTTGCCTCAAGCAAATAAATAATATTTCAGAATAATACAGTTTAGCCACATATTGTTCTCGCTTGACGAGCAGTAATGGATGGTATTACACCCGAATACATAAATTCGTAGCCAATTGTGCACATATTTTCTCATTTCGAAAGCTGTAAAAGCAAACATTTAAATTTATAAACTTTGAACATGTAAATATCGATATTGTATCTCTCGTATGCGACAAGCAATGCACATTGATCAAATAAAACTTTTAACAACAAACTTGTAGCAGAGTATTTCGTTTGAAATGTGAGACAACGTACGTAATTGGTATTGCAATTTACCAAATGTTTTACAATTAAAACATATATTTAAGGATTGTTGAAAAGTTCTATTCTACAGTTTCCTTTCGAAAACAAACCATAACTATAGAATGTATAAACTCCAGCTGGTTTAGTCAAATGCTTTTGTTGGAACAAAATCTTAGTCAGCAAGTATGACTGAATTTTTGTAAAATAATTGAGTTTAATTAGAAGAGAAGTAAAAATATGACTTACAACGTATTTGAAACATGGAATAATTATTAGAAATCTGAATTATCACTCAAAATATGACGCTCATTTTGCATGCCTTAAATGCCTTAAAAAAATACAAGTTATAAAAATATACTTGTATGTACGCGCTAAGCAGCGAGGTGATTCGAAAGCCTAATCCGTAGCCGACTATGCTTTTTATTATATTTAATAATAGTAATTAAGATAGCGCGATGTCGTGTAATCAATTTAATATTAATTATTTAGAAGTTTATAGTGATCAATCAATAGGAGAAAAGTATCGGTAGCATTTCAAATTGCTGACGTGTAGAAAAATAAAATCGAACTACGACGCTCACACAATTAATTATGTCATTCAGTCTAAGCATCATTTAAAATTTATCAATTAATTAAAATTACAAATTAATTATATATAGGGGATGAATATATACAAGCGTTCGGCTGGTAAAAATAAACTGTGAACATTTTTCATACTTTGAAATAAATTGGCAAGTAAAGAAATTAAACCAAAATATGTGTATACTTAATGAAAAATTTCTTGTCACTTACCTGTACATAAAGCCTAATCTCAGTTTTCAAACGTGAGCGGTTAAAATTAAGAGTTGTACATAATTAATGACCAAATTTGAATTGTGGCGCATCAGAGTCCTCAGGTACCCACAGCCATTAAAACGAAACGAAACGAAATGTAATTAATGACCGAGCTATTTACGTTCTATTGATGATTATACAATTAATCATTTTTCGTTCTACTATCTACCACAATAGTATATAATGTAGTATATATAGGTTAAGCTGTTTCACCTTCACTCGATCGTTCTCACCTGAATAGAGGAGATAAAATTACGTGCAGGTTAAATCGCTTGATCCTCTTAGTATTATTCTCTAGTAATTATGATACATCGCGGGTAAATAGTACATGGTATTAGCAAAAGGGTGAAAAGCCACGCGAGAATCTCTTTGCGGAACATGTTAGCTACGTAATTTTTGGAAATGACGCGTAGAAAGTCCCAATTTGTTCACACGTTTTTTGCCGAGGTTACGGCAAAAAACGCGTATACTTTTTGCACGGAGTGCTTGGCAGGAAAATTTAGACGTGCATTTTTGCTCAAGCTTAGCGAACGTCAGGGCTTAGACCAAGTTTGTACAGCAATTTCCGCGAATCGAGGCTTACACCACGGTATGTCGCAATAATATAAATACCAAGATTATTTTTTTATCTATCTGCGGTACTTATTGCAACTATTCAAATTTTATTAAAATAAAAAATATCAGACTACATTAAATAAGGAATAAAAAATTACTTCACTATGTGGATTAAGCATATTTAAAATACAATTATGAAGTTAAATCTTTAACGCTCGGAAGTTTAAGAGCCTCAGCTTTAACGTCTATTTCTTTTAAGTATAGAGGATATTCATTTTTCGAAACTACTTATTTCGATGTATAGTTTACCGCGCTTTAGAATGGTGAAATTCATTAACTTCAAATTCTACTGTCTTGAATTAAATTGAACGAGAACCATCTTAATGGTAATAATAAATCAATTTAGGAGCGATACGACTTTAATCTCTTAAAATTAGGTTTTTTTTTGTGTTAATACCATTCGAAAAATTATTTCAAAAATTACGGTAAAGAGAAAGGACCAGAGACAGAAGACGGTTGAATGATTCTGTCAATGCATTTTTAATTTTTTTAAATGTTACAACAAGTGGGGAGTTAATGTGTACAAGTTTACATAGACTTTAACACATTTAGGAACATCGTTTCTCGACGCAATTCCAAAAGAATATAATTGTTCCTGACAAATTTTCAAGCAAACGCTAGTTTTTCTATACATATATGTATGTGACTGACTATTTACGTTATAATTATTCATCAGCATATCATGCCGAAAAAGCACTTTACTTCCGAAGGCTCTAAAGTATTTGACTATTAATCTTGTTTGTAGTCACGCTAGAATTTTTATTGTGATTTAAGGATCCTTGTCATCGAGAAACTCCTTTAATTGGTTTGCTCCAGTATAAACTTTAAAAGAGCGCAATGCACTGCAAATGATATATTATTGGTCTATTTTCCATGAATTCGCAAGGAAAGCAAGATAAACATCATGAACGTCATGTTGGTACTATTGATAAATGGTATGTACTATCTTGAAAATACTCTCCTCTTTATTGTTTTTATGAGAAACATAAGCTTTATACTTTGAAAAAATTCAAATATTTATATTCTAGTATGTCGATGAAACAAAATTTAATTTAAATAAACCAACGCATATACACATTATATTCGTTTCGTATATCAGAGTAAAAATTTTTTTTTCTCTTTTCTTTTCTGTTCGTTCACTAGACGCACATAGTACTACGTAAGTACGCTAAAATTAAATTCAGTCTTTGGAGAACAAAACTGCTCTCGCATACTCATGCAGAATTCTACACTCATTCTTTAATTCCCCAACGTATGTTTAATTTTCACTTGTTTATCTATGTACATTTCAAAAATGTGCGTTGTAGTTACGAAAAAGAACATTTTGTTTTTCATACACATGTGAATGCCTAATCAATTTTTCTTTATCAGGTTATGCTAAAATCACAGAAGTATGCCATTCCCATCGCATCATTTTTCGTACCGAACGTTCGGGCACTCTTGAGAAACAAAAAATAAAAATAAATAAAAAAGGTTGATAGTGACGGGATCTATAAACCACATTATTAATACTCAAAAATTTTCTTCATCTCACTCGTCTGATAGAAGTCGAACAATATATACAAAGTGTCGCTGTCTTCAAAAAAAAATCTTAAATCCTAAGAATCTACGAGTAGATTCTAAACTACGACTGTTTTGTATTTACAAGTTTAAACAATCGTCTCTCATATAGCAAAAAAACGAACAAAAATCAATGATCAGTAGAATATTAACAAAGAATATAACATCGTTGAGATCATCGCATTTGAAGATCTGCAATTATGAACGTGATTATAAACAGAATAAAAGATGTTAAAACTAGCTTCGATTTTTGATAAACTTTTTACATTTAATAAAGTTAAAAATTTCCTTCCAAAAGTAAATTCAAAAAAGAAATGTATACCGTTATTGAAATATTACTATAAATGTAACATCAGACAGCGCGCTCAGCACGCAGTTGCAGTATAAGAAAGAGACAAAGTCGAATATACAATGAAATCGTCGTTTTTTTTTGTTGGTTTTTTTTTGTTTTTTTTTTTCTGTTTTGAAGCAAATCTTAATAGTTATTTATCCAAATTCGTTGTAATAAAAATTGTAGGCACGTTGCGTAAAGCTAAAAGCTAAATTTCGTAATTACTAGTTTGTTGCTAATTGCCGTTCGTGTCGTTGAAAATTGAAATTTCAAACACAAAAAAGAAAGTCAAGTCTAGTGGAAACAATTAAAAATTGTTTCCTCCTTATTCGTACTAGAGTACATGACGATTAATTAATCGACGTGGTGATGGTAGTAAGAGGGGGGAGTGTTAGCGCTAAATTGCATAGATATCAACGAGCATGGTCCCGTTTATTGTTCCGGGACCGCTAACAAATTCTAGGCAAGTTCCCGCTTGGATTTGCTCTCGGTATAGAACTCGGTTGCAAGATCGGTGTTGCTGCTGCTGTGGCTAGTTATTGGAGCTGGTTGGAATTGATTGGTCAAGATGTAAACGACAGCTTCGTAGGTGGCCATCATTATCGCAGTGTTGGGTATCTGACGGACCAGTTGGGTTGCTAAACCTCGGTAGAGACCACGAGGACCTTCCTCGGCTACTATCAGGCTCGTGGTCTGCCAGAAACGTTGGTACTTGGTGCCTTCCTCGCGCAGTCTTGTTCGTATCACCTCTGCAAAGAACATTTTATTAGAATAAAAAATAACTTATAGAAAGTTCTAGTTTACGAGAGTTTTTGATGTCGCCTGCTCTATACGGCAGTCAAATTTGCTTACCACGGATAATAAAGATACACGGCACAAATATGATATCCAATATCACGCCGATGCTCGAAAAAATACAATTGAAATTGGCAAATCTCTCGCGGCAAATGAGCCATCAGATGCTTGTAAAAGTATCTCGCGCTACCTTTAGGTAGAAGACAAATTATTCTTGCAGGGAGAGTGAGCGAGTCAGCGAGAAAAGAAATTTTCATCGTGCTCGCATCACGTTCGGAACACGTGAAGCTGTACGAATTCTCGATAAAACGCGTGATGATACGATTTATCGCGCGAAATGAAGTCTCTCTTGCTAATTAAAGAAGTCGTCCACAGAAGGGAAATTTCCTTTGACAAAAAAGCCCCCCCCCCCACCACCACCACCACCACCACCACCTTTTTTTCTTTCGATTGTTTTTGTTTTCACGAGTTCGTACGATAAGATGCGCCAAATTTTGCACGAGATTCCGATGGCGATAAAAAGATATTTTTGGCGCATAATCAGTCATTTTCATTCATGCATTAACAGTTCATTTATTTTTCTGCGCAATGTTTCATTAATAGCGCAGGTAACAACACGTGCACTTGAATTCATTTATCGCGGTTGGTCGTGTGCATTGTTTCATATTATCTCGATCTTAATGTAGGTGGATTCAATCGTATCGGTAATTCGCGAACAAAAACAGTTGGCAATCGTACAAACTAAAGTTAAGAAAAGCCATTGAAGACGCAAAACATTTATCGCCGGATAAATTTTGGCGATCAATCGTTACAATCGACAATTAATCTGAGTTTGCTTATAAGTAAATCGCCAATCAAAAACGACTCTACGATTATTTGCGTTTACGAAATTTCACGTTGTATCAAGAGCTGCGACATAAATCTCTCGGTAACGCGTCTCGAGCTACGGACGACAACCAAAAGGGAAGGTCAGCGAATTGGACCGAATTTAAGAGCCAGCGTATGAGAAAATTGGCGCGTTAGTCGATTTGTCGTCGCCATACGCGGACGTGAACCGTTAGCTTTTTTGCATTCTTCGGCGCAGCGACGGCCGACATCGCTTCAACGTGTTTATGAACTTTTAAATGCCCCCGGCGATGCTTTATTGCTAGCGCGCTTTGACTTTGACTGCGCCTCGCCGTGCGAAAACTGCCTTCGTCTGCCGATGATTAAAGATATTTCTAGGTCGTTGCTCGATTAGTACTCGCCCTTTCGTCCAAACAAGCAGCATAAAAATTTGCCCTCCCGTCGATCTTTCTTCGAGAGGCGTACGCAGAGCTTCGTAAAAATGCAGCGGCCGAATGGAATAAGTTGGCCCACTTTCGAATGAGAATATGCGCAAAAGACCCTCGCGTTATCGGGAATCTCGAGCGCGACCAGCATTTGTAACGCACGCGCGCGTTCTTTTTTTGCGAGCTTCATTTTTCGCAAGTTTGCCAACTTTCTTCGTGCGCCAGTGACAATCGATGGACGAAAACTGTCAAGCGGGCCGAGATGACAACGGCAATATATATTTCCGATGCCGAGGCTGTCCGAAATTGAGAATTATAAATTACTCTTACGGCGTGCTATTTTTGCGCGTTGCTCGCAACGACGAGTAAGATGCGCACCGCGGTAAGAGCATCGTAAAGTGCGCAATAATAGAACGAACGACTTGGAAAACGAAGGCGCGAATTCCAATCGACGATGGCTTTCGCCGGGCGGAAAAAGCAGGCGCACAAGAGAGGCAATTACCATGCGGATAGGCGACACAAGATGCGACCGTCTTGGAGAGCGCACCCGCAGCCATGAACTCGACAAAGTCCCGCGATGTTTTGGAATGGTCGTCCGCCGATGGTATTCTCTCGCGGTGCTCGATTAGCCAAGCCTTGATTGCCTCGTAGATGACGAAGTGCACGACCGTCTCGCTTATGCCGAAGTACGAGGCGACGATGCCTTTGTAGAAGCCCAGGATTCCCTGTAAATATTTTCGAGGCGCATCAGTTGCCGATTTTTGTGGTTTGCTTAATACTGGCTGCATTGGCAGCGTTCGAACGAGATAATCAGCGTCTTTCGATCAGTAAAAATAAACTAACAAATCTCTGCAAATGTATATGATGCGTGAGAAATTTTTCTCGTATCGAGTAGATTTCTGCGGTAACGAATGCAATAGGAATAAACCGAGAATTCATTGATAGCGGTCACGTTAAAAAACTGATTCACGAAACACATCTTCGTCAATCTTCAAGAACATTAAGGTCGAAGCGAGTTTCCGCATAAATCTACTTGTTTACTAAAGCCACAGCGCAATGGTTAGCGTGTGTTTTGTATGTTCACTCGGGGTGCTATTTTTGAGCCGGGAATTGCTATTTACAGCGTGCAATTCTCGATTTAGAAGCGCAATCTCTCTCACGGGACTACGTGCCAACGGTGGACTTGACGGTGATTTTTCGAGAACGTCGCGTTTAATCATTGCCAAAAAATCAATCTGACAAACATCGCGTATAGATCTATAAGTGCAACAACGTCTTAATTACGCGTCTGATGTAACCTTTTGTTGCGATGTGACCGTTGTAAAGCAACAATACATCACAAATGATCGACAATTTTTTTTTCAGCTACAATGCCCAGATACAAACGCAAATTACATACAATGGAATTTCCTGTTTTTCTCGATTTTGCACAATCAGCTACGCGACGTGCAGCGCCAGCGCTACGTGCTTCCTCTTACGACCTATTTATAGCGCAAGAAGTATAAAAAACTACGACGATCAGATGGTCACACGTACATAAATGGCGAGTAGCGTCTTACCGACTGTTGGTATACCCTTCGGATGCACTCAAGCGCGCTCGTTTGATTCGTGTGATGATTGAGCTGCAACCTCGTCTTGACGAACCAAATTGGATTCGTTGCTGTGCACGATACGAAACCTGAAACAAAGATAGTAGAAGAAACGTTAATCGAGGTGAACGACAGTTTCAAATTAACTATAGAATCAAAGCCGCGAACTGTAAAATTATCGATTAAAAGATTGCAGACAAGTAGAACACCCTTGCAAGCCTGAAAAATAATTTATCGCTCCGAGTAGGACAGGCGCAATTCAACGTGCATTTCCAACGACACGTAACCACGATGATGTGTGGCGCAATCCCGTATTACAGAACGTAAACAGATCGAGTATTTTTTATAGAGAAAAAAATGAATGTCAAATGTCTATTTCATGACGACTCAAATACAAATATAAGCTGATTCCTCATTCTTTGCTTCGATAACACGTACAAATCCAAATGCTTCCGCCCCCCGCCCCCGCCCCCCGCAAGGTTCTCGCGCACGTCAGCTAAAAGTTCCAGTTACAAAGTTCGCACCTGCGAGAGCCGGTCGCGACCTTGTCAATTGTGATCGGTGAAAGAAGAGGAGCGAAGAAAAGCGAGAGGTGCGATAGACGAAGACGCGGTCACGACGTCGGTGCGGCTGCGCGCGCCTGACCCAGTTCCGAGAAGACCCGGGGCATCGTCCTCAGGCATGACAAAGTTAGCTAACGTAGCCGCCGCCGACACATTTGGCTCGCGCGCGCTACTATAAACAATCGAGCTTTCGACCTGCGCTGCGCTCGAGGAAGGTCGCCCGTGCGCGCGAAAACCAGCTTTTTTGCGCTTGTCCAAGGTCCTTCCACGTGCACGGGTCGTTCAACCGCGCCCACTCGTCTAATTTCCCTCCAGTAACCATTCAGGATAATTATCATTCGTTCTCATTACGCGGGCAAACAAAAGTGCCAACGTTGCGTGCTGTCGACTCGATTGCTTCGAAAGCTCTGTTTACTTTGTCGTCATTGTTTGCGCGAACGTGCGCAGTCATTAATAAATGGGAGAATATATAGGTTGGCGAACTGTGGGGGTGGCGATGACGATTCTTATAAGCGCTTTCTTCTCTTCAATCGATCTGCGTGCAGTGTTTACCGTCTCTGGCTTTTTTCGTGTCGCAACTTTTTTTTTCACGACGAAAGAAAACTTCGAACGGTCAACCGAATACACGCGTATTTCTTTCGAACTCAATGGCCTTCGCGAGTGAAGAAAAGACTCAACGAACCTTTGTCGAAAGGCTGCTAAATGCGATACGGCAAGGTAAACGCGAGATGAAAAAAAAAAAATAAACTCGTCGTGCACGAGAAAAATATGAGAAAGCGACGACAAACGTGGCGTGGTAAAGCAGTTTGACCGAGGCGAAGAAAAAACACTAGTCACCGAACGCGTCCACGCAGGCTTTCTATTTTTAAAGCTACGTCGCGTACACATTTCCTTCCTGCGCGAGCCTTCGCAAAGACAGATAATTCATAGCTCACGTGTGTATGAATATACACGCCTTTTGCTCACAGGGGATCGGCGCTCGTTTCATTCGCCGAGAAAAACAGAAATCGCAATCTAGAAGTTTCGCGAATGAAATAAGTGCTGCTATTCGCCTTTTGCTTTTTTTCTTGGCAGTCGATCGATAAGCTCTGCCAATTAGGAGAGATCACGTATTTCGATTGTTGAATTATTCACATTCGTTTCGTTGAAGTGATAAAGAGCTACTTACGCTTATACCTCCCAATACTCAAAAAACGCTGCTTTAATTATTGATAACTAAATAACTTCTATAAAGTTTGTTTTCCGTACAAGATTCGTTGTATTGCATACTTTCCACGATGTTCATAACTCATTTGCAATTATTTAATGAATTAAAAAAACTACAAAAGATTGATGAACTTCATCCATGCAAAGTCGCGTGTCCATGTTTAGATAAGTCGGTGCAATGAAATAGAAAAAATTGAATATTTCATCGGTCATAATTACTTGAGCGTGCTGGCAATCGCTTCGTGCAATTTTATTTTCATTTTACAAAAAACTATCCTTGAATGAGCCGCTAAAGAACTATAATCTTTTCTTGACAAGCAGTCAGTTGATTGGATGCGGAGCAGAATTTTGTGTTCAGAAAAAAAGGCAGCAAAACATATAAACTGACGAAGGCCGACAAGTGACATGGGATTATCTCGGATGCTTTATAAAGGCTTCTTTAAAAAAAAAAACATTCTCGGGGGATGAAGCAGAAAAGTGTCTGCCAAATTGATAACGATCATCTCAATGTTTATACAGATGAAATTTATCGACAGCGAATAATTACGAGCGACGTCCCATTGTCCTCCGTGACAACCAATCAGCTGCGTTATCGCGCGAAGAATCTCGAAATAAGGAGCGAGAGAAACGAACGATCGGTTATTCATGGTCATTAGCCTTTGCGTATGGATTTGAACGGAAGTGTGTATCGAATAAAGCAAATTGTATAAGCCGGCGGCGTTCGGAGACAGGAACTTATCTAACCAAAATACCACGAGATCTGACTAAAAATTATGCTACTACGTATAATCGATCGTCAATCGATCGATTAATTTGCCGATTGCATCGTCGTTAATCCATTTGTCATACTTGATCAAGACTCGTTCGACTGCACGTTCGACTGGATAATCTTCAGTCCAGGCAGCAATCAGAATTGAATCAGTAATGACAGCTTCAATTTTTATCTTTCGTATTTAAAGGAGAACAGTAAGGCTTAATTTGAAATAACGAATTTGTTTGCTCGGTATTTCGTTTGGACGTAAAGTTAAAATTAAAAGCAACGTACGTTTGCCGCGTGGACGCTTGAAGGGCGACGCTGCGACCGCCAGAGCCAGGCACGCAGAGCCAATCTGGCGAAAATCGAAGCCAGATCGCGCGAGTCCCTTGGCTTGTATCGGTCGCGCGCCCGTCGGAGTGGATGCCTGCAACGGCGGAGGATAAACAAATGGTGTCTCGCGACGAGATGTTGCATAAGCCGGCGTTACAGTCGCGTGCGCCGCTATATATATCGGCGAAATTGATTGCTTACTGCGCATTGACCTCATTCTATGCCACGGCCGCGCAATGTCGCCAGAGAGCGCTTTCCTTCGTCGAATTTTATTTCGCGATTCCTTGCAAGGCCTCGTTGTTGGTAAACAAAGCGTTTAAGATAGCCGCTTTCGACGCGCGACTCACGCTGTTGTATGTGCTCGCGCGCCTTTTTCGCGCGCAGACTTCGCAGTCGCCGACCCGTGCCAAGTGACGTTTCGATACACCGAAATGAAAGTGGTTTCTCAAATTGCAAATCCGTGGTTCCCGGCAGACTTCCACTATTGACTTCTATCGCGTCACCTACTTACGATACTCTATAAACGACGGTACGCGCGTATGTGTGTTACTTGGGTTATTTTGCGATTCAGCTCCTGAAACGAGAAACCAAAATATACGCATGCGTCTGCTCGTGAACTACAGAAGCATGCCTGGAATGCATCGTGCAATCGCAGCGAGGGGGGAAAAAAATTGAAACCCGTCACTTTTGCTGGCCAACGGAGTTTCCGGGGTTTTCGGCGGGAAAGTTCAAGAGCCTACGGCCAGCAGAAAGAGAAGCGATCGAATTTTTTCGAGGCTCGAGAAACGAGAACTAGAGCGAGCTGTCGGTCGCCGCTGACTCGGGCTATATTTAGCAGGAGCAGGCGAGAACAATGTTGGCGGGAGATGCGGGCCGAGGCGTGCGACGAAATTCAGCCGAAACATGCGCCGAAACATGCGCCGAAACATGCGCCGAAACATGCGCCGAAACATGACGACCTTTCCCGCGCTACTTCCGCAGCTGCGGGGAACTTTAGTCGCGATCGCGGAAGAGAAGCGGCACCGTCGGTCCGGGTCCTGCGCGCGAGAACGGGCGAGACGAGAGTGCTGCCTCGTAATAACATCATCGGCGCGGGCGCGCTTCGCCTCAAGGACGCGGTCGCGTTCGTAAACATCGACGGCCTAGTGCGTGTAACACACTGACTGCAGCACGGCCGGCTGCGCGCGCTCTAAAAATAGACGGCGCTCGCGCCGCCTGCCGTCTCCCCGACGTATGCCAATGCACTTTACGTCGAACCTTTCCATTCATCGCCGTCGCGTGCGAACTTGCCCTGCGCGCCCTTCCATCCTATTCTCTTACTTCGCTTTCGTCGGCACTGCTGGAATGCCTGTGCGTGTGCCGAGTTTATTAGTCACTTGCCGCGGTTGGGAAATTAAATCGTTTGCGATCTTACGTGCAGCTCAATGTATTCACCGGCAGTTTCGCATTCGTCGAATCATTTGCATTCTTCTTGCTCGCTCTGACAAAGGGAGCTCCGGAATATGGATTTGCAAATGTGAGAAAGAAGCTTCCCTGCCACGAAGGCGCGCACAATGAAACGTACGGCTTGAAGTTTTTCGAAGGCGAGAGGTGCAGATATATGTGTTGTGCGAGAACGTGTTTTCGTTGCGCGTGACATTGAAATTAGGAATAAGCTAGAGGCGTGTTGGTACTTCTCCGACGCGCCGTGAAAAAAGTACGACTTTGCCGTAGACTAGGTAAAAACGCAATTTCCACGCGTTTGTTGCGACAAATACCATAGCTTACGCGATTGACAAAGGGATTCTCATCTCGCGTGCCTTTCCTATTGAACCTCTCAAATCTCTCGTACGAATCTACTTTCCCAAGCTGGTTGGATAATGCATTATTCATACTTTTCGAGTCAAGTAAATTACATTTTTAGCGTTCAACGTTGAAAAAAATATTCGATTATTATTGTTAAATGTTATTACGTACAAGGATAATATATTTTTGTTCAACGGCCCGAAAGTAGCATTTCTTGGTTGCTGCTCGGTCGGTAACATACTAATTTCGGCCTCGCTAGGCAAGAAAATAGTATACACACCACGGCCGGAAAATTGGCAAACTCGTAGCACGTGCCTCGGCTTCGTCTCGGTTATGAATTCTCACGTGCTATGGATTTATCAATACTTTCCCGGCTTAGATACCTACTCTACTATTAATCCATAGAATAATTTTCGCTCAGCCAGATATTCTATTTTTACCGTCGTCAATAGAATACCTGGTATCTCATCCTTTCCATTAATTTGTATATACATTAAACGATGTTATCCTGCTTTTCGTGTACTTCAAGTACTGTGTATCTCTTTTATAACTTTCGATCCAGATTGTGATTTCGACAAATCCAATTAAAAAAAAAAAAAAAAAAAACAGTAAAGAAATAAGGACTTGTAATGGATTTTCCTCAGAAGATGCCTACATGACCAAGAGCATGCAATCGATCTTCAAAGTAAACATTTGCGTCGGACGGTAGACACTTCCTTCAAAACAAAATCTTTCTGCACAATACTCCGTCATTTTGATAAAAAAAAGTACGCAGTTATCTTTGTCTTTTGCTTTCTCAACAAACTTTTATAATCAACGTATAATTTTGCACCTAGAATGACGTTGTTTATACGCAAGTTGGAAAATGTGAATTATTTACTCGGTGCACCACATTTCGTCTGGGATTATTGTATAAACGTGCTCGCGTTCAAATTTAAACAACAATGGCGTACGAATACATGTATATCAGGAGTGAGAATTGTTTGTTGTTTCTCAGACGCCAGTCAAAATAAGCCAACATGAAACAAATCCCATTTCTTTTGCGTGTATCGAAATTGGCAAGAGTACTATAGCGTTGTTGAATAGACGAGTGGTTTCTCATATGTAGTACGAGCAGATTTAACTATATTTGCGTAGCCATCAAATACTCTACTATGTGATCATGCGATTCACTTGAATTTTCAAGTGTTTAGAAAAAATGAGCTGGAACATTATCGTCTGTTCGATACGTCACGTTGCTGTTACGTTAATCAGTGAATTGATTGAGGAGGGGGGGGGGGCGCTATTAATCTATCCGCAAGTCAAAAGTATCAGTTCGTCGTCGCAACAATGTACTTAAACTAATAGTTGCTTGACGAGATAAGACTCATGATAATCAAGTGATATTTTCTTTTGTGTAAAATTACCGTTAATTGTCGTCCTCGATCTTCATTTTTATTCTTAGTTTATTTTTTAAATATATTCAACAGCTTTCTAACAAAAACTTAAAAATTGCGCCTGTGGGCTCATTTTTGTATGTAATTTAGCGACACTTTCAAATTAAACTTTATAAATTGACATAACGTTAAGATTGTTATATTTATGTTTAAGAGAATAATCGTTTGACCATAGAATAAACTTCTATAAGAAAAGCGGTTTGCAAAAACGAATAACTAACGCCTGAACATCATAAAGAATGTAAGCTTCAAGATATCTAACTAAACAGTTCAACATAAGCTTGGATATTATTCGTAAAGAAAGTACTGGCAGCTCTCGATAATCGTAACGTCCATTCTGAATGAAATCAATTATAATTGCATTTGTTATGAGATGAAGCAGCTGTTTAAAATTGTACATCATCAAAGCATGCAAGGATAAAACGCGTTACAGTTTGATACAAATAATTGTCAATGAGCTTTCATTGAACGAAGCTTATCGTGACGCCAGCAAATTGCTATTATAGAAAAAGAAAAGGAGGGTCCTCCCGTAAAGATTTCTCGACAGTTGTACGGTTGTTTACCCACTTTATTGCCTTGCACGACGTATAGCACGTTGATCGCCAACGGCTAAATTACACAGCACTGTACTCTAAGCAAGGAAAGATAAAAAAAAAAGGCGAGTGGGAAGTGTATCTAGAGTCGAAGTATCGAATGATCATAGTACAGCACGCGGCTCCCCCGCGAAGACGCGTGGCTTTGCGTCGAGGTCAGAGCTCAAGCCAGTGAGCACGTTGTCGCCTCGTGCTCGTGACCTGCCGGCGTCTCGCGCGGTGTGACTATCGAGATAACGCAGCTCCCAACGTTTCGCTCTCACGGCGCACTCTCTTCGACGATTGCGATTATCCGCAATGTTCATTCTTCACTCAAGAACTGGAGGGTGATTGTTTTTCTTTCACTTTTCGCTCGACTGCGATTGATGAAGAGCTGTTAGCAGATAAGTTTTTTTCTTCTAGGTTATCGGAAAATGTATTACTATTCTCATTCTCTCTCTTTCTTTCTAGAGTACGTAGTAATTTAAATTATAATACTTTCATCTATGAGTTATGTACGTATATTTTGGTGATAGCGTTACCGTTGATATTCGTTAAATGCTTGACGATGGAAATTCGAATCTAATTTGGTTTTATTTTTAAATGTGGAAATTGACGAAGTTGAGTCGCAATGATAAAATCTATCTTAGGTGCGCGCGCGCGTATCGGTAGAAGGTGATTAATAAGGTGGATTTCCTTTGTAGATTAATTGCTGAGTCTCTCTATCTCTCACTTTCTTTTGCGAGTCAAATGAGGATATCAACTCTATTGTGAGAAAACTATAAATGTACACGGGGAAATTTCGTTTTGGCAATTGATCGTACGACACATTTTGCAGATTGGATGAAAGTCTCATCTAGCTTTGAGGTAGCTTTTAGTAATGAGATTTAAATAAGTTTGTGAACACGGTACCCTTGTGACAATCAACTCGGAGTATGTAAAATTGTAAGTTGCATCGTTCAGTAATAATAATTTGAAAAATTAGAAGAATTAAGCTCGTAATTCTTCGAAATGAAAATAAAACCATGCATAACGCGTTATGCGCACAACGCAATTTTTCAATTCTAAAATTCGCAGCATTATCAAACATGTTATTTTGCTGATATGTCATTTGAAAGAGTTTGAATTTTAAATTGAATGGCATGATCTTGCGTAACGTGAGATGCGTTTCTCATTTTTTCGCTCAGCTATAGTACAGTGTCTTACAGAGGTTTCGTGTATACGCTGCCATTAGGTCAATGGAACAGTACTCTCGTCAGACGGAAAAGAGCTAATTAAATGGAGTGTTTAAACACATGATTTTATTACGTAGCCATTTAACTTCGTGATGTATCTTTGCAATTATACGATACGCATATTTGATTGCCGAACTGTTCGTTGTCTAACGCGCGCATTTCTTCGCATTCCACAGTCGTCAAATCGTCACTTGCACTAATAAGCAATAATAAGTTTCACGTCTGATGCGAAATATTTTATGAAAAAAAAAAAGCAATGATTACGTCTCTCCTTCGTTGAATTCATACAAAGCATTCCCACTAGCGCGGCGTCAGACGCGCTTCGCTGTCACATGTTAACTACCATCACGTGACTTCCTCCTGGCCAATCCAATCACGAAGAAGCTAACTTCGCTTTGCTACCCACCTATACTCTGTTTTAGGAAGATACGTTATTTTATTCCTCCTAATAGCCACTTTAACGAAAGCAAAGTTTTCCACGACACGATAAAAAAAGGCATCGCGCTTTCCGCGTCAATAAAACGTTATTTTTGCAGCTGACCTGGAGTAGCGCAGATCCTAAGCACGCGCTAAGTAAATGTAACGTCTCGCAACGATAATGCAGCAGCAGCAGGCGTGTGATCTGATTTCCGACGAAGGCTCAAGAAAAAGAAAATTCCGTAACTCGCGCTTGTTGCGCGGGATAATAAGACCAGAGTGCCGCGTGCATTGGCACCCCGCGGAATTACAAGCTCTGATAAGAGGCGTGACGCGCGCAGGCGGCCGCAAGACCTTTATCTTATCTCGCGACTCTCTCGGCGCATAATTTCCGATCGCGGAAATTATTAATAATACCGACTTGCGGCCTTTCGCTTGAGGGAGGGAGAGAGAGAGAGATTGTTTAGCGCCACTTGCGCTCGAGAAGGAGAAACTTTTGTTGTTATCGGCCGCGAATGTTGTGCTTATCGTTGGAAACAATCTATCGGCGTTTCTTTCGCCCCCTCCCCCTATCCGCCCTCTAAAATTCTCAGTCCACGTACTATTATTGACGAGAATTCGAGTTTATTATCATTCGAAACCACGCTTGAGAAGAGTGCGCCGTACCGACAAATTGTTGTTTTTTATACTAAAATTTGGATGCCATCCAGATCGAGATGATACACACTGCTGCAGGCGAATGAAGTTTTTTAGGCGAACCGATATAAAAGTAGATCGACTTATTCACTATAAAAGCCACTGCGTCATACTTGCTTCTTCAAAATAGAAAATACAGAATCTTCAAAGCGGGTATCTATTTATAGAACGTCAAGTAATATTTGAAGCGACGTTTGGGTTTCATGAATTTTAAGGTCTCTCGCTCTGAGATTTCGTTGGATCGATGCGAGCTGAATATTTTTATAACGTACTTATTTGCCTATCTATACATCCTGACATGCCACTCAACTATCGGCAACTCAACAATAAGTAATGAATGTATTTCGGTTCATAGCGGTTAAATATTATAGAGCCGCATGCCCGACGATCATTTAAAATAGTCTTCGATCAGGTAATAAAGAGCAATTGTCCATTTCATAATTTATTCTAGAAATAAACTTGCGAACGCCACGGGAATATTCGACGTTGACGAAAAACTTACCAGCACAAGAGGCAGAGCACATATGTACAAGAGGACTGTCTGGAGGTAGGCATGTGTTGAAGAAGTTTTTGGTCTGCGAATACGTGCAGAAATAGATAGCTCTGGACGGAGCAACACCAACAATGTTGGGCACGAGGCCTTTGAATAATGCTCGCGGTCCCTCGTGCTCAACGATGTACCTTAGGCATTGCAATATACCTGGTTGTGTTACATTGTGTGGTCGACCCCCTGGTGGTGGTGACACGGCGCAGTGTGACAACGTCACTAACGAGTACCTAAACGAACAAAACGAAATTGGGCAATATTAGTCCGTGCTGTTAAGAAGCATTGCCCTAATACAGTTGTTGCTTTTGAAAGATTTAATTGCGCCGTGAGATTCGGCAACGTCTATTTTTTTACATTAAAATTGAGTAGATCGATATCGTCGTTGGAGGGCATCGGGGACATCGATTTAATTGCTATTTTTATTTGCTTAGGAACGCCAGCTGACAGGGCACTGAATCATTACACACGGAAGCTTTTATTAACGTGCACGAGCTTTCAACTAATATGTCGAAAGATTGAAATATTTTTTCTGAATCTGCTTGACCAAGAAGCTTGGATTTTAATTATTTCACGAATTTCGAATCCGACAAATAAACATTGAAACTAAAAATATTATTAATCATCTCGCATCAGCGGCAGAATTCGTATACCTGTAAGATACGATCTTAAACATTCACAAAAAGAAATTATGCCGCGTAATCCTACCGAGTGCAAACAACTGTCAACAGCACCTCTCGTGCATAATCGAATGAATATTATAATTCTAACAATACATTCTTGAATAACAAGTACATCATAAAAAATCGAATAAAAGTTGCAGCATGAATGAATCGTTGCGGGAACATACCTTCTCGACTCTCCTGTGCAGAGTCGTCTTCGCTGTTGGAAACTCCTGCCTGTGACGTGACCAGAGCCTAATTCTTTACTGTACGGCGGTGGATAGAAACCACCCGATGATGACTGCAAACGTGTCTTGACAACCTCGAGGGGACATGTTACTATAGCCGCAACAGTGCCAGCAACCCTGCATCAATATACATACTTTATCATTTGGAAAATACTCGTTATTTTTAATTCGCAATATGGTTACTACATCGACTAGTTATTTTCAATTCGTAATATGGTTGATGTTGCGTGCTTTATCCGTTTCCAACATAAAATGATGCGAAGCCAAATGATTTTAACAATCATTATTATGAATTCTTTGAATCTTTATTATTTTCAAAGTTTGATGACAATATTATGCTCCCTAAAATTGCATCTGTGAGATATGTTTGCCGAACTGAGAGTTTTGTGTCATATTACGCAATACTTGTTTTCAACACGCAAAACATTTTCAATTGGCAGTGCATGTCTAAATCAATCAATTTTTCTTAAAAAAATTGATTTTTCTATTAAAAAACACGACACAGTTTGAAAAAGTGAACATGAAACGTATAATTATAAATTTACGTCTTATCTCAGTTTTTAGTTCAACTGATAAATTAAAAATACGTCACATATGATAATATTATCATTCTGAAGCATTAATAAATCGAGAGCAAAAAAACGTTACAATGTGTTTGCGAATAAATAAGTAACAACATAAAGTAGTTAAACTTCTCCGACTTGTCTTTTCTCCGGTGCAAGAGAGAGATGGCTATTTTTTCTGTGAAACGTGTTTTTTTCAGCATATTTGAACGTGAGTCGAGTAGGAAATAAAACAATGTTAATCTTGGTTTTTTTTTGTTTCTCCGACCTTAAAGATATTATTTTGCGTTTTTGTTGTGAAGAAAGAAATTAGGTTTTAATTTCAGTGATCGATAAATCATGATAAAAATATCACTCATTATTTTTTGAACTATTCGATGATTAAAGCAATGTACTTAATAAAACAAAAAAGAATATTTCATAACGCTTGTAAAAAACCGAGAAACTAAATTTTGTAGTCTGGAAAATTTGTACAAAAATATAAATATGTACTTTTATTTCTCGGTTAGAGCAAGCATTGCGAAATGTACATAAATCACTCCAAGCAGCGAAAGTTTTCTAAGCTCATCAGTTTTCTATCCTCGTGTTTTGTCTGTATATAGTATGTCTCACATACCTGTGTGTGTGCGCGCGTGCGCGCGCGTATGTGTAAGCAAAACTTGTTTTGGATGATCAAAACGTGTTAGCTTTTCCTTTTAAAAATTGGCAATAACAAATATACACCTACACAATGAATTGTCATGACAAACTTTTCCAAAACCTCATCCAAACACACTAATCAATCAGCAAGTGTTTGTCGAATACCGTGAACTAAAAAAAAAAACAAAGATAAAGCTTTCAGTATCGTCAAACCGTTTGTTCGAGATAAACACGCAACGTCAACCATGCGTATAAACAGAATAATATAGGTAGACTTGAATAAGTCCACCGTCTGACCGGTGTGAGAGTTCCAATAAAAGGTCGGTCGCGTTCAGCAATGAATTTTAGTGCGTTAAACTTTGTTTTCTCTAAAATTTTCTCGATCGATTTTATCGTCACGATATATGTTTATAATTGGTTGGTAAGATATTTATTAACGTAGCACGTGCATTTGTCAAGCAAACACACGCCCAGTGTGCAATTATACTCATAGACGTAAGCAAACTCACCCTCCGGCGACGAGGTGAATGATGGTATCGCGTTGCGACATCCTTAATAAAACTTGATGGGCCGACGACGGACACGACGACGAAGAGCACGGTAGAGAGCGAGAGGAAGCGTTCGGCCCTTGTTCGGTGCTTCCTCTCTCACCTCCCTCCGGCTTTAGTTTTTTTTTGGTTACTTGTGGGGACGATGTATGACCCAAGTCAATACTTTTTTTACGGGCTAACCGGCGAATTTTTGCGCAGTTGCACCCCCTCGACCTCCGCGACACTCTTTACATACACATTCGATATTTTGTCTCCCCGGTCAAACAGAGAAATAGAGGAGGGGGGAGAAAGAAAGAATGGTTAAGAGGTTAGTTACAGTGTCTCGTGCACGGAATGAGGAATAATCACAATAATTTTGCTTCACTATAGAGAACACTTTGCAATTGCTTGTCGGTTAATAACGTGGCAAGCTCGAGTTAAAATGGAGAACCGGGATTGAGATAGCGACTGCAACCAGAAATGCAATGTGTGCACCACACCGCCAACTCAAAACAACTGAATCGAGCTCTCCTCAAGTCTACTGCGAATGCTACTACGAATGCGCGCTCCGATACACGTATGGAGACAAACATATGTAGGAATATGTGAGATGTGCGCGCGTCGCTTGCGCGGTAGCCGCGGAATAATCGCTCGTTTCTTTCTGTATTTTTTATGGTTATTTTCTTTTTATTTGCAAATGTATTGCAATTTATCTGCAAGAGTAGTTTTTTGTAACATATCCGATGAGAAAGCGCGATAAGCTTTGATAGCAGAATAAAAATAAATACATGTTCGTTGTGCTTTTGGAAAAACTTTCTTAGGGGCTATCTACATAAGGAGACATCTAACGTGTACCGAGAATATCAAAGCAAAAAACTAATTGTTGATTTAACATCTGGGTACACACGTGAATGCATAGGATGCAAAAAGAATAAAAAATAGATCTACTATATATTAACGTTATTAATATAATAATATATCATTCGACTGTCTTTTTTTGCCGCATGCAACGTTCAATGTCTCCTTATGTAGAAAGTCCCTTATGCTTAAACGCTCCTTTTTTTTCTTATTTTTATTTCAGCGTTACCGTTCGTCTTGTGTTATTAATTACTTGAGATTCGCAACAAAATCTGTTTTGCGAAATTCTTTTTTTTTTAATTGAAGTGTTGAATGATTGATTGTATGTTCTAGAACTATTCTGTAATTATATGCGCATGATTATAATTTTTTAATGTTCTAGTAATGAGGTTTGAAAAGAAATATAGACATAAAAATATTTATTGACGTAATAATACATTTAAAAAATGTTTCTTTTAACCGCTTTTATCAAGAATGAGCGACATGTTTGTAAATTACTGCATTTGCGTTACCGGTGATGGAGTTATGTATATATTTGTGAAAAATTTTCTAGAAATAATATTTTATTAAAAATGTAAAACAAAAATAATTTTCTTCCTAATATAATTAAATGAATTTCATAAAAAATAATATCCAGCAGATTCAAAGAATTCTATTATAATTTATAAATATAATTTTTTTATAAATAATACGATAAAAATTTCTTATAATCAGTTTAATTTATATAATGATTAGCTAAACCATTGTTATTATGCATTTATTTTCGGGATTTTAATGTCCCACGCAATAAAAAAACCGTTAAGAGTTCTTTTTTATCGATCGAAGTAAAACCATGATGTGTTGAGTGTCCTATCAGTGATGAGTATCCGATGACGCTCATTTTCATGAATTCGAGACAAATCTATATCGTTTGTACACCCAACGTGGATTGAATCGCGACCCCCCCAGTTAGGTTGGTATGGGAATTCCGTCGTTGCATCGGAACGAAAAAACCGCGGGAATATTAAAAAATGAAAATTCGTTTTAAGATACGATAAAAAGCTAAAACGTTACTAATTTGTTTTTAGGTTTAAAATTAATTGTTTGCCGAACAATGAATTTAGATGCATGATTATTTGATTTTAGGTTTTAATTATATAATTTAAGAACGAGCGTTTTACTATGGCCGATCTGAAAACCACCGTTACGGACTTAAAGTAGCAGTCAAAATCAAAGCTCGAATAGCAGACCTGAAAAAGTCTGTTTACACGTGTCTATTTTAAATGTTTCTTCCGAGTTTCTTGTGCTTTTACCTGCTTTTGCTTCAGCAAGGATTTATCGTTATGCTGGCATTTAGATAAGTTATTATTTATTTATTTATTTACTATCTACAATAGAATTTTCCCGCGGTTTCTTCGTTCCGATGCAACGACGGAATTCTCATACCAACCTAACTGGGGGGGGTCGCGATTCAATCCACGTGAGTGTACAGATGTTGTAAATACAAATGAAAGAAACACCATCTTAGTTATTACAAATTAAATTTATTCCAACTTATGCTATAAATTCATAGGGTATAGGAGCTAACAGTCGTGGCTTATCTTTGCCAGATACAACATGTGCCAGGTTTGGTTGGGCTGGTTGCCTCTTAAGGGACACCTGGACCCTATTTTCTTTGGCTTCTTTACGAAGCTTCTCATTCTCTTTGACCCTTGTCAAGAAATCTTCTCTACACTTGGAATGGTTAACGTGCTCAATTCTGACATTGATTCTTTTAGCAATGATGTGTCCACGCACTCTTTTGTTGACAATAACTCCCAAAGCATGCTGGGTAACATTGAATACCCTTCCAGTCCTGCCATGGTACACTTTATAGGGCATACCCTTCTGCACAGCACCATTGCCTTTAATGTCAACAATATCACCAACTTTATATACCTTCATGTAGGTAGATAAGGGGATGACTCCGTGTCTACGGAACTTCCGCGAGAACAGGTCTCGCGTTCCCCTGCGGTAACCCTTGGAATTTGTCATTTTGGATCACTTAACTAGAAAATGCAATAATTTTAAACAATTAAACTTCCATACTAAGAGGGCTTGAAATTGACTAAAGTTAGGTTAGATTTATTGTGTGAACGAAATGAATTAGACAAGTTTTTCAGCGGTGTATTTGCCCAAAATAATTAAATTGAAATAAATGAAATCTGATTTCCAAGTGTAATTAGCAATATATCGCAAATTTTATGTAGAAACAAAAACCAATGCAAAACACACGTGTCAACTTGCGCCAAATTTGTTACAAAATACTACTTACGTTTTGACTATTATAAGATTATAATATATTTTGGGAAATTGATTTGGAAAATTGTTTGATTATTGTTTCATGAAAGCCCGCGATATTTTTGGTTTTTTTGACAAAAACAATAAAATATTTAGAAAAAAGTGATAAAAACTTACGTTGCTTAACCAAATCTCTAGGAAAAAGTAATTCGTTTCGTTTCGTTTCGTTTTAATGGCTGTGGGTGTACACATACGTCCGCAGTTAGCTGTTCTATTTCTCGTTCCAGTTTCAGTGATACATTTTCAAAAAAGATTCCGCGAAAACATTTTTATTGAAAAGCTGTAAATGCTGTACGAATAGATAATTTTGTAAATTAATTAATTATATTGGTATACTATACTAACATAATTAATATTATATTCAATGATATGCAGATCAGAATTTTCAATTATAATACACTAGAGCAAATTCACTCTTTTGAAACACAGTGATTATATTAGATGTATCATAGTTCATCTAACTCAACTATTCATTAATTTTAACTAATAGTGGTATATATTTATATATTATTGATAGTAAAAATTAAATAATAACAATTATTTCTGCTACATTAACAGCAGAATTATATAAGCAGCTTTGATAATTTAAATATATATCTTGAATGATATTATACAATTCAAAAATAATAAAGAAATACAGTATACCCTAAATATAAGAAGTTTAATGAAGTAGCTTCTTTCAAAAGCTTAGGTTCAAAAGCTTGATTATTGGTCTATTAAAAACCGAAGCGTAGCTACCCTATAATATAATAGAAGCGCATAAAAAGGCTAGCCGGTGCCCTAAATAGTCCTTTAAACAAATGGATATTGAAAATGGTTTGTCAGCATTTATTTGTTCTGTAATGTATATAGTAGCTGCATGAATTTCTGGATCATCTTTTCCAAAACTCACTTTACAACAGTAGTATGATTTATAAAACAATGCCAGAAAGAATCAACATTCATATAACTAAAACCATAACTTACTTTATATTATCCATGAGTACAGAAAATCTTCAATTAAATGGAGTTTTTGAAGTCAAAATTTCGTCAGTACAGAATCATTCCTGGTAAATATTTTTTCAATTCATTCTTCACTTCCAAAACAGAAATATAAATTACAGCGATTAATTCTTAATTCAAGTCATACAATATTATCACATTATATGTACTACCATTAATGTGAGTAATTTTCATTTCATCATGAACTAATACAGTCTTAACGCCATTGTATACAATTAGCTATGAAAAATTCATTTAGTTTGCAAGCTTCTGTACTATCCAGACTAAATACCATATAAATACCATAATAAAAGACAATGGTCTTTTACATTTTGTAATTCTGTATGGCCTTTAAAATTAAAAACATTTAATCTTTATTACAATAATCAACTGCACATGCTTCAGAAATTTTTTCAGAGTTTTTACCTAAAATTGCAAATTTTTTCTTGTGAGAATAGCAAATTAACATTCTCCCTTGTACTCTATTATATGCAGCTGCTTTTGTAAATGATCCAATACATGTGCATGTATTTTCCGCAAAATTAGATGTGAAAGATTCTAATTCATTGGTCCATATTCAGAAAACAATAATAGCCTGAAGTGATCAACTTTGTATACAATTACTGAAGACTGTACTGATTATTTTATAATTTTTGAACAAAGCTATTACCTAAAATAAAAAAACGAATTCTACTGTATTTATCAACTTTATCTAGAAGTTATAGCAATTTATTTATAAAACTACCTCCTTCAGATATTGGATCAGTTTAATATCGGTATGATAAACTCTGACAGCATACTAACTCAAATCTGCAGCCCAGACAACTTCAAAAAGCCTGTCCAAAAGCCTTGTTTCTCAAGCCTATAAGCTTATAAATAATAAACTATCATCAAAAACTACGACGAATCTTCCTTTAGGATTGTGATGAATTGTTTGTGGATAGATTTCACAAACACCCATGTCTTTGACATTTAATGACAACTTTTCACCTTCCTGAGCTTCTTCTCCAAGTACTTTCAAATTGACCTGCTTAATATCACTATGTTTTTCCCATACAATTTTACCACCTATATACATAAAAAATTTTCTAAGTGTAATGATCTTTACAATGAAACATGAAAGTTATTGCATATGTGGTAAGTTTACCAAGAGAATCCATAGACACAGCTGGTTCCTCACAACCAACTTTTAGCATTACACTACCTTCATTGTAACCAATAGCTACATTATTAGAACCTTTTGTAGATGTAATTGTCTAAACTCTTTCAAAGCCATAGATGAGACGAGTTCAAGCCTGTAGGTACCAGCATGCCAAATCCTTATAGTGTCATCCTATAATCCAGTCAGTATAATTGGCAACTCAGGATAGAAGCAGATAATTGTAATATTTTCTGTGTCCTTCTAAATTCTGAATACAAGTTTTGTTCTGATCAACCTAAATTTTAACATAACGATCATCAGCACCACAGATAAGGTAAGGCTTGTTACCACCATAATTGCTAGACTTTAAGGGTTCTATCTAGAGATGTAGTCGCAAACGTATTATTGTCTTTGCAATTGAATACATTTTGCATGACGGCGCGAGTGTGGTCTCCAAAAACTTGGCTCAGTCAAGAATTTTCCCAATTCTAAAGTTTTATGAGCATGTCATTAATTTTAAATATTATTAAATCATTCAAGATATATGATATTTGAATTATCAAAGCTGCTTATATAATTCTGCTAATAATATAGTAGAAATAATTGTTATTATTTAATTTTTACTATCAATAATATATAATTACATACCACTATTGGTTAAAATGAATAGTTGAGTTAGATGCATGCAGACGTATACAGTCTCCATGGTTCGATGAACTATATGATACATCTAATATAATCACTGTGTTTCAATTCGCTCTAGTGTATTATAATTGAAAATTCTGATCTGCATATCATTGAACATAATATTAATTATGTTAGTATAGTATACCAATATAATTAATTAATTTAGAAAATTATCTATTCGTACAGTATTTACGGCTTTTCAATAAAAATGTTTTCGCGGAATCTTTTTCGAAAATGTAAACATCACTGAAACTGGAACGAGAAATATAACAGCTAACTGCGGTGTACACAAACGATATAGATTCGTCTCGACTTCATGAAAATGATTTTTTGTAGATAAAGTTTTTGTAGCGTCATCGGATTCTCATCACTGCTGTCCTATCTATATATTCTACCATATTGAATTGCAAATGGCGGATTTTCTTCCACGCCGAAAGTATCGTGTTAGCAATTGTAAAGTATAAGCGTCTAACTGAGAAAAAAGTAAACAATCATTTTATTTAGTAATATGTGATTTTGTTCTAACAGCTATTATAAACTGTGTTATTGTTTTAGAATATTCGGTGTGTAAGGCGAAAGCCTTACAATAATAAAAATGGAGATGGACAAGATTCCCCGGACGAGTGATGGTAAGAAATCGTTTTGATTATCATCACTTGAATTACCTTAGCATTTTCTTTTTAAGTAATCAATACTTGAGTGATAATGTGATTATAATTATTACTATATACATCTTTTACAAAACATATGCGGAATACTATCAAATTTTTAGACAGCAACTCAGAAGTTGTCTCTTGATTATTTGGTTAATTTATTTTCTGCTTCCAGAAATTGATGCTCACATTCGAGAAATTCAAGAAAAAAAGAAAACAATACAAACCACTACTACACTCGAAAATCAGTTTGGACTTGATGGGAAATCTGGATATTATGATGAATATTATGATGGAGCTAACAGTAAATTTGATGGATATGTAACATCTATTGCTGCTAATGATGAACCTGATGTAAGTATTATATATATATATAATTATTACTTGAATTTAAAATTAATAATAATATTTATAATTTCATTTGTTTTATTATAGGATGATGATTATGAACCAACTACATTTAGCTCTAATAAGAAAGGATTTAATGCTCCAGCTGCTTTGCTTAATGACATAGCACAGGTAAGAACAACAAATTCAAACAGATTATTTATATATTAACATATAATTTTATTTAATGACATAACTATTATTTTTTAGAGTGAGAAAGATTATGATCCCTTTGCTGATAGAAGACGACCAACAATTGCTGATAGAGAAGATGAATATAGACAAAGAAAACGTCGCATGATTATTTCTCCAGAACGTGTTGATCCTTTTGCTGAAGGTTAGTAATATTTTTTAAAATACTTGTTTATTTGAAATTCAGGTAATTTTTTCAAAATATTAGAAGGACTAAATACTTCAAGATGAATTGTTTTTTTCAATTCAAGGTTACTCTATGTCAAACAGTTTTAAGCTCAAAAAATATTATTTTTTAGTTAATGAGAGATATAAAAAAAACATGAACTTTAGTTTTTTAAATTCTACTATTTCTGCAAGGAAATAATATTATCTTTCAGTAAAAATTCAAATAAAAATCTAATTATAGTACTTTAATTGTTTTTATAAAATTAATTATAATGATTACATAAAGTTCATGTTTTCCAAATTCTTCAGTTACTTGATCACATAAGACTACTTTTCAAATAAGGTCACCTGATCTTTGTTATTGTTTAATAAATTTGAAAAATGGAAAAACTGATTAGCATGTATAATGATATAGTATAATTCGTCTCTGTGTTAAAATAAAAATTAAATTTTTTAAATTTTGTTACCCTTTATAAACTGTGTAAAATGAAAAGTTTGTGTGACTTTATTTTAAAAGGTTATGTAAGCTGTTACACATAAATCAATGACAAACTGTCATTGAAAATTTCATGAATCATTGATGATTGTGTGTTGTAGTAAGAAAACATTTGCACATCGTTCATACATTATTTGTAGTATAAAAAATTTAGGCAAGCAAAATTTACTTTCATCGTCACTTTTAATTTCTTATTTGTACCATTCATGTTCTTGGTGTATCATTTCTGCACTGGCAGTTATTAAGGGAACAACTTGGTCTATTACTAGCTTTTATTCATTCAAAAAAAGAATAGGATGTGTATAGTTTGTAAGCTGGTTTGAGTGGATTGTATGAATGTGTTTCTTCCAAATACGTACTAATTCCTGCATTTTTTTCCAATCTTAGTGATGGTCTACACATTTGGAATCATCGGCTTACCCTGGATACTAAGTCGAAGGTTATACGACTTTAAGTTGTAAAAGTCCTCTATTTCAACCTGTTTTTCAATTGATATAGATAATAATTTTCTCTTCTCAATAACTTTATTGATTTGCATGAACATCTAATTTAGATAGACTGGTTTAAAGTTATAATTAAATTAAAATGTATTAAAAATTGAAAATTTTTATCTTATCATACAGGTTTGAAAAGTACCCCATATGAATCAGTATGAATGGTTTTGAGTGCATATATTATTAATAACAAGATCAGAGTTGATTTTTAGATATCATTTACAAACTGGATGACATGAGCCGGACAGTGCTCCCTATGGCACCAAATTTCACGTACGTATATTGTATGCCAGCTACTGATGTAACTATTTTACCTGCTTTATATTTTGAGTTAGGTTTTCATCTTGTTTACTGAAAAATAAAACTCATTCAAAGTGGGTAAGAATCCGAAGTTCAATCAGTAGCTTATTCTTAGAATATCCTATAAATATTCTAAGGGCATAACATTCGTCTCGATTAAAGTAGGAGATTTCAGTCAATTAAAAACCAAACTTTTTTCTTTGTATTGCTCAGGATCTAACAGTTGCGCTTTGCGTGACTTTTATTTTTTGATTGCAGGTGGAAAAACTCCCGATGTCGGTTCGAGGACGTATACGGAGATTATGAAAGAGCAGCTTTTGAAAGGAGAAGAATCAGAGGTAAGCTATATATACATCATTTAAAGTTATTATTTTATTTACAATTTGATGTGATTATTATTACTATTATTGATTTTTGTACAGATCCGTAAGAAATTAGCCGAAAAAGCAAAAGATGGAACTTTGAAATCAAATGGAGAACCCAAACCAGCACCAAAGAAACGAGGTCGTTGGGATCAAACGGACGATACACCAACTCCTAAAAAGCCAATTATTACCGGTGCAGCGGCTACACCAACTTCTTGGGATACAGCTGATGTAAATATTTTGTCAATACTTATAATTTCTCACACATTGAACAAATATAGAACATACACACACACGCACACACATTTATGTATACACCTATTTTGTAGGCTACACCAGCAGCAGTACGTTGGGACGAAACTCCTGGTCATGGCAAGGGAGGTGAAACCCCCGGAGCCACTCCAGGTGTTAGCACCAGAATGTGGGATGCAACGCCGGGACATGCAACGCCTGGAGCTACTACTCCTGGTCGAGAAACGCCACATGATAAGATCACGTCTTCTAGTCGTAGAAATAGGTGGGATGAAACACCCAAGACAGAAAGAGGTAACACATTCGTGTAACTATTGATCAGCACAATTTATACTACTATTTTTAACTAATGAATGTGCCACAGAAACACCTGGTCACGGTAGCGGCTGGGCGGAAACTCCCAGGACGGACAGAGTCGTGGGTGAACTTATTCAAGAGACACCAACACCATCGGCCAGTAAGCGAAGGAGTAGGTGGGACGAGACTCCCTCGACACAAACGCCCGGATCTATGACACCGCAGACACCCGCGACACCGCTCACTACGCCGCATCAGACATCAATTCTTACTCCCAGTGGTACAACACCCGTGGGTCCAAAAGCTATGGGAATGGCTACACCCACACCTGGTCATCTTATGTCAATGACACCAGAACAGTTGCAAGCTTACCGGTGGGAACGTGAGATCGACGAAAGGAATCGAATGCTGTCTGACGATGATTTGGATGCTATGTTCCCTCCTGGTTACAAAGTATTACAACCTCCTGCAGGTAATGAGCAATTTATTATGCATCAAATTCAATAAACGTTTGTATGATTAATATTAATAAAATTTATTCTTTTTAAATATAGGTTACGTACCAATTAGAACACCCGGAAGAAAACTAACGGCTACTCCAACTCCCATCGCAAGTACACCGCAAGGCTTCTTCATTCAAACGGAAGACAAAAGTGCAAAAATGATTGCCGATCAGCCGAAGGGCAATCTACCATTTATGAAGCCAGAAGATACACAATACTTTGATAAACTTCTGATCGACGTGGACGAAGAGTCTCTTAGTCCAGAAGAACAGAAAGAAAGAAAAATCATGAAGTTATTACTCAAGATTAAAAACGGTACTCCACCGATGCGTAAAGCTGCTTTACGACAAATCACGGACAAAGCCAGAGAATTTGGTGCTGGACCATTGTTTAATCAAATTTTACCCCTTCTTATGTCGCCTACATTGGAAGATCAAGAGAGACATTTACTTGTAAAAGTTATTGACCGTATTTTATACAAATTAGATGACTTAGTAAGACCATACGTACACAAAGTAAGTCAAATTTATTTTGCTATGTTCTAGTTAAAATTGTTATGATTTTGAAATATTTTCTCTAAACTGAGTTTGATTCTAATTGTAGATTCTTGTTGTTATTGAACCTTTACTTATTGACGAAGACTACTACGCGCGTGTAGAAGGCAGAGAAATCATATCAAATTTGGCCAAAGCTGCAGGTTTAGCTACTATGATTTCAACCATGAGACCTGATATTGACAATATCGACGAATACGTAAGAAATACAACAGCCAGAGCGTTTGCTGTTGTAGCTTCGGCTTTAGGTATTCCTTCGCTGTTGCCTTTCCTAAAAGCTGTGTGTAGAAGTAAGAAATCTTGGCAAGCTCGACACACTGGTATCAAAATCGTACAACAAATCGCTATTCTGATGGGTTGTGCTATTTTACCGCATTTAAAGAGTTTAGTAGAAATTATTGAACACGGTGAGTACGATAAGTAAGATTTTACCATTCCTTTGCCGTTAAAAGAATAAGTTTTATTTTTATTTATTTTCACAGGTCTTGTAGATGAACAACAAAAAGTCCGGACAATCACTGCTTTGGCTATAGCAGCCTTGGCCGAAGCTGCTACACCATATGGTATTGAAAGCTTTGACTCAGTACTGAAACCATTGTGGAAGGGTATTCGTACACATAGAGGCAAAGGTTTAGCTGCTTTCTTAAAAGCTATCGGTTATTTAATTCCTCTCATGGACGCTGAATACGCTAACTACTATACTCGTGAAGTAATGTTGATTTTAATTCGTGAGTTCCAGTCTCCAGACGAAGAAATGAAGAAAATTGTATTAAAGGTAAAATTGATATCTTCGTCATTTTTTAGATTTGTATTTGACATAAGTTAAGGTTTTCTTAATTTTTTGTATCTATAGGTAGTGAAACAGTGTTGTGGAACAGATGGTGTGGAAGCTCAGTACATCAAGGATGAAATTTTACCGCACTTTTTCAAACACTTCTGGAATCATAGGATGGCTCTGGATCGGCGAAATTACCGACAACTTGTCGATACAACTGTTGAAATTGCAAATAAAGTTGGTGCTTCAGAAATTATCAACAGAATCGTTGATGATTTGAAAGATGAAAACGAACAGTACAGAAAGATGGTCATGGAAACTATTGAGAAAATTATGGGTAACTTGGGAGCTGCTGATGTTGATTCGCGTCTTGAAGAACAGCTTATTGATGGCATTCTATACGCTTTTCAAGAACAGACGACTGAGGTAAAATTGCTATTTCAAAAGTATTGATATTAAGCAATTTAAATGTCCGTTTTCATTCTTTCAGGATGTTGTAATGTTGAATGGTTTTGGAACCATCGTGAATACGTTAGGTAAACGTGTAAAACCTTACTTACCACAGATTTGTGGTACGATATTGTGGCGACTTAACAATAAGTCAGCTAAAGTTCGACAACAAGCTGCTGATCTTATTTCTAGAATTGCTGTCGTCATGAAAACTTGTCAAGAAGTAAATTATATGTTCAGCAATATTATTTTAAATATTTTTTCTTTTGTTATATGTAACAAAGATTTTATAATATTTTATAGGAAAAACTCATGGGACATTTGGGCGTTGTACTTTACGAGTATCTGGGTGAAGAGTACCCTGAAGTATTAGGCAGTATTTTGGGAGCTTTGAAAGCTATCGTCAATGTTATTGGAATGACAAAAATGACACCGCCTATTAAAGATTTACTTCCTAGATTAACACCTATTTTGAAAAACAGACACGAAAAAGCAAGTTATTTCAATCTTAATTGTGTGTGTGTGCGTGCGTGCGTGCGTGCGTGCGTGCGTGTGCGTGTGCGTGTGCGTGTGCGTGTGTGTGTGTGATAAGTCATTTATATTAACTGGTTTTTCTCTTGTATTTGTTAGGTACAAGAAAATTGTATCGATTTAGTTGGTAGAATAGCCGATAGAGGACCTGAATATGTCTCAGCTCGAGAATGGATGCGAATTTGTTTTGAACTTCTGGAATTATTGAAAGCACATAAGAAAGCAATTAGACGAGCTACTGTAAATACATTTGGTTATATTGCCAAAGCCATTGGGTAAGATATAATCAGACAGCAGTTGAATAGTTTTTTGTCATTCTTTTAATAATTGAAATAACATAATATAAATTTATTATTGTTACAGTCCTCATGATGTATTAGCTACACTGTTGAATAATCTTAAAGTTCAAGAACGTCAAAATCGTGTCTGTACCACTGTCGCTATTGCCATTGTCGCTGAAACTTGTAGCCCATTCACAGTATTGCCTGCACTTATGAACGAATACAGAGTACCAGAATTGAATGTTCAAAATGGTGTTTTAAAATCATTATCGTTCTTGTTTGAGTATATCGGAGAAATGGGTAAAGATTATATATACGCTGTTGGCTCCTTGCTTGAAGATGCCCTCATGGATAGGTTTGTATTTTTTTAATTTTGTGGAATCAAAAGCAATTGCTTAATTTTATTTATTTATTATCAATATGTTTACAGAGACTTAGTACATCGACAAACTGCGTGTGCAGCAATCAAACACATGGCTCTAGGAGTCCACGGTTTCGGCTGTGAAGATGCATTGATACATTTGTTGAATTATGTTTGGCCAAACGTGTTCGAGACTTCGCCACATTTAGTGCAAGCTTTTATGGATTCTGTTGATGGACTTCGAGTGTCATTAGGACCAGTGAAAATTCTTCAATATACACTACAGGTAAATATGATATTTACTTAACAATTTTTATACTTATTATTTTGCATTCGAATATTATTGGATAATGATATACATTTTTTCAGGGATTATTCCACCCTGCAAGAAAAGTACGTGACGTGTACTGGAAAATTTACAATTCTCTTTACATTGGAGGTCAAGATGCCCTTGTTGCAGGATATCCAAGAATCATGAATGACCCAAAGAATCAGTACATTAGATACGAATTGGATTATATTTTGTAATTTTTAATTTTGTATAAATTCTAAGATTTACTTTAAATAGTTATGCTTAAAACGTATTTACGCAATGGCTTTCAATAAAATTTTCAATGCTCTAAGGAATTTTCAGTATCCTAGTATCTATTTGATCAACTTTTCTTCCTAGTTATTTCTCGAATATGTATAATAACGCGAAAAAAAATTTTTAATGTATATTACCAACATAGTGTTGTATATAGCATCGAATCAAAAAATGATTGTTTGGCCAAGTCGATTATTAAGTAGTAATATATTATGACATAAGTACGGGAAAATAGATTCTTGTCTTGTGTGGAATTTACGCTCAAATGAACTCAGGATAGAAAGTCACACGCAACGAGAATCTCTATCCTAAATATATATCGTACGATATTTTTTCGCACTTTGCGCACGGAATATTTGGAAGATAATTTTCGATGCTCCATGATTTATTTAAATCCATCCTTGTTTCGCTTGAGTGTAAACACCACACAAGATAAGAATACTTTCCCACATTTGTATTGTCTTCTGTATTATTTTGAAAAGTCCTCTTTATCATAAATATTAAGTATCGATTTTTTAGACAAACTGATAGATTATGTCGGTTTAGCTATATCAATGCTCTATTAAAGAACAAATTTATAACAATTACTTTTAAAGAATCGGCTTGCTTAAACGTATTGTCTTTGAATCAATGAAATTATATAATACGAAATTATTAAATTGTGTACTTTTCTCTGCGTTATTATATATATTGGCAACGAAACTAAGGAGGCAAATTTCTTATCTTCATATGGTATATGCATACATTTAAAGAGACCTTAATAAGAAGTTTTATTATGTTTCACTTCGTAAATACGTTGTATTTGACAATAGAATACTAGTAAGAGTAGATTGGTTCATAACTGTTAATTGAGTTTTCACTTATTTGGAAACGTATTATTCGATCTTTTTCTAATTTATATCTCACATTTCAATTTGTCGGACTTGCCTCTTGATTATTGTACAATGAATTCTATATAACATTTTTTGAGAAGAAAAATGTTTAAATTACATATTTGATTTTTCTTATGTTTGTATTTTATTTTTCACTTCCTGTATAGCATAAGAAAATTCTTTTATATTTATTCAATTTCATTACGAGACACTAATAAAAGGTCACAAATATTTCCATTTTGATTAAATGTTAACATTGAACGAAAAATAAGGTTAATTTTATTTGTGTTTAATTTTTTTTATTTTTATATATCATAAAAACATTTATATTCAATCTAACTATACGATAATAAAAAATTAACATTAGGGAAAAATAAGGTTAATCTCTAATATTAGATTTAATTTTTCTAAGCGATCCTTAGAATGCTATTTCATAATAACTTTTTCATTCAAGCATAAAATAAAATTATAAAATATTAGCGACAGATTAAACCGAAAAATGGTCGCATGAAAAAGATGTGGATAATGTAGAATAGAGAAGCTTTTTCTCCCTCTCCTGCGGCATCAGGTGGTTAGGGGTGAGACAAGAAGTAAATTCAGCTGGCAGTTACAATGTGTAAGTGTAACCTTCATAATGTCGGTTAGAGGTTTCTAGTATTATGTTTTGTTTTCATGAATTAAGGAAATTTTAGCTGTAATACAAAAATTGGTTTGATGCTATAAAGTAACAAACAATTTATATAATTCGTTAAGCTTTTAATAATTGTTGTTATAGTTAAATAGTATAATATTATTCTCAAAAGAATACAATTGGTAAGTACATATATTATCGAAAAATCATGTTCCTTTAATATTCGTATAGGTAGTTCTGATTAACAACGAATCAGATATTTTTAATTTATTCAAGCTATTTTTATGAATTTAACCAAAACAAAATATTTGACTAATTATAAAAATTATAAATCGGTTTAATTTAAAAATATTATTTTATGCAAGACACTCATCTGAAGTTAGTATTGATAATTTGCAGTAAATGTTCAATATTTGTTGAAATACAATCTCGTTACGTTAGATTCTGCACTTAGTCACAAAGGATACTATTTTCAATTTGAGAGGCTTAAATCATGGAAAACGAAGATGAATATTTATACAAAATTATTTTGGATGCTGGAATTGACGTTAGTTTACATATGATTCACAATCCAACAGAATCTTTTATGATAAACATAGCGACAGAATATTTCAAAAGATTCCAATTTGACGGTGATGAAATCGCAAAGGTGAATAAAACGATGAAATGGTTATAATTAAACGAGATTCAAACTTAATTGTAAAAAATAACTTGTGTTAGCCAACTCCTGAACAACTCAATCGCGTTTCATGCGAAGAATCGGCTCTCAATGCCATCGAAGCTATTAATTTACATGCGGCTTTGACGAAAATTTGCGATGAAATTTTTTTGAAAGATTTTACTCTTACAGATATTACAAATCCAGGTAAAGTTTACCTGTTTCCTAATGCCTAAACCATTACCGTTTAAATATTAATATTGATTGTAGGTAAGGAACAGTATAGGTCTTTCTATAAAAGTTTTTTTGTCTATTACATTTCAGGATATAAGAGAACAATAAAGAAGATCAAAGTACTGTTCAACTTCTACTTGTACGTAAAGAGTAAAAAAATTGAAAAAGAACATCTTTTTGATGAACTTGAAAACAGATACAAAGAGATTCAAAACTTTATTGCCAGAAAAGAAGAGTTTATAGCTAAAACTGGATCGATTATTCATGATCGAGAAATGAAATTTGAGTACAAGGAAAAAGTATGCTAGTTTGAATGTTTTTACGGAAAAACAAAAGCTTACTATTTTACAATTAACTTCATAAATGTTCTAGTTAAAGAAGGAAATAGAACAACTGAAGAATTTAATGGAAAAAGATCAAAAAAAAAGCGAGGCATTGCAACAAAATATTAATCAAATCAAATCTGAACATCGGCAAAGCTTAAAGAAAGTAAACGATTCAAAAGCAAAACTTCACGAGGTAATGAATAATTTATCATTTGATCTTTATCAAATATTGAATGATACATTTGATAAAACATATCAATGCAATGTTATTTGTATAGATGCATAAAATAACTAAAGACTTACAAAATAAAATCGTTGCATCACCCGAAGAGTATATCGATCGGAAAAGAGAGCTTGAAAATGTGATGAAGGAAAAAATGGAAGAGAGACAAATTTTACACGATTGTATCAATGGCAAAAAAGCCCAAATAGAAAAAAATGGATTATCGGAGTGTATGATACAAGAGTGTCACGAAAAAGCGAAAGACACTATGGATATTGTAAAAAAATTAAAGTAAATCCCGTTATAAGGTTTTAAAATTTACAATAAATGAATCTATGCTAAATTAAAACGCAATATTATTTTACGAATTTTAGAGAAACAACAGCAAAATTAATCACTACTAAAAGGCTGTTAAGCGAATTGAATGAAGAAATTGTCATGCTTGAGAGTAGATCAAGTAACACGAGAATCAGTATCTTGCCTGAAGATTTGGATTTGGAGGAAAATCAGCGACTTCTTTCTCTATTACACAATCAGCAAGTGGAAAAGCAAAGGTCAGTTATTTTTACTAATTATTCCATGAATTATCGTTAATGGAATAATTATTTTTTCTGATACAGAGATCTTGATACGCTAAAAAAGAAATTGGAAGATTCTTACAATGAACAGAGCAAGCTTAAAGGTCAACTGCAGAAAGAGAAACAAATAACTATCGTTGCTGAACGCGAGTATGTTAAACTTATGCAAGAATATAAGATTCATTTTGAAAATGAACTAACCGAGGTGATTATTCTCAAAATAATAAATTTAGAAATTAAAATTTATTATTGAATTCCTTATACGTTTTTTACTTTTTTAGGAATACGCCTTTAGAAAAGATTTGAATAAATTCGTAAAGAACTAAAAGTAAAACTTCAGTTTATAAAATCTTTTATTCCAATATTCCTCATTGTTGTTATTTTCTCTACATGAAATAATATTTTTAATTAAGTAATTTTATAGTAAAATAATTAAAAAAAAAATTACATTTCCGTTTACAAATGATCTATCTCTAATCTCACCTCACCATAGTCATTATAATTAATGTGTACACAATCGAATAATGGTTAACCAATCACATTACAAATAGCGTAACCAATAGAATTGCGGTATTTCAAAATATCTAGTGCGCGGTTGTCGTTATGTTTTGACTCAGTTTGCTATGTAAACAGTGAACATAAAATTAACTTAATATCCTTGTCTTTATAGTTATATAATGCTTTTTATTAACAATTTACTGCAGTACAAGTGTTATAATAAATATTTACCGGTCATACCACTACTTTAACTAAATAAACAGTGCTGAAACATAAATTTTAGGTTATAAGTGTTATAAAAAAAAACTCAATAATATAAACTATTATTAATTATACGAATACGTTTAGAGCCTCTGAATTTTACACTGAGCAGTCAAAAGAATAAAGATTAACAGTTTGCTTTAAAATGGAGCCGGAAAATCTTCAAAGTGTCCTGCAAGAAGCAGATATTCGAGTAGATATGGCTGATTTACAAAACCCAACAGAACGTTTTATGACTTATCTTATAACAGAATATTTACATAAGTTCAACATTGATGGCAATGAAATATCTAAGGTAATACCAAATTTTCTGCAAAATAATTGCTTCTTATAATGTTTTTTCTTATTTGTAGTCAACGCCTGAACAACTTGAAGGTCTTTCTTGTCCTGAATCAGCATCAGATGCAATCAAAGCTATCAATCTACACTCAGCAATATCCTCATTTTGTGGTGAAATTTTTCTTAAAGATTTATCTCTCAAAGATATTACCAGTCCAGGTAATTATTATATTAAAATATTTGTATTTGATAAACATTCATATAAAACAAATTTTTATTGTATCATAGGCCCTAAACGAGCACGGAGACAAATAAAAATTTTATTCAACTTTCTTGTATATGTTAAAAATAAATTAACTGAAAATGAAATTACCTTAGAAGAATTCGAAAACAGACAAAAAGATATCGAAGAAATGATAGATAGTAAGAATGATATTATCAAAAAGATAGGAAGTACAATTCATGAACAAGAAAATAAATTAGAATTAAAGCAAAGGGTATGTTTTTTAGCATTTAAGGGTATTGCATCATGAATTATTTGTTATCAAATTTAATTTTTAATCAAGATACAACAAGAAATTGATGAAATCAGTCAAGAAATAGAGGCAAACAATAGAAAATCGAAAGAACTAGAATGTCAGGTCAAAGATGCTATGATAAAACATCAGGATGCTTCTAAAAAATGTAATGAATTGAAAGCAAAAACAATACAGGTAAAAGTTATTTATATTTTCAAAATTATCATTAATTTTTAATCATTTAAATTCTAAATGATCTGTGTTTTTATGTAGATGCACAAAGTTACATCAGAATTACAATCAAAGATTGTAAAGTCTCCTGAGGAATATGCAGCCCGCTCAAAAGAGTTGATGAAAATGTTAGAAGTAAAGACAGAAGAAAGACAAGTACTAAATGAATCCATCACACGGAAAAAATTACAAATAAAAAATAATGAGAGTGCACAAGAGCTTGTCAAAGATCTCAATGAAAAGTTTACACTTAATACAAATGATACTTTTAAGAAATTGAAGTGAGTTAAAGAGTTTTTTTTCCAAATTCATCAAAGTAATATTGTTTAACAAAATTTTTTTTTGTGATATTTTTACTGTAATAGAGAAACTGTTGAAAAAATTGAATGCATAGAGAAAGAACTCAAAGCCTTGAAAGCAGACATTGAAAAATGGACGATTTTTGATATAACTAATGTAACAAACAATTGTGAAGAAAATGATTTCAAAGGGCATGAAAAGTTATTGTTTGAACTGGACAATCAATATGCCGCTAAAGAAAGGTAATTCCTCGGTTATTAGTTTAAAGTAAATGATTTTTTTATTCTTTTATGAACTCTTTCTTTTATGAATATAAACTAATATTATATTTGATAATTTGTATTTCAGAGAGTATAATTCTCTAAAAAATTTGGTAGAAGAATTAAAACAAGATTTTAATGCGAAAAAGAATATGTTAGAGGATGAGTTAAAAACAATCATGGCATCTGAAGAAAATAATGCTTATGTTGTGAATGAATATAAGAAATATTTCGAAAACGAAATTGCAGAGGTAATAATTCATTTTTAATCGTTAATTAGTATTAAGTATGTAAGAGTGGTAAATGTATATTAATGCTGTACTTTCTTTTAGGAACTTTCTTTAAGAGATGCTGTAGTAGACACAATTACAAAGAATCTTAATAGAAATAAAAGTTTTAATTTGTAACTTTTATAAGTAAAAGTATTTTTAATTAATGTTTTATATAATGTATTTTCAACGTAAAAGATGACATAATATTTATTGTTACTGAAAACATGTAAATAGATTTTAAACTGTGACTTGTGTGTGAATAACCCAATTTTATATTTTTCTAAGATCTATAGATATTCTTAATTTTTTGTGTTAGTGTCTGAAATTATTCAAAATATTATAAAGAAATATAATTATTCCCTGTACTGCAGAAACTTTTTTTTTGTTCATTTTCAACTTTATATCTGCATTAATTAAACTAACTTTGAAAATCATATGATGTTGATCGGTTGGTGCTTATACATCTATATACATACATGGTAGACATGGTTGGTTAGCAGACGACGGCTACCGGATTTGGAAAAATGGAAACTAGTGTATTCTCGGTAGACAACTTTCTCCGCGAACATTTTTACCTCGCGACTAGCTACAATGTAGTAATTAGGTCACTTATCCTTATATTTTCAAGTCGTCTCTAGGAAGAGTGCAAGTTTATCATTTATCGATAGTTTTAACCGTATATCACATATGGCGATGGTAATTTAATTGGCGAGAGGAAACTTATGACGAAAAATAAAGCTTGAGAATGTGCAATACCATCATTTTATTTAAATTTAGTGTTTAATAAATCATAGTCAAACTAGGTTCTTCCTAATAAAATGCTCGTCGGCTCAACCAACGAGGTGATTGAGTATTTTGCTTTCTGCAATCATCAAAGTAAACGTTTTTCTTTACGAAAAAACACTTCTATAAAGAACATAATCATAACTCTAATTCGATCGACAGGTTATATATGATGATGAGAATTAATTTCAAGACATTTTTACTGATATTAATTGTTGGTGTATTAAGCTCTATATTCACATTATGGAATAACTGCAATGGTAATTTTTTCCTCAGTGGCACAGATTGGAAGTCTCAATTTCAGCATAAAGTAAGATTTTTTCCATCATATTAAAGTCATATTTTGATTAGGTATTAAAAAGCATGAATTTAATAGGAACACTTGACTAGTGAACTTGGATATCAAGAAATTGATTGTCTTGTTAATGGCAAGAAGACTGTCAGTTGTCGTAAGGAAGGTGATGAGGTTTATATTCCCTTCTCTTTTATACATCAATACTTTGAGGTGAAATTTATTTTTTATAATTTGTTATTGTTAAGTTGAATAGTATGAACATAGTGTAATGTTTTTCTTTTAGATATATGGTAAAATAGTTATCAATGATGGCTTAGAGATATTTGAATGGTACCATAGTTATTCAAAAATTAATGATAGAAAAGTGAAATATGATCCTAGAGGTGTGTTCATGACATTTGAAAATTATAATGTTGAAGTAAGGGAAAGAGTAAAATGTGTAAGTGGTATTGATGGTGTACCTATTTCAACACAATGGGAAAGTCAAGGATATTATTATCCAACGCAAATAGCACAATTTGGACTGTCCCATTACAGTAAGAATTTAACTGAGCCTGAATCTGTAAAAAAAATTATTGAAGATGCAGATAAGACTAAACAAGAATGGATAGTGCCCCAGGGGTCAGTGATGAGTCGAATCTACGATAAACATATTAATAGTTATGTAATGAAATATGCTACTCCAGAAACAACTACTTCTGGAATTTCCACAAAAATAGATCAAGTATTGAAACTTATGCTTAAACTTGATCTCTGTATTAAAGACAATGGTAGTATTACTGTTGAGTTACAATTGAGAGAGAAAAAAGACACATATTATTTGCATTATGTGACAAACAATCTAATTATTCAAACACATAATAACCATATCTACTATGGAATAGGACAAGTATATAATCACTGGCGACGTCTAACTAGAGACCTAATGATTGATTTACAAAAGGGCCTCAGTATTATTGAAAAACCTAAAAAGAAATTGTCAAGATCAAAATTAAAAGTTGTTAGAATTATATTGAATGGTTCTGGAATGATTGATAATCTTACTTTATCTACAAGTGAACATATGGAGCAGTTTTATGATGCTGCTAGGTGGTTTGTTGCAAACCAAAATGTTACTTCTGGTGGGTGGTCAAATCCTGTCAGAAGAAAAGTTGCTAATGGAATGGCTGTTCTTGAACCAGGATGGTAAGAATAATATTAATAAATATAATTTTATTGAATTTTAAAAATATCTAAGGTTCAAACATAACATTTTGTTCATTCTAGGTATTCTGGCATGGGTCAAGGACATGCAATATCTGTTCTTTCTCGAGCGTATTATCATTCTAGGGATGAAAAGTATTTGCAAGCAGCTGTTAGAGGCTTACGACCATTTAGAGTATTATCTAGCAAGGGAGGAGTGGCAGCATACTTTTTAGATAAATACGTATGGTATGAGGAGTATCCAACGACGCCTTCATCATTTATTCTTAATGGTTTTATATATTCTCTCATTGGGCTTTATGATCTAAAAAGTATAGCATCTAGGAAAGATGCCAAAGAAGCGCAAAAACTGTTTGAGGAAGGTATGAATTCCTTAAAAAACATGTTAACTCTCTTTGACACGGGATCAGGTACCACCTATGATCTTCGACACTTCACGTTGAAAACAGCACCAAATTTAGCTCGATGGGATTATCATTCAACTCACATCAATCAACTTCTGCTGTTGATAACGATTGATAATGACCCAATTTTTATAACAACTTCTGAGCGATGGATACAATATATGGAAGGCAAAAAGGCAGCTCATAATTGATTTTAGACTTTATATAAATGAGTTTTATAGAACAATTTGATAAATGCATAGAAAATTAAGTAAAGTTATATTTTTAAATTTTCAAGCCGTGACATCTCGGGATTATTTGATTATTGTGTACAAAATATGTTTGTAGCCTAAAGGTTGCAATTTTTAGTGTATTATATATTTTTACAGAGTTTATATATACTATTAGAAATATTTATAATTTTAACGACTAATTCTGATAAGTCAATGCCTAATTTTTACACTAAAGAAAAAGTACTTATGATGTTTATGTTATGACTTTGTAGGTAGAATGTCCATTTTTGTTTGATACACATATATTTATAAATGATTATAGAATCTTGTGATTCTCTATAGACAATACAATACTTTTTGTAAATTTGACGACCACTGTAGCTATGAGATTGGAATTTAACGCGGATGATCAAATATCTCAATTTTTGTATTTTCCTAGAAGCATATTTCTAGAATCCTATTGGTATAAGTGGCAAACAGATATTAGTAATAAATATACTGAATTGTAAAAATAGTATAGTTATAGCTTTTAAAAACTGCTCATAGACAGAAAAAGTTTGGATTTTCTGTAGTGCCACTTTTATTTTCATTTTCATAAAATAAAAAAATTAAATATATAGAGTACCGTTTAATTAGGACTTTAGACATATCAATTACATAGCTCACTTTAATTACATAATTAATTTTTATGAAAGTGCTTGCGATATAAAATAAAATTAGTCTAACAGGGTAGTTGTAAATATTGGTGATACTCATAAGTGTTCAGCAAGTGAATGTTGTTTGCTCAAGTAGTGTGTTGAAAAAGTCAAAATATTGAACAGATATATTTGACAAACATTCCAAAGTTTGACTGCACTAAATATTTGATCGTAGATAATTTGTAATCAAGAAATTTATGAAAATGAACTTTTATTTGCAGCTTTTTTTATGAACAAACATTCCAGCAAGTTTTTTATTTTCTTTATATACTCAATTGTTACATGTGACTTGTGATATTAATAAATAGTGTTCAGTTAATATATTTTTATTTTAGCAAATATTTGTTATTTTTGTATTTTTTGTTTTACAGAAAGTTTTGTACATTGCAATTACTTTTGTAAAAAAGTTAGTTTATGAATGTCGTACTAATAGTCTTGTGAAATCGATTTTTTTAAAAAAAGAAACAAATATTGATATTAAAAATTTATTATAGAAAACGTTATTATTGTGTATTTTTACATACTAGTTTTATTATCATGAAATAATAATAATCCCTATAAACATACTTTTTAATTGTTTTTATTAAGCAATCCTACATTAAAGATATAATTATAAAAAAAATCTTTTTACAGTCCATTATATTTGTTATGTACAGATCTTTTATAATAAACAGTTAATAATGTATATATGCTACAAATAAATAATACAATACATCGTTTTTAAAATTTCTAATTATTGAAAGTGATTTTGCCTACTATCAAACGAATATTCTGAAAATAATTGTTAAACAGTTGTTAGAATTCTGAAGTGCTTTAATGAGTGAATATTCAGTTTTCAGTTAAAATTTTGAATGAATTTATTTGATTAAACTTTGAAAAATCGTTAGCTGTTTTTCTATGAACTGCTAGAAAAATTTTCTGAATATAATTCTGAAGAGTTATAGGACGAGTCTCCTGTGTTGCACGGAATTGTTGGGATAGTTGAGCCTTGAATGGCAAAACCGTGATAATCTTCTTGAAGTGAAGTTGTGGGTTTCAAAGGAGATGGGAGATTTTCATTACTGTACTGAATATCGTCTAATAAACTATTAGGTGTACTTTTTTCAGGTACCTGAAAGTCATTACTTGTGCTATCACTATGAGGGTCTAAACTAATTAAACTTGTATCATCGTCTCCTTTTCCGATATCCATTCCAAATAATGGAAAATCAAAAGTTGGAGAAGGGGTTGAATAATCTTTGTTTGAACCGATTTTCAAGTTCTGTTGATTTGTCAAAGAGTCATCAAGTGGTTGATTTTGATTTTCAGGTTCCTGAGTATAAATCTGCAGAGGAATATTATTGAAATATTATTGAGAGATAAAAATAATATAACTATTCAAGTTCAAATCTTAATAGTATCAATCTAAATGACTTACCTTTGGTGTAATTGGAGAAGGCAATTCAGGACACTCTTCGTTATCACAATCTAAATTTGTAGGAACCTTTTGATTCTTTTTAATAATGAGAGAAGATTTTTCAATAGCTGCAATAACACTAGCTTCTATTTTTTCTCTGAACTGTTTTATATCTTGCTTCATTTCATTGGCTTGCATTAAAATATTTTCATTTTCTATTTTTAATTCTTGGAGAGTTGTGATGTTTTCACAGATCATATGCAGATTCTGAACAAAAATATTTATCAGTTACAAATAAACTATTATTGTGTCATTTTAATGTCTCATTTAAATGTAAAGTAATTTACTTCACAGATCATAAGTGCAGACTCCCATGTATTAGCAGGTACTCTTTCACCAGACATATATGCGTTAAAATCGCTTTCAGTCATGTTTAAAGATTCTGCAGTTAGACTTTCAATGAATGATACAGCACAACACTGTAGAATAAAAATAAACAGAATTTAAAAGTAAAAATTATCAGATTAATACATACAAGAAATTTATTTAATGCAATAAATCTTACTAGATTTGTAAAGTAATATCCACCTTCACCTGTCATAAGTCGACTAGCATTACAAAACCTTGTTATGAAGTTTATGTTACTTTTCAACCTAGCTGGATTTGCTTTGAGAACAATAAAGATCAAAGCTGGTAAAAACTCATCTGCAGATGCTGGACCACCAACAGATTGTTGCAACAAAAGAAATATATTGCTACAGCAATGGACTATACATGCCAGTTTTTCTTGAGGAGCTTTAGCAGCATCCATGTTCAACAAATCTATAACATAAAATATAGTTGTTATACTACTTTTGTACATTATCATCAATTGATTGCCATTATGAAATACATACCCATCATGGATGTATAAACAAGTTCTCTGACTTCAACACTAGTTTCTTGTATTTTACATTCTAAATTTTTACCACTTACCCAGTTTAATTGTCTTATCCTTTTTTGAATATCTAAATCTTTTTCTTCGTCATTAGTGTATGGAGGACAAAACAGAAATCTATACAGTAATGTCATTGTATACCTTTCAACATAGTCAAGAAGTCTTTCTCTAATGTCACTAGGCACATCTATTGATGGAAATAAAATATCAATAATATTAGATTATTACATACTTAATACATACATTTAAAAATTTTATCAATTTACCTTTGTATATAGAACTTTCTTCCATTCGTTTAGAAAAATTTTGATAAAAATTTTGAGTAACATCAGATAATTTCTCGATTTTTTTACCATCTTTACATTCTACAATTTCATTGACAAAATAATTGATCTTTTTAAAAACATCTCTACCTACTATAGTTTTATTAAACATTGAAATTAAATCATGATTGTCTGATTCAATCTTTTGGAGCTCTGTAGTACTACTATTATACAACTCTCTCAATATCTGTTGACCTCTTGTTGGTAGCTTTCTCAGTCTACTAAATGCAGTTAATTTTGACTTATTTTTATCTTGATAACGATGTTGACTTTCTACATGACTCAGATTTTCACTGCGTAATAGTTGTAAAAGTAATGGTTATTTGATTGGTTAAAAATAACTTAATCAATTTACCTTTCGCGAGTTTGTTGCAAAGCTCGCTCACGTTCTTCTTGTAAAGCTTTTTGTTGTAATCTATGACAAACACTGCAATATCCATTCCAAGCAACATTTCCATAATAATCACATCCATTTTTACATTTCAAGTCTGACTCATCAATACGGTATTTCGGAGTTTTTATTGAATACATAGTGATTTTTTAAAACGTTACACTTTTTCATTGAATATTTATTTATACATTCTTCAATCTTCAGAGTTTGTTTGCTCAAAAAAGTAATTTTTTATCCATAACCTAATCAAAAATTAGTTGACGTAATGAAAAAGTAGCGCATGTGCAAGATTTCTTCTTAGGATATACTCGTTTAGTCAAAAATAATATTAATAACTTGAGTTTCCGATTCTAATTTGCTGTAAACGACGTAGTACGACCAATGTTTTTATTATTTTTCTGTCCAATTTGTTTGACCAAAGAATTATTGAATTATAGCGAAGTGGTGTCGTTCTGTATTCTCTGGTTTGACGTTTAGTTTGATCCGAGGCTGAGATTCCTTAGAAACTTGCAGTAGTTGCAGACGGCAGATATAATTTGCTTTTGCAGTTACACGGTCAGTCGGTGACTAATCTAGGTATCCCATCCTAGCGAGCAGCGGCTCAACTACACTTGGCTTGAAACTGCAAGAGCCAATCATTTTCTCTGTTGATATTATGATGATTCAGGTGATTCAAAAAGTTAAAAAGTGTAAGGTTATAAACATAAAGAGTCTTCAATTATTGTTGAAAAACATCTTTCACAATGAAACTTAAATTGGTGCATCGAGTTCTTTTTTATTGTTAAGTATATGATTAAGTATAGAAATAAATTATTTTTTACATGTGACTTTTACTTGTCTATAAAAAATTTTTTCTTACATCAGTGCAAAAACCGTGATAACAAATACTTGCAGATGAATATTATTAGTTTAATTCGACCCATTCTTCATGGTTATTAATATTTATTTAACTTTTTTAGGTATCATTAGTCATTTATCGAGTTATAAAATGGTTTTTAGTACCGAAAATTTTCAAGATGAATGTCAAGAATCTGAAGATTGTCAATCCATCTCCAATTCTTGTAACAAATTTTCTTCAAAATTTATTCAAGTAAAAACTTTAAGTGAAATTTATTTATTTTACTTTATATTTTATTTTATTTAAATTTATTTTCTTTAGAATTCTCAATTCAAATTATTATTAAACAGTTAATTTATTTGCAGATATTAACATCAAACCAAAAGCAGGACAACATATTAATTTCATCATTCAGTGTTTATACTATTTTATCAGTACTGTTTCATGGAGCTGATGAGGTAACAAAAGAGCAATTGAAATCAGGTTTATATTTGCTCACTCCTGGTCAACTTGGAAATGAGTTCAAACAATTATTGAAAAGTTTGAGAGTATGGTTGAGTTAATTTGATGGATGTAATTAATCTGTTTTATATGTTATCATTATATTTTCTGTTTTTATGCAGAGCGTTAGAGAAGCTGAGCTAGAAATAGCTGATGCTATTTTTATTAGTACTAATTTTTCACTGAAACAAGAATTCTTATCTATCAGTAAAGACATTCATGAAATTAACATTGAAGATATAAATGTTCAAGATAGTCCTGGTTCCTCTAGAAAAGTGAATTCATGGATTAAAGATAAGACGAAAGGAAAAATCAATGATATCCTCAGTTCCAGTACACTTTTGTTTTCTACTATTTGTGTATAATTTAACATTTCAACAATTTTCATTAAATATTTTGTTTTACTCATAGGTGATATTGATGATTATACAAGTCTTATATTAGTTAATGCTTTATATTTTAAAAGTGCTTGGCTACAACCATTTGATCCTCAATCTACAGAGAAAAGGAAGTTCTATAGCATCAATGGCATTACAACTTTCATACCAACAATGTACAAAACGATCAATTTACCTCATGGTACTATTCCTAGTCTGGATGCTAGTTTTATAAAATTGAAATATAAGGTAAAAATAAATTTATTTTGATCATAATCATTGTTCCAAAAGTATTATTAGTAAATAATGCTATATACGTTTTTTAGAGTGAAGTTTTTGAAATGATTATTATACTGCCAAAAGAAAAAGATGGTTTACATAATCTAGAAAAACATTTTGAATGGCATTTAGTTTCTGGAGCACGTTATTTCATGAAAGAAGTCGAATTGTTTTTACCAAAATTCAAATTAGAAAACACCTTAGATTTGAAAAGACCATTACAAAAAGTAATTAATTTATTAAAAGAAAACTTTTTCATAATTTTAATTGAGATCACTAATATAATTTTTAATATGGGTAGTTTGGGATCACATCAATATTCCAAGAAACAGCTAATTTTGATAACCTTGCTCATGAATCAGTGTATGTAAGCACAATAAAGCAAAAACTGTTTGTAGAAGTCGATGAAAAAGGTTCTGAAGCAGCCGCAGCAACGGGTAATTTCAATTATTTAAGAAACATTTTATTTTTGAAATTCTTATGATGATAATAATTTTGTAGTTGCTCAGATAAGATCGAGAAGGATGATTGTAAAGAGTGATTATTTTAAAGTGGATCATCCATTTATGTTTATCATCAATCACAAGCCAAGTAATATTCCTTTATTTATTGGTAGCATCCGGAAATTAGGAGAAGTTAAAGATGAACTATAAAAACTTTTTTATACAATTTTTGTTCAGTGAAAAGTGTGATAATTTTATACACGAATGTTTATTAATTCTTTCTATATAACGTTTTATTCAGATTAGGCAGTTATATATTTTTATTCCTATTTATACAATTTGATGATGTATAATTTGTTTTAAAATTATGATAATTATAGCATAGCGATTCAAGAGAAAATACTTAATCAAATCTTAATGGATAATTTTGTGTGAAAATTGTATTAAAATTTCACTCTATTTATAGATGCTTTATTTTAAGTGTCTCACAGTATCGATTAAACATAGGAAGGGTTCGGGTTGTTGGGTAGTCAAATTAATAATTGAAAAAGATTGGGAGTTGGCGAGTTTGCGATCAGAATGTAACGTTCGACTAACGTTGTTGCCTTAAAAATTGTGATAAACAACGTCACCGAAGTGTCGGCAGACTTATTATAAATCCGGGTCCAAAAGGATCCAAAGGGTATTTCGATTATCCAAAAACCCTTCCAAAATTTAATTCATTCACGCTGATTTGCAATTAAAAAAAATTTTTTTTTTCTAGTTAGCCAAATTTTTTTATTTATAATGTTATATCTTGTCATAATACAAAATTACCGATACAACTTTTTGTTTTCTTTAATAAAAAAAAAAAATAAAAAGAATGTTTTCTGGCCGTCTTAAATGTCAAACATTATTCATTCGTTCGCAAACAAAACTTCGATAGCCATTCGTGCTCCAAAGCGGAAATGGAAATTAATTAAAAAAAACAATGGCAGCAAGGTGTTTCGTGCGTTGGCGCACGCACAGCGTAATCCGTGACGACATATCCCTGCCTTTCGCGCAAGTGCGCGACCTTTCCGAGCGTGTCGCAGTATGTGTATTGCATGTACATAAATGGCACCAGGGACTAGCTCATTTCGCACATGGCGTCGCGCGCCGCGCGAACTGAATTTCGTTTTTCATTCTAGGTTAGCACTCACGACACTTTCCTTTTTTTATTTAGAATTGCGCGCACAGTGACCTTTCGCCTGCGCTTTTTTCGAATAACTGTACTCCTGTCGATACATTTTGCGACTGTCAACGATCATAAATTATAAGCACATTGGAAAAACTTGTATTCAATTCAGAATAAAGCTCTATTGCGTGCGGTCAAATGTCCTTTCATCTAGGGTGAGCATAGTGATTGGATAACAGATTCCTGTGGACATTTTCAACCATGAACGCAGTTAAAAATATCCGAATTCCATTTTGAGAAACCGGCAGTGTACTTGAACGTGCGAATTATTATAATACTCTTGTAGTTATTGATGCGCTCCACTGAAAATGCATACCAATAATAAACATTACACATTAAGCCAATGTAAAAAATATCTATTTCGTTCGTCATTCGTTCAAATGAAGCGTGATAAAACTTTATGAAAGCAATTCGCTACACCAGATAAATCGCAAGCTCTAATCGTTTTTGATTAGCAAATGCATTTTATAATATACTGTCTTGACAGCAAAGGTAAAAGTAGCATACGCTTTTGTGAAAAATACAATTATCGTCGCGCTAAATCCGAAATGTTCAAATTCTCTTGAGAAGTTTCAGTCAAGCAAGCCTCGGGAACTAAACCACGCAGCAGTCAATAAATGTTGATATACGGAGTTCTCAACTCTGTAACCAGAAAAAAAAAATAAATAAGAAATAAAAAAAAACAACAAAAAGAAAAAGAAGAGTGGAGAAATAGGTGCGTTATGTTACCGCGATGTAACCTTCGTCGGTGACGCGAGTTTTGCCACCTCCTCGCGCGTGCCAAAGTAGTTCTCGCGGTTGCAGCGGGCGGGCGGCAAGAGGTGCCGGCAGTGCTCCGCCGACTTCGAAGCCGCAGCGGTGCGTCCGCGCGCGTGGATCCCAACGACGATTATGCGCCCGTCGAGTCGTTCGCGTGGCCGTCGCGTGCACGTCGATCAGTGGTAACGACTCGGCTCGCAAGAGCCTCGCTTGGTTTCTCGCGCGGGGGATCGCGTGCCCTTTGCCACGAGCGACGAAGATGGTGCAGAAGGTCGGCAAGAGGAACTCGAAGGTGAGAGATATACGACCTCGAGAGATCGCTCGAGCGACGGCTCGCACGTAAGCGTAGCCGCGCGGCGAGATGGAAAAGGCGAGAAGCTGGCTCTCGTTGGAAGTAGGTGTATTATGGGCTGTAGGCTTCGCTCGGATGATGCGTCACGACGCTAATGCGCGCCGGTGCCGTACATCGGCGCTCGAGCCAAATGCGACGACGAGTGGTCGCGAGAGTAATTATGCTACGTCTTTATCATTGCTCTTTGACTTGCGCGCGTCTCCTTTTCTCTTGGGCTTGCTTTTCTGACGTTGGCTGCCACGATCGGTGGCGTCGAAGTAGGGTGCGATTGAAACTAGAAACGAGACCGGTCGATCTTCGCTGCGACTTTACTCGAGCATCGGCTGACGCGAGTGCCCGCTTTGAGCGCAATACGGAGCCTCGGAGTAAGACAAAGTTGCCGCGCGCAAGAGACGACGTTCGCAGCCCCCGTGCATCGCGATCGCGCGGAGGTGGTATCGGCGACTGTCGTAGCGTTGCGAGAGTGCCCGGTCACGATCGCTCGGTCAACGTTGTTCACGCAGCAGGCACTCGCGCGCCTCGCCGAAAAGAAAGGGGGCGAGAAAAGCTCGGCTCAGCCGGCGGATATTTCAGTTGGCCTCGCGTATATACAGTTCACGCGTACACGCACACACGTAGGACGCGCGCGTGTGCGCGCAAATCGCTCTCCTCTTGCTCTCGCGGTCGCTCGGTCGCGGTAGCCGTCTATTATTAGTGAGAGGCGCAGTCATCGCGGAGCTCGCTCGCGCTCGCGGCTAAGCTCTCTCGAAAGCTTTTTCTCTATTTGCTCCCTCGATCTCTCTTCTTGCTCTATCCCTTCCGATACTCCGACCACGACGTTAGTTTGACTAGGCGGATGTTCCACGACACACTCTAGCAGCTCGAAAAGCAAGCATGACTCTCACGAGGCCCGCACTGTAAGTCGATCGCCTAAATATAGGGGCCTCTTTCTATCCTCTTTCTCTCTCTCTCTCTCTCTCTCTCTCTCTCTCGTTTTTTCTCTGATCCGCCAGCTTCTCCTTCCACTTTGAGCATAAAAAATACGCAACTGCGAGCACGCATGGAAATCTCCGATGAGATCTATGAAGTAAGTGGGTGTACTGTGCGTGTGTGTTCTTGTTCTCAGAGTGTGTGTGTGTGTGTGTGTGTGTGTGTGTGTGTGTGTGTGCGCGCGTGCGAGTGTGACGGCTAGTGCCTCTTCGTCATTTTGGCCCGCGTTGATTGCATCTCTCGTCTCGTCGAAAACTCACGAGGCAGCGGAGCCCCGCGGTAATAAAGGGCATCCTCCGACTCGTCGTCGCGCTGCAACTGCGCTGCAAGCCAGAGATCCATTCCATTCACGCGGCGGACGCCCCGAGTTCCTCGCTCGCTCGTGTATCTTTATATTTTTGGAAGATCGCTTTCGAATGCGCGACGAACGTGCGCGCGAAAACGTTTAATCGATGTCGGAACAACGTCGACGCTCTAAAATAATCATTTTACCGTGCGAACTCCTCGCTCGGGCGCCTGTGCGCCATCGGCAACATCATCGGAATTGTTGATTCTACGCATCGTGCGATTGGCCAAGTTGGACGTGTGACGTGCGCGCCGCGTGCCACCCACGCGAATTGCATGGGATCGAGCGCACGGTGCACCGTGAAATTTTCGCCTTGTGCGGTGCGAAGTAATGCTCGCTTTCGTTAATTAGTACGGAGGGAGGGGGGCAACGAAGAGGAACAACAAATTGGACGATGAGAGAAAGAGGGAGAGGCCTAGTTTGTTTTCTAAATCTTAACACGAGCGTGCCGTCGTTCAGCTTACCCGACATACGTGAGCCGCCGAGTGAACTTCCTTACATAAGGGGGGGCTGCCAGCTAATGCGCGATTGTGATGGACGTTTTGATGGGTTTCGCGATCATCGTTCTAGAGATTTTTTGAAATGCCGGCTTGGTCAGGAGCTTCTTTCGACTCCCCCCCTCCTGCCCCTCCCTTCGTCTTTCGTACATTGCCAAATTGCTAATTTTTCAGAACTTTCATGACCGTAGAGAAAAATTGTAATTTCTTTGCTCCAAATGTTAAAACTTTAACTCTATCGTATATTTATATATAGTTTTCACGTAAACTGGCAACGTTACCGTATGCATTACATAAATTATCGCGCTAAAGACTTTAGCGGATCGATGAATCTGAAAAAAACGCAGCACACTTCGGTTTCAAGACTGAAGATCGGAAAAATTCAGGTGCTAGAGCAAGCAGCGAGCGCCTCGGCGCACGCGTGAGATGAAAAGCCTTTAGAAAGTGGCGAGAAACGAACGAGCATTGGGCAGGCAGGAGACTAAAGAAAGGCCGAGGCGCGCTCAACGGACGAGCTCCTGGAAAACGAGGAGGAGACGCGCGAGCGAGGCTTTGTTCTCGCTTGTGTAACGCGTCTGTCGGTTCGAACGACGAGTGCCGAGAGATGTAGCGTCTCGTGAAAAGCCGTGAAAAAGTAACGAGGAACGCCGAAAGGGGCTGGCCGTCACCCCGATCGATTTGCGAAGAGGCGAGCTCCCTCGACGACCGTTTCGTTCGGTCAGCGGCAACGACCGCCTCTCGCGCGTAAGTGACGCGGCACCCTAATAACGGCAACCTGTTTTCTGTTTGTTCGCAGATGAGGGATGCGGTTTTGCAGAAACGAAATAATAACGCGGCGACCTTGAAATCGAAACCATCCCTCGAAATTTATCGACCGCCCGGTCAGTACGGTAACTCGATCCCGCTGCTTCGCACACCGCTTCGCTTGCCGATGACATTCGATTATTAATCCTCGTGCACGACATTTACCTTGCAGGCGTCAGAACGGACGGAACGACGGCTAATGCAACGACCAATCCCCAATTGAATGTACACGCCAAGGAATTCACCATGAAGCACAACGACCTACACTTACACAAGTAACGATAGAATTCCGTAGCGAGCGATCGGCGATAACGCGAGCCGTGGAGGACACGGGCGCGCGCGTCGCACGCGTCTTCCACGGCGGATCGCGCGACCACGATCTCGCGACGCCGCCGCCGCCACCGCCGTCACCGCCGCCCCCACCGCTTACATCGACCGCAGCTCGTATCTTTCGTTTTGTTCTCCGTTCCACGCAGATCCCAGCCCAACTCGGCGGAGCGCCCGTACTATCTGCAGCACAGCAAGTCCAGCGGCAACGTTCACCGTTACCTCTACGCTCAGCAGCAGCAGCAGCAGCAGCAGCAGCATCAACACCACGCAGCGCAGATGCACTACCCGTTGCAGCACCAACTGTCGCCAGGGCCACATCACCATCCGTCCGGCTATCATCCGCTGATGGCGGCTGCCACGCAGATGCACCGACAACCGCACGCCTTGAACACTTCCGCCTCGAGCGGCAACATTTTACACGTGAGTCCCGTCTCGCGTAAGGGTCTCGCGAGCTGCGCGCTCCAAGTTTCATCAGCAAATATTGACGCGCGGAGATCAAGTCGCGTTTGTTGTATTTGGTCGGTGTTAATGGGCGAACGGCGCGAGGATTACTCCTGCAACGTTAGCGTCCGTTCTTTTTGCTTCCTTTCGCGACGAAAGACGTTTTTAGCTGGATGCGCGGTTACATATCTGACAAGGCCTCGAGACCTCCTCATCCTCGATTCGACGATTGTCGAAGTAAGGTTTAACGTGTAATTGCTAGCCATCAAACCAATTGACTTAGCCATTGTCTTCCCCGAGCATTCAATTTCGCTAACCAACGATCGGCGATTGTTCGCAGAATTCCGGTCGAGTTCACTTTAGCGTGGACGCACACGAAATGAAAACTCCGACCCCGAAGCCGGGGAAGCTCACGAAATCCTTGTCCTTTGTTTCGTCGTACGGCTTGAGACGTTCCAAGAGTTTCACCGCGCCCGAAGTCCTGGCGAACAAGGCCATGAGCATCGCCGACGCCTTGGAACTTGGCAAGTTTCCTGCCGACGTGCAAGAAACACTGATCAAAGCGATCGACGGTAAACTATGAGCAGCACCCTCTCCTTCACTTTGTCGTCTAATCATACGAACTTTAACTTCTATTGTAAAAATAGGCTTTCGATAGAGCTTTCAACAAGCAGCTCGAACCAAATTTTTCCTTCTAAGATTCACGTTACTATGCACGTCTTTGCAGATCCAAACGTTTTGAGCGCACGAGTGCTCATGGAGCTCGTGCGGCACATTCTGGAGCGTGTCATCGAGAATCAGCGCTGTGCCGCTCCGGCAGCCAAGATCTGTATCACGATCATCGAGGTGAGCAACCGTATCCCCTTTTATTCGCCCCGAACGTCGGCCGATGGATTTGAATAAAAACAGAGCTTACGTAAGCGTTTCGCTTATTTTGTTTTTCTTTCCTTTTAGAAAGAAGTCAAAGAGACGTTTCTCGAGTCTTTGCTCAACACATGCCAGCAATGGTACCAAGAGCGTAACAGATTCCTTCAGGACCTATCATCCTGTCATCACTTTTCAGCTTTTATGACATTCCTCAATGAAATGTACTGTCAGGTGAGATGCGTTTTTCTTTCCAAGCGATGCGCGCGCGCGCGCGCCAACGAGCTCCGATCTCTTCCGAAATTGTAATCTCGCGAGCGCAGCGTCGTTGATCGTTGGCGTCCACCTTTGCGCCGAGCGGAAGAATATTCACGGAGTACTACCTTGTCCTTTACCTTTCAGCTGAAACGACGTCAGCTGCAGCTGAAGACGCAGCAGGAAGGCGTTCCTCCCGGACGCGTCCTCCTCACGTTGCTCTACAAGTGCTGCCAAGATTGCCTCCGTCCTCCGATGATCAATTCAGCCGCGGAGGTATTTTTCACATACGTCATCTCGCGCACTTCGCGCGGCCTTCGGATGCAGCGCTCGCCGTTGTGCTTTCGCAATTTGTCGGGCGAAAAGGCGCTTCGTTGTCCGCGCACGAATCCTGGATCGATGCAGCTCGCACAGATAGTACAGAGCAGATACATTCGTGGCGGCTCGGAATGTTTTCGGTAATTGATGGTTCGCCGCGCCGGGCAAAAAAGTGGCCAATTATCGCGAAACGAATGCTTCAATTCCAATTGGTAGCGGCTGAAAAAGACGCTTTCGAAGCTTTCGAAAGTGAACGGCTCGCTTACGAAAGCGAAAGCTTCTCGATGACGGCGTAAAAACTGCGCGCAAAGATAGAGAGAGAGAGAGTCGGCTTCGCGGGCTGCCGCAACACGCACGCGTACAAGCTCTAACTTGGGCATTCCCATTCCCTCGAGGCGCACATCTTCGCGAGCGAACGAGACGAGAGCATCGAACGGCACTTTTGCGAACGCCCCTCAAAACGCTCGCTGATTCGTTCCGTTTGTCGCAGGCGAACTGTCTGTTCTTCATTCTGACGTGCATCGGCAAGGACCTCGCCACCGAGCTACCGGCGCAGCTCCAGCAGCTGTTGGGCGGCGTGCGCGACACCTTCCTGAAGCAGGACACGGCGCCGCCGCCGGTGCGCAAGACGCTGCTGCAGCTGATCGAGCTGCACGCCGCGCACTGGCAATTGCCCGCTCCGGCGGTGGTCTATTACTATCCGGGCTCGTCCAAATGACGAAGGCCCGGCTGAACGAGCAACAGCAGCAACCATCGTGCCATTGTACTTTGCGTCGTCCTCGAAGCGCGACCTCGCGCGCGCTGCGCCCGGCGCGAATCGAAGGGCGACGGCTCCGGGTTCGTCGCGTAGAGTCCGATCTACTCCGACTTGAATTCGTTTAGCGAGGCTCTCTTCGTTTTGCGCTTTCGGCGCGCGGGCGACGTCGCGGTTTTCACCTTTCGCGGATGGACATTATACTTATGTTTCCTTTCTTTCCTTCTTTTTCTTCTTTCCCTCTTCGACGTGAGCCGCGTGCGCGCGAAGCGATTGAATTTTTATATTGGAGCATTTACATATGAACGTACGGCAACGCTGTGTGATACACACACGGATACGAAAGAAGTTGTATAGCAATCGCTACTGCACCGCGCGGAGATTGGTCGCTTGTCTCTGCGCTCAACTTCTGATTGGTGGTTGTGCGGCAATTTTTGTATACGTTGTAAATTCTCGATCTACTCGATACAACCCCGACAAAATCTAGTCTGAACTTGTGTGAAACAAATTGCTGCTGCGTATTTCAGATTCTTCTTTTCTTTTTCTACCTAGTTAGTTTTGATGACCATGCACCTTTATAATCATATTTAGTTTGCGTCGCTTTAGTGCGTGACGAGAGTCACGCGCGCACATTTTCGTCTCAATTTCCTTCTCGTTTCACTTGTAAATCGCATTTATATAATTTGACAAACGCAGACACTTAGAACGTAATTTTTTTTGTAAACCCAGACACGTGGGTATAGAAACGCAATCTCATTAACAATTTTTATCGATAAAATAAAATAAAAAAAAAAAAAAAACATATATTTGTTGTCTCTTTTAACGAACCCGACTGCTAGGAAATATATGGCGAGCAAGCATTGTAGCAGAAGTTTCGTTCGTTCGTTATCAGCATTATGACACTTTTGTAAATGCGAAATAACAGGTTGTATATATAGAGGCTCGCTTGCGCATGGAAAACAGCTTCATCGCACGAGTATGCGGGGAATAGTCGATGGAAGCGCGCGATTCTCGCAATGGTTTACCTTTGAACTGCAACGCGCGTGAGAGCGCGTGTATATATGGGATGCAAAGTGCCTCCTTAGAAAGGAGAACGCCGCTACGAAGGCTAAATCGATAGAGGAAAAAAAAATCAGCGACGACGATCGCGCCGACCTTAAGAGAGGCCTCCTCTCCTCTCTCGCACCTTTTGACGTAAGCTGCGCTCCTATAATATTGCAAGTCTACGAATGAATCGCGTCCGTTGCACGCCACGATTTTTTCACTTCGCGGAATCCCACCGTGGCGACCGCTAACGCCTTCCCTTTTTTCTTTTGTCTGTAATTTCGAGTGGCGTCGACTCACGGCTCGTTTGGCGATAGCCAATTGGCATTTTATTTTTCTGCGTCGTTGCGTGACGAGCGCGGTCTCGGGACCTTCTCAAAGTGTCCAACATCATGACATCAGAATGGCACTCTACTGTCACGGTGATATAACAATATTATAATCAGCCGAAGAGATCGCCACGGTTCACGCCGCGTTTAGCAAGCTAACGATAGATATAGAAGTGCGATGTCACTCTCGTTTTCATGGTTTTGCACTTGGGTTAAAGAAACAAAAGGAGGACAACTACACGCTCGACTAATTATCCCCGGGTTACGCCCGGCGTAATTGCGAATAACACAACGATGTTGCGTTGAATAAATTGCGCACTCCCGGGAATTTCGAAACGACGAATCTTTCTAACAAATTTTTGAAAAAGAAGAACGCGCGTTTCAACGGCTGCGTTACATAAATAAGATATTGCGCGTAATATAAATTGATGCAGATAAAGTAGTTGAATGAAATATACTTTATTGCGCGCGAGCTCGCGCAACGAAAAACAAATCGTTGTAACAGTTTTTCACGTTTGCATCTTCGACAAGTGACAATCGGGAAAAATGAAACTTTTACGGTATCGATCCGCGTCGCGCGCGATTACGAGAAAGACGGGGTCTGCGCGTGCACCGAGTGCTCCTCTGTGACTCAAAAGTCGCGAGACAATCAACTCCGAAGAAGAAGAGACTTTTGGGAAAACCGAGAGAGCGGAACCACGGAGCCCGCGCGGCGGGGACGGCGGGGACGGCGGCGACGGCGGCGACGGCGGCGACGGCGGCGACGACGTCGCTGGAATACTGAAATTCGTCGCGGTAGAGCGATCGAAACGAGCTTGGTATTCTGGTACGAATTGGTATCGTCCGATACGGGAGTCCTTCGGTGCTCTGTGGTCTTCGCCGTGGCGGCGTTTCTCGCCAAAGCTACCGATCCAAGGGTACGCGCGTGCAAGAGACACGTGGGACACGACGAGGGTACACGCGCCGCGGACAAGGCGCTCGGCTATGTTAGGAAGAGCGCTGGATTAGGCTAATTGCAGCCAAGTGGATCGCGCGATCGGATACGTATATACGAGTACAACGAGGGCACTGAAAGACGCGACGCAGCGGGGAATGACGCACGCGCGCATTGTCGTCGTTTTTGCCAGCGAGGGAAACGTCGTTGCGCTAAGCGGCGGGCAAGGGCAGCCCGCGCTAAGGTTGCCTAATTGCCCGATTGCCCTGGAAACCTTGATTTCGGCCGAGCGCGAGCATCTCGCGCCTGACTCACCGCCACGGGCTGTATATCGCGTGTGGAAATTCCTCGCGCGCCAGGACGATTTATTGGCCAACTCTTTCTTCTTTCCTCGTTGCGCCAGCGTATTATCTCTCTCCCTCTCTCCCTCTCTCCTCTCTCTCTCTCTCTCTCTCTCTCTCTCTCTCTCTCTCTCTCTCTCTCTCTTTTGGCTAATTAACGAGCGAGCAACGCGCCTTTGTTTCCGTGACTGCCTCGTTGAAAGGAGATTTTGGAGGTTTCTCACGCGACCACGAGCGCGCAAGCTCCGCTCGTCTGAATTTATGGGCGCATGGGCTCGCGTTCGCATAATCTGCGAAACACAGTGGGACGGCATGGTTACTAATCACCGGCGTTTCGAAACGGATGCGATGTTTTTTTTTCACTGCTGATCTCACAATTAACGGAGGCGAGAGTTTGGCGAGACCGCGAGCGACCGATACGCACTTAGAAGCCTTCCATTTGTTCTATGTGTATCGCCCGCTTCGTGCCATTACTGCATCGTTGGCCTAAATCGACAAGGAGGAAAACGTAGCCGCCGCATCGAGCCGAATGAAATTCCGACAGAGCGCGATAATTTATCCAGACTCGGGCAGACCGATCGAGCGAGATAGAGCTGTCGCATGACTGGCTTACAACCCACGTGACACGGGCTCTCCATCTCACATGACTCGCGTCGCAACGTTGCTGCGGCGACCTAGCGGAAAAAGAGTCGCGAACCAGCGGCTGCGTTTACGAAAAAACAAAATCCGCCAGCGCGCTTCTAGATTAACCAGAGAGAGAGAGAGAGAGAGAGAGAGAGAGAGAGAGAGAGAGAGAGAGAGAGCGAAAGAAACATCGGAAGATTTTTCGAGGCATCGGCACGAGAGCACGTCCTATACGTGTGTATACCTACGCCGGTAAAAATTACCCACGGGCTTGTAATAACGGTCCTTTCTCCGCGCTCCGTTATTTATTTACAGCATCGATCGCGCAAGCGCGGCGTCGGTCCCCCACGCGGGAGTCCGAAATTCGATTCCCACCGGATGCAAACAACTTTTTCTTTTTTTTTTTTCAAAAAGTGCATGCGCCAGAGATCAACACCGTGGCTCCGGTGGTACGGTGGATTCCACCTGGAGCTGTTATAGTCCAGTATTTGGGTTGGCACTCCGTGTACTATACTCTGGGTTCCTGCCACTCTTTTTACGTAGAAGCGATCGAACGACGATGTTCAAGTAGTCACGAATGCTACTCGCGAAGGGCCCTTCTCCTCCGGAACATATATAATAGCAAAAATCACGCTCGCGTATCGGTATATCGGCACAGATGCTCTCCTCTTCCTTCTCACGCGAGTCTGAATTATACGCGCGCTTCTGGAATCGCGAGCCGACGCGTCCGTGCCTGTCGCCGCTCGTCTCTAATCTCTTCCTCTGCAGACTATCTCGCCCGCGCGCTCACGAGTGGCAGCCGAGATCGCCAAGCGTTCATTTTGCCGATTTCGCGCGAACTTCCTCTTTCCGCGTCTTTTATATATATATATATATAAATATTTTTTTTTTCGTTTTTTCGCTTTCGCTCCGCGAGCAGCTTCGTTTTAACGCGCACGCGCCTCGCTGCTACACGGCCTCAGTCAACGGAATGGAACGTGTTGCTCAATAAGATGCGTCACTTAAAGACGATTCCCGAGTGTGCGGCATTAAACGAGTAGTGAAAATGAAATGTCTCGCGGACGAAGAAGACTCACTCTTTTTTTTTTTTTCCTTTTTCTTTTTTCTTTTTTCTTTTTTCTTTTTTCTTCTTTTTCTTCCCTCCCAACGCGCGTTTCTTACGGACTTTCGTAATCGGAATTCGCGTTTTTATTTTTCTGCTTCTTTCTCTCTCTCGAACCGCGCCGAGATGCGTCTTTCCGACGTGCGAGTCGTGAGAATGATCGTACGGACAGAGAGGGGCTGGGATTTTCGCGGATTTGGGGAATGGGTACGGCGTGCACGTGCAGGGTTCTGGCATTGTTACTTTCGATTTCTTCGCACTTGCCGTTTTCACTTCTTCCAGTGTAATGATCGAAGTAACCAGTAACGAGATCGTCATGATCAATTGGACTATCGAAATTCAACGATTGTTCTGGTTTTTCTTTTTCGTGTAAACGAGCGAGCTTTGCTACTCTCTTTACAAGAACTGCGTGCATTATTACTCGTGAATCAAGATAGAACGAGTCTCATCTATGCGTTACACAGCTCTTTGAGATTCTAACTCGGTCGTATCATATCTGTAAGAGTGCTTATAATTACATTTTATTTCCCCTCGGTTTCGTAATGAATATTTCATTTTTTTTTAATAATACGATGCGCAAACCGCAAAAATGTTTTTTCTTGGTCAAACAACTCCATTTTAGATTACGCAAAAAGAATAAAAAAGAGAGAGAGAGAGAAAAAATGAATGTATATTGTGGTATTCACTGCTTTATTACCTTGTCTGGTATGGAGCTGGTGTTGGAGTTAACAATGCAGTAAAAGGGTTGATTCATCGTGCAACTCCCGCGCGAGCGAAGGAGGAAAAAGCCTTATTGAATTTTTATTCCGTGTGGTTTGCAACAGGAGAAAAATTGACTTTTTTTTCCTCTCTCTCTCTCTCTCCCTCTCTTTGCACTCCTAGCGTACGGGTACAACAGCGAGAGCTTTGACGCAATCACATGAGATGCAGTCGACACGAACAATACATGACTTGATTAAAATGCTGCAGCGTATATCGCTGAGTACATGTATTTCAATTAATGGAGAAACATTAGTTTTGAAAGTAACAAGTCAGCCGTACAAATAGGCAGCACGTGAGCGCTTCTGCATGCCGCGCGCGTGTATTGGCTCGATGAATTCTCGCCAAATTATTCTGTAGAGAATCAGAAGTGTTTGACGAGCGATACGGTCTAACGAGAATCGCGAAAAAATGAGCTATCACCACGCGTCACAAAACAAAAAACATTTCTTTCAAGATATGCACGAGTCGATCAAACTTTGGCTTCGATTCAACAAAGTAATTTATTTTTTATATTCAAACAAAGCGCCGACGACAATTGAGAAGAGAATTTTTTTTTTTTTTTTTTTGAACCTTACATCATAATCCTCGTCTAGAAATTTCGTCTTTTTGTTGTCTTTTTGCATTCTCAAGCCGAGGAATGTGGTCCCGCGCGGTATGCATAAAA